ACTGCAGGATTTTCTTAATTTCAAAGTAAGAGTCTGCTGAGGTGATGTAGATTATCAGGTTGACTGTCAGCTAAGGTGAGGGTTTGACCTTCCTCACATCGCTAGTGTTTTAGCAGGGAGACTTATGCACTCGTATCCCTAAAGACGACACTGATGGACTGTAAAAGGGAGCCAAGAGTTGTGCTATCATGAATGTACTGCTGTATTGATCCACTCTGTTGTTAGACTTGTAATAGATTTTTGTAGTGGAAATTGATTTTCAAAGCATTATTTGCTATTCAGGGATGGCAAACACCCAATAAAAAAACTTGCCAAATCGAAGTATCCCTGTATTATTTATCAGAACACTTACTATTTTTGCAGACTATATCACTTTACAGTACTGTGATGGTATTTTTAGAAGAGACTTCTCTCGCAGGCAATTAAGCTCCCCAATTTGTGCCGCTTAACTGTAATTTGGACTTTAAACACACAAAGTGCAACAAAATGTTGCCTCACAAAGTCTGCCAAAATCTGTGACAAAATCTAGTCCCATATCATTTTACCAAGCCTCACTTCTGTGAAAGTGAAAATGCAGACTTCCAGTGAGGCAGGAACTGGAGCATAAGGGTAAATTGTTATTCTTTACCATCTTAAATTCTCCCTCTTTGCACTAAGAAGTAGATTTGGGCCTGGTTTCATTGCCATATTCTGAGCACTGTAACTGCATAATGTATATCCTGACAGGGTGATATTGTGTTTTATATCTCTAAGGGCACTGATTATGCTGCCTGGGCACATTTTAGTTAACCGTGCAGTTTCAGCTTCCTTTTCTCGTGCTGTCACACAGTAACCACAATGGATGAGCTAGAATACTTACATTTGCAATGCAATGCGAAACTTGTGAATGTGCATGAGACACCTGAATGGAGCAGGAAGACAAACCTGCTTCACTTTAAACTGCTGGCTCTCGTATTGTACATTTTAGAAGTGAATGCTTATTATAAATACCAGCTTCAGGGGCTTTTATCTGCCGTTTTAGAACTCATTATTCTGTATGCTATTTTTGTCCAATTACAATAGGAGTGTGCAATGTTAAACTACGTGATTATGAACACTTATATTACTTCATTTTTCTTTGTTATTACTGCCTCTGTATCAAGACCAGGGGCTAATTGGAGACAGTAGAGGCCATCAATCTTTTCTACATGGTGGGAGTAAAAAACACAAGTTTTTACTGGGCCCAAATGAGCTTTTAACCATCAATTAAGTAGTAGAAAGTGCACCAATGTTCCTAGGAGAAAAGCCTGATCACTGATGGTGCGATAGGTTAAACTTCCTGAAAAACTGCAGAGAAAAGCTTGATGGACTCTGAAGCTTTATTCTTTCCTCACAATTGCCGAATGGTCTCAAGCTAAACGGCTGTAGTTTTTTGTCATGCACATACTTAATGAATCACAGCTGAGCTTTTCAAATAACATTTCTGTCAGTGTGACAGGCTCCAGTGTGCCTTTCCTGAATCCCGAGCTGTATTCTGCTTACAGGAAATTATAGACCACCTTCCCTTCAAATCCACCTACTTTACCACCTGCAGGGAAAATAACTGGCAATTTCAACAACTATTATTCCACGGATATATCACTGTATCAATCAAGCTTCTCAGAGCACTTCCTGATCTATATGCAGAGATGGGTTAGTGTTGGTATGAGTTTTTGTTGTTGTTATAGACATGTCTGTTTTTTGATTTTAATACTGTTTTACAACCTTCCAGCTACTTTTAAAAACAAGTGGCACAATGACCCAGATTGTGAGTTAACCAACAGTGTGCTGCTGGTGTCACGCTCTGACTACAAGGCTCCCAGCTATACGCCTCCGACTTTGCGCAGGATTTCCTTCCCATTCCGTTTTCATTAGAACTAACACACAAGTAATGAGATAAACCCGAACTCGCCGAAGGTGTAGAGAGAGACAAAGATCTCAGCAATGACCTTTTTTTTTTTTGTCTTCACCATCCAGGGACATAATCCCTTGTTTGGCTGTGCAGCTGGCATGCAACTGAGTCACGCGTCAGCCCTGATTAGAAGCAGCAGTGGTCCGCGGGCCCCGTTCCTCTGCCAGAGCCAGGAGTGGAAAAGGCCAGGGCCACCACTCTCAGTCTGTGGATGTGACCTTGATGGGGTATGATAGAGAGGAAGCGACACGATTCGCAATGCCACACAATATCTGTAACCTTCCACTTCCCCACTATGCATGCTAAGGCTACTGAGCTGTGACACACACACACACACATACATGCCATGCACTAAAACATACACACACTATGTCAACTGTGCACTGTCATTTTTTTTTTCAAGCAGTCTCCTCCTTCACGTCATCCATCTTTTTTTTATTTGTTTATTTATTGCATTTTGGCTGGTGCTCTGTACAAGATGTCCTAATTCTAAATGTTTATTTTCTCCTTGTTCTTGTTCAACGACTGCTATGCTAATGTTAAAGTTACACAAGTTAAACCTTCAGAATTTCTATTATAAGGACAAATACAAAGAAACCGGATGCAAAGTGCAGACTGATTCTGTCAGCAGCAATGAAACAGTTTCAATACAATTTTCTGTATTCTTTCTTGTATGACGCTATGTTTTTTTATTTTGAAATGCTTACTCTACCCAAGCCCGAAAGTCTCATTGGACGTAGTGATGGAGACAGATGTCTTGTGAGTCAGACATTATCAACACGAGTGGGGTAAAGATGGCGCTGAAGGCCCCAAAAATACCAGTTGGTGAGTAAAATCTTGGCAATTGCGTTTCCTGTGTCAAAATATAGCTAATGAGAAATAAAAATAAACAAATGAGCTGTACTAAACTGCAATTATAAATGATGCATAAGTGCAAGAGAAGGAAAATGCAGCAAAACAAAAGTAAACAAAAAGTGAAAAGCCTTAAACATCCAACTGCTGCATAAAAATAGCAACATTATATTCTCTGAAAGTCATGCATAGTTCATGGATTGAGCATTGCAGGCTTCCTTGTTGTTGCAAAAGAATGCAATATCATTTAAATGAGTCTGTCAGCTCGACCAGCAGGGATTTAAGAGTGCAGTCAACCAGCGTGTGGTAATGAGAGAACGTGCAGCGGATCTTAGACGCAACACTTTGTGCTGTCCGAGGGCAAGGTACTAAAAAGGTGGAGAGCAACAGTCACCAGGCAGAGGTGGCTGCCTCGTTCAGGTGTACAGGGAATCTCAGCAACAGTAATATCTTTGCTTTCCTGCTCTGCGAACAAAAGGATTCCAGTTTTACAACTCAGGGAGCTAAGAAACAAAACAGCCCTGTGTGTGCTACAGTTTGAGGAGAATTTGCAAAACAAATGGGTTTACAGGAGGAGCAGGAAGGGAAGCAGAATGTGATGTCAATCTTGGGCACCTCCCTTTCTTCTTTTGATAAAATACTAAAATAATGAGAAAATTTTGAGGTTTTGAGCCTCTGGAATCACAGTAACATGCAAAAAACATGCCCTTGAATAAAATTTGGATTTTCAAGCATAGCCTACACAAAGAATTCATTACTGAACTGTTTCTCTGTTCATCCACACTCAAGCACTTGTAATGTGGCCTGATAGACAATGGGCAAATATTTCAGCGTTTTAGACTTTAATTCAAACCACACCACCTCCTCAGTGGTCACCCCTGCTGAACTGGTGCCACATAATGTGCTGTGTGGAGGCAGCAGCTTCCTCTGGAGGCGTGGAATCTGGGCTGCTGCTTTCAGCAAACGTTTTCTTACCACACAGGTAAGAAACCTTCCCTTTTCCAGTTCACAAGTTCCCCCTTGAATTGAAAGATTATCGTCTATTTAGCTCTAAGAGTGAAGGCTCTTTTGTTGCAGGTGATGTGGCAGCCTTCTGACTTTACAGTTCCCCCTGTGTGTGTCTCACTCTCTCCTCATTCCTATCTTTAAACTGCCCAATGCTTTGCCACAGAACAAGAAATCCCTCTCAATAATAAATGGGCTACCTCCAGCATTTCAGAGACAAGGGCCCTGCATGCAGCATGTCTCAAAGACCACCATAACTTCACTTTTAGCTATATAAAAAATTAATGCCGCCAGCTCGGCATGTGGCGAAATCAAACAATAGCTGATATTTGTTCCGGGGCTGCAGCCTTCTTATTCTAAGAGGAAAAAAGCCAGCATGGTGTGTGCTGAAGCCCGACCACAGTACATGTCTTCCGGCACGCAATTAAGCGACCTCATCTCATCTGCAACCGTGTTGAATTTGGAAACCATACACCTCTCCCTCCACCCACCTCAAGTGACTGTAAACACCGCTCACAAAAGATGGTTGATTTTCAACCCCATTGTCTCCACGGAAAGCTCTGAAAACACCTCATGAGAAGTGTCAGTAATTGGTGAACAGCAGCCGAGTAAGAATACAAACAATTCCTGACCACCACTGACATTGAACAACACACATACACACACACGCACGCACGCACACACACAGCCTACACACACATACACACAAAGATACAGCGCCGTTTCTTTCTACTGCAGCACGCTTTAAAGCTAATTACCGTGCATAAGGTCGTTTCTGTGTGGGAGGTGTGCGGTGTCATTTACCTGGGCATCATCCGGCGATCCGACACATGGAGACAAGCAAGGGGGTCTGATTATTCCAGCTCGGCACAAAAGACCAAAAAAAGGATGGGGAAAATCCTGAATTGAATGCGGCAGATGAAAACGCGACCCCTGCCTTGAGAAAACACTGCTCTCCTTTTCCTTATCTCTAAAATGTTGCTGCGTCGATGGAGGCAGGCGGAGAGGGAAGCCCGGAGCTCCTTCTCCGTTCAGACAAAGATGCTTTCTCTCCTCCGCCGCACCGAGAGCAGCAGCAGCAGCAGCAGCACAGCCGTCAGTCCCCCGACACTTGATGGTAATAGTTTGGTAGGTAGCTTATATGGGTTGAGGGCGCGGTCAGCTGCTGTTGACCAATCGTGCTCCCTATCAAACTAACAGCAGCGTTGCCATGGAGGATTAAACAGCATCTAAGCATACAGTCATAACCTGAGAGATTTAACCCAGAAGGCGTGTTTTTATCCCTCATCACAAACATCACTGAAGCTTCTCAATAGGAGTGGTGTCTTCTTTTTAAAGCTTAAGAGACTCTCAGGTTCAAGACCCCCCATCATCAACCCCACCCTCATGATGCCCACCTGCCCCCAGGCAAAACTCAGGGCAAGCTACCCCAGCTGTTCAAAAACCCAACAACATATGTAGATCCACCATTCTTCAATGAATCATCTTGCTGCTATAAAAGGAGGAAGACCAACCCTTCTCACAAGGTGTGTCTGCATGCTTACTCATCTGGATGCCATCTTTGTTTTATCAAGGAGCCTGATACAACACCATGTGCTGTGAGCTACAGCAGCAGAAGATAACCTCGATGTTAAAAATGGCTAATTAGCTGACTTTCATTTCTTAGGGCTTGGGGGGAAGGTTGATGTTGATTCAAAGTTTTCAGTTTAGCTGGGTGTTAATAGACAATAAAAGGAAAAAACATATTCCAACAACAAAAACACTAAATATCCACCTGCCACTTGATGGTAATAGTTATGTATAGGGCCATTCCGATTTATCGGGGAGCCTATTAAATCGGCCAATTTTCGCTTGTTAGAGACTAAGCGGTAATCGGCCAAAACTTGCAGATTGTCGTCGATATTTTCAGAAATTAAATGCGGAGAAGATTCGGTTTCACTTCGAAAATGTTCCACCATTTGAAAAGATCCCCCGACTTATCCTGTAGATGGCGCAGCGACCTCATGACAATCTTCATCCACTAACTACCTCACAGCACAGCAGAGTGACGGATCTGAAGCAGGCAGCGGCGGGAACACACGGAGGAGAGTGGTCCGCCCCAATGGTAAATAAACCAGTTTGTGAAATACAAAATAAGTCAACAAGTTTCAGTTCCACCCACTTCACGATGTTCCCCGCTGTGCTGGTCTCGGTCATGCCGAGTTAACGGTGAAGCACCATGCAAGCTAAAGTTAAAGTTAGCCATCTGCTATTAGCCTTGCTACACTGTTAGCCGTGCCAGTAACGGTAAAATAAACAACAGTACACATTATGTGATCGAGCAACTTCTCCTACTGAGGCAGCTGCATGTCTCCAGAAATGAGTAACGCGAGTTAAGACGCAGAGGTACCGATTGGCGGGAGAGGGGGCAGTTGAAAACATTTTTCTGGTCTGAGATTGATTCATGATATATACGTGGAATATTAGTAAGATGATCAGTTGGTCTTCATGTCGGCGTGAAGAGCAGTAGCCTACAGTGTATTGAGTGTTCCTCATTTTTATGATGTATGTGAGTTAGCTTTATTTTTATTTATTTATATAGGCTCTTTATTTTAGAGGATGACGAGTGTGTGAGTTTGACAAGACGAAGGATGACAAAATAATCAGACTCACACCTGCTACAGTCTGAATAATAAGCTGAAAAGAATTAGTTTCTCATCTTAATTACAGTTAAAAAATAAATAGCCAGGGGATGTTTTAGAAATAAAAAGGATTTGAAATAAGTTTTCTGTCTTTAATTCTTTGAAGAAGTGTTTGAAAGACTCAAAAGCAGCCAAAAAAATAAGTAAATAAGTAGATATATGACTTAAATTAACAAAATTTTAGAACTTCATTAAAATCGGCTGATTAATAGGTAATCGGATTTATTCCCCTGCTAATATTCAGTATCGGCATCGGCCCCTAAAAAATCCATATCGGTCGGGCCCTAGTTTTGTAGGTAGCTTATACAGGTTGAGGGCGCGGTCAGCTGCTGTTGACCAATCGTGCTCCCTATCAAACTAACAGCAGCGCTGCCATGGAGGATTAAACAACATCTAAGCATATAACCTGAGAGCTTTAACCCAGAAGGTGTGTTTTTATTCCTGATCACAAACATCACAGAAGAAGAAAAAGCTTCTCAGTAGGAGTGGTGTCTTCTTTTAAAACTGAGAGACTCTCAGGTTTAAGACCGCCATCTTCAACCCCACCCTCATAATGCCCACCTGCCTCCAGGCATAAAAGCAATACAGTAAAGGACAGGTATGGAAACTACAGAACATTATCCAACAACAAAAACACTAAATATCCACCTGCCTTCAGTCTGCGCACATAGATAAGGATTTTTTTTGGCAGAGCCTCACATAAACTGCTTTTCATAATGGCCCCTAGAGTTTGAAAGAGATGCTTGGACTTTTAGCGGTTTAATTGTGCATGCAGTCAATGCTCTGTACGCCTGGTATAAATTTGACAGAAATAAGTGCTTTAAGTTAAGAGACAGCTAAAATTGAAAAATGTTGGCCAACCTTTTTTTATTTTTGTAATGTAAGCTCATACTCTCACTTATTCATGAAGCAAGTAAAGGCTGTTTACTTCAGATATCAAGCACATTACAATCACAAAAACGATAGTACGCCAAGAAGTAAACAGCAAATATGACATTCAAAATACAATAAAAGGGGATTTTTTCTTTAGAACAAAAATACACCAGACCCATTTAAACAACTTAAGATGAACCTGTGAGAGTTCATGCGGAAAGAGACACACAGAAGCATTTAGTCTTGAACCAACTTGAACCATACCTCACATGCTAGAAAACACTGATTTACATTCACTGCAAATACACAGGCTGTGGTAGAGACGGCTGTTTGTATGTGAGTCACTGTGAACTCAGTGTAAAATATTTGACTTATCAGTGACAGCTGGCTCACCCCGTACAGACCTGTAAAAGCCCGTAAAGGTGAAACGGTGTGGGTCCAGGTCTTTCATGCAGTAGAGATAAAATCATAGCAATCTGGAATCTGAGGATGACGTATGAATAATGTATGTTCTGAAATGTTTTTGCCTGAGAAACAATTCAGCCTGAGTGAGCAGATGGGGTTGAATACTTTTACAGCTACGTTTCAAAATCTTCACTGCTATAAATCAACGCTATGTGTATAATTTAACACCTTTGGGAATTAAGGAAGTAATGTGTAAGGAAGGGGCACTTTGTTTGATTTTCTATGCACTATATAAACAAATATATCTATAATTTATTGAGGCCAAATGGAAATATTTTTTTAAAAACTTGGTAGTAAAAGATAGTTTTTTTTCTCTTTTTCTCTGTAAAGTCCAGAAGTACATGATTAGTAAAAGTACTGCATGCAAAACCATAGTAGTTGAGAAATTCAGTAAACCAATGCCATTATCTGTGGAAAAATCCTGCTAAACAATTATATCAGTTCACATTAACCTGCAAAAGACAGAGCAGAGACAGGGCAGTGAAATTTGAACTACAGCCTCATTAACAGGCTTGATTATCTCAAAACTTCTCTGGAGAGCAAAGTTCTTCACATTTTCCAAGAGAAATGCCCTTGGATCATTGCTGATGTAAAGGCCAATAGTCACATCAGTACAGCAACCAGGTGGAAACTTTTGATGTTTAATATTATGCTTTATACTTTTAATACCAAGCATTAACTATGAGTTTGTGTAAGTTTTCCTGAACTCTAGGTCTGTGGTAAGATATTTTGCCCGTAACCTTTGGGAGATAATAACCAATCAAGTCTGTGAGTGGAAAATACTAACAACCACCATATCAGGTTTCAGCATCTGACCGAATCAAGTAATAATAAGGAGATCATATTGAAGATGTACCCTCCTCATAAGCCATCAGCTAACATAAGGTAACAACTTAGCCTTTCTGGGGCCTCTGGTGAAGATGGCTTGGTGATAAAAGACATATGGCTACAGCCTTTTTTTCTGTGCATTGCTCGATTAGTTACTCGAGGAGCAAGAATGGAGTAGAGAGACAATGTTTAGGAGCAGATTGTTAGCTGCCCTATAATGCAGATGTCTGCTTTGTGGAAATGTTTAAATGGTTCAAAAAAGCTGGTATCCTGCGTTAGTATAGCTGTAACTCAGACGCACATGCGCTATTATACATGCGAAATATCTCCATAAACCGGCTGAGGTTTTGTTGATTAGAAAAGTATTTTTTATTCCAAACAATGCACAATGATATATGAACATTAAATCTTCTTCCTCAGCCATTTTGCCACAGAGACAGTCTCAGTTATTTCTGGCCATCTGTCTCCTTATTTCATGCCATGCTAGCAGCATCTGAGAAAGGAAATGTCAGTCTGAGGGTCTGTGGGTTCACCATTTTTGCCCAGACGGAAATGTTCTGCAACAAACGGGGGTTTGTATGAAATTTTTAGGCACACATCCATGGTCCCTGGAGGACAAAGAAGACTAAAAAATACAGTATGTGCTGAATTTGTCCTCTAATGCTGCAACCAGGCTAACACTTGTGTTTTATTAACAGCTTAGGATGGCCACACATTTTTCTACAGTCGATCTCGTTTTGTAGGGGATCGCTTCAATTAGTTTAATTCCCTGAATTTTCCTAATGAACCATGATGTCAACCTGCTGGTTTAACACTGCGGCTTTGGACTGGACTTTTTGGCTGTTGCAATGTTGCTTTTTGTTTGGACATAGTCAAACATATTTAGATAAGAAGATGGGGATATGAGAGGAGAAAGGGGTTGGCAGATGCTAGGTTATCAGAGTCATTCAGTCTTTGCCCAAGGCTAGTTCGTTAGCAGTGTGTCTTCAGGCTGCAAGAACGGGTTGTAACGGTTAACAATCATCTTTGTTTTATCGCTCTATTAACTTTTAATTAAACAATGAGCCTTCATTATTGAAAATATCAATCTATCTATTGTAACTGGTTGTATTTCTGGGATTAATGTGATGAGAGAACAGGTTGGCTGAAGGCTGATCTATAATGCTGATATTGCAATGTTTCTCATTGTTGTTTTTAAATTGCAAGAATAAAAGTGTTGAGCCAACATTTCAATAAATCAGAAAAGGATCACATTTGGCTCAGTAAAATTTGGCCACAAGGGACTTGAGGATTTCGATCCTGCCATCTTAAATTATTCAAAAAGTACAAAATGTGAGTTAAATATTGTGGTTGAAATGAAAAAAATAATGTGGCATATAAATCCATCATCCATTTAAATGAAATATAGATGATTATCTGAGCCAGCAACATGTTGTAGATGAATGTTTAATGGATTAGTAATGAGACTAATACAGTGGGTTATTATAGATTTCAGAGCATTGCTGGTATTTGTGTGAAGCAACTCCAAACCGTTTTATTCTACACACTGTATGATAATTGAATTAACTCTAAACATCAGCCAGTGACTGTTGAAAATTTGCTGTCATTGGGGATTTTAAAAAAAAATTGTTTTCAAAGGATCTTTGTGATTTCAGCCTTCTGATGGCTGATATAAAGCCAAATATTACTGATGTGACATCAGTCAGTCTACTTATCACTATAGCTCACTTTTAAAAAAATGTATTTGAAGAATATTTGAAACGTTTCATTTGCTTGTCCACATCTCCAGCAGAGGCACAGCAAACTGAACAAAACGAACCAGTATCTTGAAGAGCTGGTAGTCTGGGAACAGACTCACCTCTGCAGCCAGCCTCAAGTGGCCACTCTAGGATCCACAGTTTTTGACAGTTGTTTGTAAGCATGTAGCAGGGGTTCTTGTTTGTCTCCAAACAGAAGCTGCTGCATTTTCCCAGCTGATGTAAAAGAGACAAAAAGAATCTGGAAAAATTGGTTGAAGAAAAAGAAAACCGCAGCATATCATCCACTGAACAGAGAGGATGAGTGGCTGCAACCTGCCACCTTAAAAGACCTATACGCCTTTAGGACACCCCCACCAGTTTTCTGTTACATTGCACACTGTCTTATTTATACCTAAACTGAAATTTTTGCACAAACATCATCCTCTCTTGCACCCATACTTGCACAAATGCACAGCTCACCATGGCAGATTTTGTATAAATCTGGATTAGTGATATCTGCTGGGTCTCTTTTCAATAAAATTATACTTTATAAAATACAAGCCTGAACATCATTAGTATTTCTGCCTCTGAAACACCGCAGCAAACAGATCAGTGTGTTTTACTGACTTTTCTATGACAGCAATTGATTTTCTTCTTTCAGTCAATGGCAGCCTTCACAAGGAAATGGAGGCTCTCTCTGCCGTGCAGGATACATATCCGCCACTGCAATACAATATTGGCACGATCTGTATTATGAGAAAGCCCTCAGGACTTAAGTAAAGCATGCATATTATTGAACCCGCTCTCCGGGGCTCAGCAGCAACCTACAACTTATTGGTTTTGTATGTGAACAACACCGGTCCAGCAGCTTACAACATTTCTGTGGCTTGTGCAGTTCTGTTGCCACACTCTGTTGTGCAGTTTAAGCAGTTTCCTCAGCACAATTAAGCAGTTAATATTCCAAACAAACCAGATAACGTAGAGTCAGCAGAAGAGGGGCACAAGTAAACGAGGTCTCCCAGGACTGGACTGACTAAAAACTAAACTGTGTTTATATAATCTGCTCTGCAATACTGTGTAATATTGATTAAAGGGCGAGCGTGTTGAAATATTGATGAGAAATCAGTAATTCATGTTGATGCTGGATTCGCGCTGATCAAATTTTGTGTGAAAAAATGTACAGAATCAGTCACCCTATGATTTAAATAACTGAATTATTTATTAGTGAGCTTTATTTGAGTAAAGGACTTCTGACATTAGCTTCTTTCAACACATTAGTACAACTATGTACTTTGAAAAAGTACAAATTCATCACAGACGAATAAAGGGAAGATCATGATTTTCTTTTCTTTATTTTACTCTGGGCCATGTTAGCTAGTATCTTTAAATAAAACAGCTGATGGCGTACTTTAATTTAGCTGCTTCAGTTTCTGTTTAAGGGTCTGGATCCCTTACAGTTAGATACGGGCTCTGAATGTACCTAAAGTCAAAACAAAGACAGATGAGGATGCATTTATTCACTATGGGGCTGCTCTGAGGAACAAGCTGACCACTGACCTGAAGTCTGCAGGAACTCTTAGGCTATGTTCACACTGCAGGTCAATTCTGATTTTTAACCATGTGTGACACATATCTGATCTTTTCATGTAAGTGTGTGCAATTCTGATTTTTTCAAATCCGACCCAGGCCTCTTTTGTATGTGGATATCGGAAATGTATCCGTTCATTCGACCTAGACGTCATCAATATGCGACAAACGTCACCATTGTACGACAACACAAACAGGCCACTTCACGGATGCATTCCGTTCACATTTTATGCCGCATTCATTGTTGCAATGTGAGCAACCACAGAAAAAGATCGGAATTAACAAAAATCTGAATTGTGCATCATTACCTGCAGTATGAGCGTAGCCTTAGTGCTCTAAGAGTGGTCTTAAACACTGTTTGTGCATGTGAATGTGTGCATGGCTCTTATAGTGCTCTTGACATAATAGGACAGGGGCCATAAAACCTTTACTTGAATGCATGTGAGTGATATGGTTTGGTGCAATGTCGAACCGTTAATGTGGTTTTTATTCTTTGTATAGATCATTTTATTTGTAGTTATTTTTTCCCCCAGTAAAGTACAATAAGTGTGCATTTGTATGAAATGTGTACCATGAATAATATGGAATATAACTACATTGAATAGCATTGAATGAAGTCAAACTGAGTCAGGAGTATCAATATTTTCACATTTTTAAAATTTAAAAGAAAAGGTAAACTTTGGACCAACTTTACGATCAACTTACAATGGATTAAAACAAAACTTTCTAGTCTGACATTAAGTTTTTACCTCTGAGGCATGTTACCCCACTTTGCTTTTCATTTAAACAGACAAAACTCTGCCAAATATGATATATGCTCACTTTCATTCTTTCCTTGAGAAATGCACCAGTGCAACAGGTGGGCGATGGAGCTGTCAGTCAACCAGGATTCTGAACATGCCCACTCAGTCCTGAGAAAAGAAGCAATTAGGGAGAAGTTAAAAAAAAATGGGATTTAATTCAAAAAAGAAATTCATGTTTTGTCATCATACCTTATGAAAACCTTTTTACTTTTACTTTTGCTTGTGAAAAAAAAGCCACAAACTGTGAAATCAAATTTGATGAAAGTAGTGAAAATGCCAGTTATTTTTCCAGGGGTAAAGAAATACTGGTCACACTTGCTTGCTTAGTCAAAAAATAATAATCACTTATACCATACTTGAGCATTTTGTAAAGCCGGTAGGCCTTCTCGAGTTGAGGAGGGATAAGGGGGGTTGGCCTACCCCTGAAATGGAATGGTCAAATTCATCTCCCTTCTAAAACGGTCATCCAAACTTTCCATCCCTTGAGCGATTTTTTTTGTCAGTGGATGTGGAAATCTTACTAATATTTTAACATTAGAAATATTACCGCAATTTTAACATTTAGCGAAGCGGGTGTGACGGAGCGGCGTCACATCCGCGTGGAGGCGCAGTAGGCCAACACGCCAGACATTTCCCTCCCCGCCAGCGTCGCTATTTAACCACTAAACCGCGCTACTTTACCTTCCCTCTTCTTTGTTTGATAGAGTAACCAAAGTTGCACACTTTGAGCTCTATCAGTTAACTTAAACATACATTCACACAGATATTCATTCCTCCACTTACTTGCCGGGTGTCCATTCACGCCATCACGCCGGGTCATGTTTCTAAATAAGGAAACGGAGCGCGTGATTTCCGGGTGTAAAGTAGGTGTGTATGGAGGGTCAAAGTGGTCACATGATGCAAGAAAAATTATTTCCTTTATTGCTTGCCATAAATCCTTAAAATGTAATACTCCATTGATTTTTGTTAAAACTGAGTTAAAATGGCAAAAACTTACAGAAAAAGGTCTAAAGATTAAAAAATGGTTTAGATGTGAATAAATAAGTTTTTTTTCTCCGAACTTATGTAATTGATCACGCCCACTGGGAGGGGCTGGGGGGGCTAGGGGAGTTTAACAGAGGGCTCGAGACTGGATTTTGTTGTATGGAAGATTACGGAACTACCAAACTGATTTCTCTAGTGCTGCTGTGTTTCTGTTTTTTTCTCTTGAGTGAGATTCTTGAGTTATACTGGAATTCTTGCCTTGTTGGCATTTTCTTTTTTGCCTTGTGCATTTTGTAAATAGCATTTGACAATTTTTTTGCCCTTTTGTAAATATTTTTGCACTGCACCTTGGAAGACCGACTGTAAGTAAATCCAATAACCATGACTGAGTTTTTTGCTATGCCTGTGTGTTTCCACTATATCGTGAATGTTTGAGCGTGAATCTCGCGACAGGGGGCTTTGCACATATTTGGTAAAACACTTTGCGTGAGGTGGCACGTGTGAAAATGAGGCTATAGGCTGTAGTAAATAGCCTATATATAATTTTGTATTTCAGTGTTTTTTTTCTGTTTTTAACACCATTAACACCAGAACTATTTAAGTATTAAGTATTAAAAAGACAGAAGAAACCATAATGGAGCATAAAACTTTGAGATTTCTTCATTTGTGCCCTCAGCCTAAAGGTTCAAGCTAAAAACCTAATGGTTCCTACACCTCCCATGGTGCCATTCAATATCTTTCCATTAGTAGTTTTCTGGGTTAGTCTCTAAGCTGCTTTTTCTTGGCCTTTTAAGCAGCTAATTTTCTCTTGTGCTTATTAGTCATATATTTAATCCACACTCTGCATAGGTGCAGCTACTTACTCAGTGCTTTTTTTCTCTCCAGTCGGCTCACTGCAGAGCAAACCTGGTAGTTTACAGTGTGACATTATCAGATTAACCAGCAGGTGACAGTGTTCCTCCTGTGTGGGCCTCATGTGGACAGGTTCACACACTGATGAAATGAAGCTTTTGACCTAAGGGAAACACTGCAACTGAACACCGTCTCCACAAACCAACTGTTTCTTGGTTCACTGCCAGCAAGAAACAAAATGCAAATTATATAATTAGTATTCTGCAAACACAACAGCCTGTTAACTCTATACAACAGAAATATTCAGTGGATGCAATTAAATGCTTCCCCCCCAATATCAGAGATAAAAATTACCATACAATAATACTTATCTTGTCTGTCACTATTAGAAATCACCGCACGGATACTCGAGATACATGATTTTATGGTGAATTAATCTAATAAGATCTGATTTTACAATGAGGCACTTCACATTTTCAACTTGGTAACATAATTGGGTAAACATGTTGCAATAAGGAAACAGTGAGTTCTCCCTCACAGCCTTGTGTGCAGAAATTGCTGCGTGCCAAGCAGTAGGTGTAATACCTTAAGTCCTTAACTTTTGGTGTTATGTAAACAAAGATGCTTTTTCTCTTCAAGCAAAGACAGAGAAACAGCTTTGTTACACAGACAGCGTGTGTGTAACAATGCGGATGGCTGGGAGTCGGTGTGCGAAAGAGGCATTAAAAAACTATTGCCAGAAAAGTTGTGATGTGGTTATTTGGCTCCTTGGCTGCTGTGTGGTTCGTGCTCTTTTTATTTTTTAGTGTGGATCAAATCTTTGGAGAATTTTTTTTCTTCCCTGTAACAGTCTGAATATCTTTCTGACCTCATTCAAAGTGCATTGAAAAGCTTCCCCCTGAACCGCATGCCTCCTGCTACCTAGTTTGTTGCAGAATCTCACATCAATGTATTGAACTAATGAAACTTCAGGAGAACTCACCCATATCAACCTGTTTTCTCTCCCCCGCAAAATTCTGACAAGTCTCATTTCTTTTTCTTTCATGCTCTGCTTCCTCCAGAGCCAATCCCATGACTCCTGAATCTTGCTGTTGTGGAAATAAAAAATTCATTCTTTCCCCTCACCTAGTAAACAGCTAAATACACCAGCTGGCTAATAAGAGAGAAAGAAAAAAAACAACAACAAACAAGACACTGCAAGCAGAGAGAGAAAAAAAAGAAAGAAAAAGCATGAGGAAAATGTGAAAGGCTTATGAAAGAGATACAGTTCAACGTGATGTTTGGACATGAAGGTGTGAGACGTAGATTGCACCTGCAAATGTAACACATTATTCTGTGTGACAGTTTTCAGATGCATTCAGCACTGTGTGAAGGGAGGTTTTACTGTAACGCCAGCATCTTATTTTGAAGAGTAAAGCTCTGCAAAATAAATTCACAACCACTTTTGCTGTCAGTGCCAGTAGTCTGACAGAGCAAAAACAGAAAAACAGACCTGATCAACAGAGAATGTTTCCAAAATATATTTCAAGGTGTTTTGAAAGCTCACGTACAAAACTAATGTTTGTCAGGGGTGTGAAGACTGTTTCCAACTGAGGAGGCCAAACTCCTGAAAAAAAATGGTTCAAAGTATGTGTGCTTGAATACCAGACGCTAGCATTTATTTACCCTTTTAACGCCCACTAATCTCATTTACTGAACTGAATTTCACCTCAAATTGGTATAGCTAAATGGACCCATACAGAAATATATATATATGACATAATAATAATAATAATATATGACATACATGACAATAGCCATGTTTACATGGGCAAAACTTCTTGATCTGATTGAAAATTTGAGGGATTGGAAAATCTGAATCCGCTGTATATATGGGTGCAAAATCAAATAACCCATTCATAATGTGTGTATACCAAGCTTTATTCAGATTGGGAGCTTTTGGACATACGCAGAGTAGTCTGGTTTCGCTAAAACACACACAGAGGAGGAGTTGTATTTACACCTGTGCTGTCAACAAACCAACAAACGCGGTAGTGGCTCACTCCATTCAATTCAGGATTTTTCCCATTGTTAAATGTTGTCACTAGATGGCGTATTTTATTGTTCTGTCAAAGGTTGCACTGTGCGTGCAGATGTGACATCATTACGCTGTATGTACGCCTTATTATGTTACTGGAGGAGCATGCGCAGCAACTGTGGTTGTGTTTTATGCCAGAGTGTTAATAATGAAACCTCCCGTTCTGGCCTCAATAAATAAACCAAAGGCTAAATAGTGAAGATCGAGTCAGATAAGACAGTCACGATTGGAATAAGTGTATACATGGACGCGTTTCGGAATAATGATCAGCATAAACCACCCCTCTTGATCCAAATACAGTTTCTTGCTGATTAAGCTGAATTGGATCAGAATCTTCCGATCAGCATGTTTACATGATGCTTTTTTATTCCGATTGAGCCTGTATTCCGAATATTTGTGCCCATGTAAACACAGCCGATGTATCAGGAGTAATCTTACCATATATGTTACACATAATGGCATATACACTCATCAGCCACTTTACTGGGTACACCTGTTCATTTACTTGTCAACACAAACAGCTAGTGGCAGCCTCTCAATGTATTTAGGCATGTAGACCACTTGTTGAAGTTCAAACCAAACATCAGAATGGAGAAGAAAGACAAGCGGGTCTGAGTATTTTAGAAACTATTGATCCTCTGGGATCTTCACACACAACCATCTCTAAGGTTCATAGAGAATGGTCTGAAAAAGAGAAAATATCCAGTGTGCAGCAACTGAGTGGATGAAAATTCCTTGTTGATGTTAGAGTTCAGAGGAGAATAGGTGGACTGTTTTGAGATGACAGAAAGGCAACAGTAAGCCAAATAACCATTTGTTCCAACCAGGGTATGAAAAATATCATCTTCTGGATGCACAACTGTCGAACCTTGAAGAAGATGGGCTACAGCAGCAGAAGAAGACCACACTGGGTGTGACTCCTGTCAGCTAACAACAGGAAACTGAGGCTCCAATCCAGACAGGCTCATCAATATTGGACAAACTTTGCCTGGTGTGATGAGTCTTGACTTCAGCTGAGACATTCAGAAAGTTGGGTCAGAATTTGGTGAAAACAGCATGAAAGCATGGAACCAACCTGTCTCCAGTTTAGGCTGCTGCTGGTGGTGTAATGCTGTGGGGGATAATTTTTTGGTCCCCTTAGTACCAACTGAGCATCGTTTAAATACAATCCTTCTGGATCAGCAAATGGATAATTAAGTGAGATACTAAGAGGCTGCAGATTCTCCACAGAAGCTGAATTTAGTGATTTTTTTCCCCCAACTGAATTCAAAACCTTGCTTAAAATACATCAAGGTCGTGTTGTAAACAGCTCTGAGTACCATTTTTGGAACAGTTCAGAAACATTTACACAACACATTTCAGTGAATGTAATGTAGTTATTTGACAAGTAATCTTACCATGCAACAAGAGTTAAGAAGAAAATAAAATATCTAAAAAAAACATAAAAAGTCCACCAAGTATAATGGGCATAAGGCATCTATGTCTCTTGTTTTGTTGTGTGATGCCTGCATACTGCATTAGATTGAGTCCTTGAATGTTCTTGATGACGTCTACATGTTTTTTGTAGTTTGGCTATACGAGCAGAGAACAACAGCATGCATGAAAAAAGAGAGAAATGCAGATTGGCACCAGCCCACATTGCTTGCTATGAGTTACCTTTAGCATCCTTTACTAATGCCTGCAACCCAAGAAAGACACCTTCATAACCGCGGTAACTCCTGGCCAATCAGAGCATTCATTTATTTCACAGTTAATTGACTGCACATTCTCCGGGGAGTAAAATTAAAATTAAAATTAATTAATCTTTCATGCCTCTTCCTGATTAAATGATTGAGAGATCATTAATAAGGGAGAAGACAAATTGGCAGATAGTGTTAATAGGAAATAAAGAGGTCCTTTCAGTCATGTTGTGCTGGCACATGGACATATTTCAGTGGCCAGGACTGTCGTAACAATGCCATTCCATGTTGAAAATGAGCCTTCACATCCAGATTGTTGTTGTGTTTTCTTCTATTCGGCTGCATCCATTCAGTGTGGTCTTGAAATGCTTGATGTACCATTTGACAGAACAGCCAGTAGACATGTAAGAGCATAATTTGCTCATCATAATGGACAAATAGGGGGCACGCCAGCTTCAATCTCTGTCATCTGGTGTGTGATGGTTACTCTGTTCTGGGGGTCATTTGGCGCACAAGAACATTAAAAGGGACATGAGAGGAAATGCATTTTATGTGCGGTGTATGTTCTAAAAATTCTTCAAATGCTCTCATAATGGCCTGCCAAACACTTCAACTACATCCTGCAATTTGATTTCTATAAGCAGCTGCTCAGTTGTTTGTGTTGATGTTAGACAGAAGCATCTTTTGTTTTTCTTCTTTTCCTATCTCGTCCGATCACACAAGTGACAGTGGTTAGAAAGATAATTTTACCCCCCAATACTTTTCCTGTCAACATTAATTCAAAGTGCAGAGCAATCCAGTAAATCTTGACATTAGAGTAAGAGCAGCACTCTTTCTTCCAGCTTTTAACCAATTTCAGTCCACTGACAGAAACGGCTTTAACAAGGTTATGATGAGTGTACAGTTGAGTATCCCGCTGAGGACACTTCACCTTCCCCCTCACGCTGCGTCCAACTCATAGTCATATACTGGTGTTGTCTGCCGGCTCTTGCTGACATTAACAAGATATGCCTTTCAAATATCATGGCCTTTGGGACTGGGTCAGAGGAACTATTTATAGAAGGCCAGGACTTCATGTTAGTTTGGCTTGCTGTGGCGATAACTGAGAATAGAGTTGGTTTAAAGAGCTCTGCTACAGCTGATTTTGTGTCAGTTACTGCTGCGGGCACATGAACAGATGTGGTCCGCACAGACTCTGGATCACTGGCTCATACACTGCTTACAGTCCTTGAGGAGTAATACACTGGCATGGAAATATTATATGCTGCAGTCAGGCTGATGGACTTTAAAGCAGGCTGGTGTTCAAGGCCTAATCGAATTTCTGCATGACAAAGACTACAAAATCAAATGGAGAAAAACTCGCAATCCCCCCCCCACCCCTATGGTGTGGTAACGAGCGGATTTTGCAGTGTTCTGCTTTTTTAGTCGCAGCAAAAGACATTAAAAGGAATGTCATATACTGTTAGCATCTGTTAGCTAAGGCTCTCCTGCCAGCTATGTGAGAGTAAACAAGTTAGCCACTGTAGCTGCCAGATATTATCACCACAAGCATGTGTTTATCCTACATATCAGGCAATGCTTTGCTAAGGCCAGCAGCAGACTATGTTATGTAATGTAAAAAGAACATTTTTAGAATTTTTTGACAGGTTAGTGTTATTATTTAAATCACAAAAATGCCAGACTACTTAAATCATTGTCGGGTGTGTCGCATTCAGTTAAAATAAAAACAAAAATGACAGTGGAAACTCATTTTAGTTTGTAAGGATAAGCTGTTAATGCAATAATTTTCCACCCAAGATGCAATACCACTCTGCCGGTCTCCTGCATGTGAACTTATTGCTTCATTTCTGTGTATAACATCATTGAAAAACTCCAGCCTCTCTCTCTGACAGACACCCCACCCTTTCCCTTATATATCCAATCAGCTCCACCCTCCTCTTAATATTAATAGCCTTGCCTTTAAATCCCTGAACCTGAGCCTGTGGTGTGGGCGCCTCTCTCGCTGTGTGTCCGGTCTTACCTGCTGTCTGACTGTTTACATCCTCTCAGAGCTTCTGTTAGTTTTGTCAACATGTCTAAACCACTGTCCGACCACGATAGGAAGAAACAGATCTCGGTGAGAGGCCTCGCAGGTGTAGAGAACGTCGCAGAACTGAAGCAAGACTTCAACAGGCATCTCCACTTTACGTTGGTCAAGGACAGAAATGTGGCCACCAAGAGGGATTACTACTTTGCTCTGGCTCACACCGTGCGGGAACACTTGATTGGCAGGTGGATCCGGACCCAGCAACACTACTACGAGAAAGATCCAAAAGTAAGTACAAGACAGGACAACAAATTAAGTCAATGTCTGAATTAAAATGCAGTTATCGTCTTGGCAAAAACGGCATAACAAATGTTTCTTATTTATTCATCAGATGCAAATATGCTGCATTGACTTGTCCACTACTGCATATAGTGGACACGGCTTTGGCAACATGCTGTGCAAGAAACCTAAATCTTGCACTTTTCCGTGGGATAACTCTGCTGCTTCTACGAATTGCAAACATTTCTTTAAAAACAACTACTCCTTTCCACAACAGCAAGGTCTTTATATTCCCCAGCTGTACTTTCCATAGCCTCATGTCAGTGTAATGCCAAGTCTTGACATTTAAACTTCAGCGGGCTCTTCTTAGCACTCTGCTGGTATGCTGCCTTTCTTACAGTGTGTTGAAACATTACACCACTCCATGACCTTCTGTTCCCATCCTGTCTGACCATAAAGCACACAGCCTTTTACTTGTGTCATATGAGCACATGCCTCCAAGGACATGCGAGTGCATGTACAAGTCACATAGTCTGAAAAAAAGAAAAAAACCTCAGCACATGCAGTGTTACCTAGCAATACCCATAGATAGATTGAACAACAGGAGGCTAGTGTCACAATTGCAAACCACACCATATCATCGCTTGGAAATGTCACAAATCTGCATGAAATTGAAACCTATGGTTCAGAGGTGAAACTCATCCAAGATTGCTTTCACTGTGCAGGAAAACAACCTATTCATGATCATAAACAGCTTATACAAATAAGGATTCAAACTGAAGAACACCTGCACATCTTAGCCAGATTCTTGATCTGCAGTTTAGAGATGATCCCCACATCTATTTATCTCAGAAGGCAGACAACATTTTACATGTAATATTTAGATAGTTGTTTGAAACTGTTTCATGACATGTTTATAAGCTCTGCACTCCAAGTCAGAAACTATTCCCCTGACTGAGTAACCCTGTTCTGGTACCCCAGACTGAAAGGTCATAGGTCAAAGCCTCAAAGTTTGGCACAGAAACACGACATTTAATCCCAGTCTGCAGTTTTAATGATGCATGCAATCACATTACAGTTACACATTTTATTGCATTTCTTATGCACAAGACTGTAAAAAATAGATCAGCATGATGAACAGAGAAAAAAAAAGGATTGAAGTCTGATCGGATTTGGATCATAAAGTGATAAATAATTCACCTGATTCTGTTAGCTACTCTGTTACATGGCTCTGTCTGTCATAATCATCATGACTCCCCTTGATCCACCTCTCTTATTTGAGACTTGAACCCCACAATGAAAGGGTATCGGGCTCAGGCTGACCTTTATAGCGACCTCTACAGGAGTTATTTTTGCACAGACAAAAATGTTGGTGTTACATAACGCCCAGAGCAATCTGTCCCCCAGCCCCTCGTCTCTATTCTACTCCTCCCCTTCGCCTCTCCACCTCCGAATCGGTCTGCCCCTGCATGTCGGAGCAAAAAAGAAACAACTAAATGGCAAAGGCTAAACACAGGCTCAGGTGGCACATCTCTATGCAGGCCCTACCAGGACACTACATCATCTAACTCAACGATTTCTTTGACAGTCTGGGTAGCATTTCCGTGATATATTCGGTGTCAGATTTCATTGCTTTTCGGAGAACCAGCCCATAACTATGCCTACGAAATAACCTTAAAATATTTCAACAGCATCTCCATGATCACTTTGTCTGATATTGATTCCTCACTTTCTTCCCTCTCTGCAGCGAGTTTACTACATCTCCCTTGAGTTCTACATGGGCCGTACCCTCCAGAACACCATGGTCAACCTGGCGTTGGAGAACGCCTGTGATGAGGCCACATACCAGGTCAGGAGAAAAAAGGCCTCATCTATGTGTTCACAATTTCTTCCTTCAAACAGACTCTCTAAGTCTGTTTTATGTTCTGTTGTTGTCTTTAGTTGGGTCTGGATATGGAGGAACTTGAGGACATGGAGGAGGATGCAGGTTTGGGAAACGGTGGCTTAGGTCGCCTTGCTGGTAAGCAACCTTACACCCTTCATATCTGATTTATTCAAGGTTATATACACTCCTGTTGGCTGACTTTAATAATGCATAATCTCATGCAAGAGCAAGTCCAAGGTTCATCTGCTTTTTTCTATCTGGTTTTCAGCCTGTTTCCTGGACTCCATGGCCTCACTGGGTCTGGCTGCATACGGCTACGGTATCCGTTATGAATTTGGTATCTTCAATCAGAAAATCGTCAACGGCTGGCAGGTTAAAATAATCCACTCCTCCTTTGTGCTCTAAAAAAAACCTGCACAATCTTGCTCCAGTGCTGCTCGAGCAGCTGCTCATGTTTCTTTTCCACCTTAAATCACCTTCTGAGTTTCCTTTATCATTATTTTACTCCGATGTTCCTTGTCATTTTCTGTGCCTGGCAGAGCTTAGAAGCCACTCAGCAGCATAATGAGGGCTTTTTCCCTTCAGTATAAATGTGTGTCATTACCCAGGTTGAGGAGGCCGATGATTGGCTGCGCTTTGGCAACCCTTGGGAGAAGGCTCGTCCTGAGTATATGCGCCCCGTGCATTTCTATGGCAGGACGGAGCATCACCCCGACGGTGTCAAATGGGTCGACACTCAGGTGAAAATATGGTTTCAAGAAAATTATCATTATTAGAGTGAGGTAGATTAAATATCTATCCATGCCATTTCTTAATCCTTGTCTGTGTTGATTCTGGCAGGTGGTGCTGGCTCTGCCATATGACACCCCCATCCCTGGCTACAGAAACAACATTGTCAACACCATGAGGCTTTGGTCTGCCAAGGCGCCCTGCGAGTTTAACCTTAAAGACTGTATGTGTCCAGTAAAGATCAAACATTTGAGTCATGTAGTAGCTTCAAATAAGAATTAATAGAAGGAGTTTGTGTTTTTTTTTTAAATCTCTACAGTCAATGTTGGTGGCTATATTCAGGCTGTGCTGGACAGGAACTTGGCTGAGAACATCTCCCGTGTGCTGTATCCCAATGACAATGTAAGAAACATGAATACATTATCTTATACAAAGGCCATGCATGTGTAAACTTGGATTAGAGGAAAGTGCTGAAGGTGGATCAGTATAGGGGCTGTGTGCTGGACCGTATGGCTCCTGTATGTCCTGAGGGTTTATCTTAATTCAGCAAAGAGACAGATTTCCATAATTTGGACCCAAGCCTGTGTCCTTTGTCATCAGCTGGAGCCACTGTGTGCTCTTTCAGCTTCCGTTAAAGCTCTTTTATAGCTGACGTGAAGACTGACCACTGTGGAATAACTCCCTGAAGGCTCAAGGAGGAGGATTTAGGAGATAACCATCGAGCTGGAGCGATTACTCATGTCAGGTGTGGTAATTTATGTGAGCGCAGACACATAGCTGGACCAGATATTCAAAGGTGGTCGAAATACAGTTCACTAACACTTGTGTATTTATAGGGTGTCACAGCCACTTATTCTAACTGGTTGCCAAGTTTTTCAAAATATAGTTGACCGGTAGTGCACAAAGAAAACTTCATTCTGCGATGCAAACATCTCATGCATTTCATAATGAGATGTCACATTATTTTAAATCACATTTTATCCTTATACAAAGAAAAAATACAGCCTGGCCTCTCTAAACAAAACCCTCCTTTCGCCACATGTCAGAGCCAAGGTCACCCCCTTCCCTGTGGTATTCCCTATCTAAGTGGTTGACAGTTACCCAAAGCATTGACTAGAGGATCTAGGAGTCAACTTGTCAAGTAGTTGGTTAAATTCCTGATGTGCAAGGGAATTATCACAGGGGGAGCAAGTGGGCCTTTATTGTTTATTTAAGTTACTTGTTACAAAAAATGTTTAAAAAGCTATGATAAATAATATAAATACATTAAAATGAAATTAACTACCCATAGACTGTATAGACTATGGACAACTTGGTTCCGCCTTCCGCCACTATGCTGATTTGAAGCCGAAAAGCTCTCGGTAATTCTGTGTTTTTTCTCCACTTCCTGAAACCAACATTGCACAGTAGCGTTGTACGCATTCGGCAGGAGAGTCGCCGAGAGTCGCTGTGATGACGCTCAGCTCAAACAGCGTATTCCCTGGGTGAGCTACGTAATCTCCCAACGCTCATAGGCTGTATCGAGTGTCAATCATAGAAAACATGAACCCCCTAATAACTTTTAAAAATGGAGCTGTACAGAAAAAAACGACGAGCACAAACCAGTCTTACAATAACTACATGTCAACATCGCAAGCAGGGGAGAGAGAAATGTATATTCTGTGTAATAAATTTCTTAAGTTTGTCCACAGTCCCGTAAGGACGGCTGGCGGAGGCGGGATTTATGACCTATACTGCAGCCCGTCACCAGAGGGTGCTGTTCTAAGGTTGGCTTCACCCAGCGAGGAGGCAGACAATGTCCATTCTATATACAGTCTATGGAACTACCCCAGATATCCAGCTAATTGGATTGCATGTAACATAATGCATCAATACATTACTATAGATTTCAACAGTTGCATATATAGATTTTGTAACATCATCCAAAAAACAATAAACCCAATTATGAGTCACCAAAAGTCAATAAAGTCAGGTTGAATCAGCATTTCTAATATGGCTTCAAAACCTCTAATGACTCAAGTCTCCGAGACTACATCCATGTGTTATACAGCCTACAGCTCATGATGCTAATGGACTGATGCAGATTTGTCAGACGGTCCTCTCCTTCATTTTGTTTCATGACTCGACTCTTCGTTAGCAGCAAGCATCCTGAACTCTAAATGAATTGTCTGTGATTGAAGGAAGACGGGATTGAATTCCCTTGGTCATCATCAGTAGCAAAAGCAATGCCATCCATAATCAGCTGATTACCACAAACTCAATATAAACCCAGTTGATTTGATGCATTGGTGCTAACTCAGAAACAATTCCCTAAGTTGAAACGAGGAAAGTGCTTAAGTATTATGTGCTTGTTTAGTGTAATGCGACAGCTGGGGTCAAACGTAAACAGAGCATGATCATGTGAATAAACCAATTGTGTGTTCAGAGGCTGAATTCTCCAGTCTTAAACATTAGGAATAATTGTTGGCTGTACTTCATGTAGAGGTGCAGCAGCTGTGCCAATTCTCTTTTTGTATATATTTTTTTTCCAGTAATTACAATGTTAAGGTATAATTTCTCTGAGTGGATAACCGCTATGTAATGCAAAGGCCATGTTTAAAGAATAAAAGAAACTATTCATGTTTGCCATCAGATCAGACTCAGTCAAATATGGTTTTTCTTCACAGTTCTTTGAAGGGAAGGAGCTCCGTCTGAAGCAGGAATACTTTGTGGTATCTGCCACCCTGCAAGACATCATCCGCCGCTTCAAGGTCTCTAAGTTTGGCTCCAGGGAGATCTCTCGTACAGACTTCAGCAAACTGCCTGACAAGGTGAGGCAAAAAATCTCAACAAAATAGTTCCTGTCAAAAATGAAAAGATTTCCCTCCAATGTTCTCCTATGTTGCTGTGGTTAAATTGCCTTTGTCGTTGTGTTGAACAGGTTGTGGGTGGTTTTCAGTGTATTGTATGAGAATAGTTGAAGTGAACGGGCTCTACAGAGCGCTTTATGGTGTGTTGTGACTCTGTGGTGACATTAAATATTGTTCTGCATGTTCAGGTTGCCATCCAGCTGAATGACACTCACCCAGCCATGGCTATTCCTGAGCTGATGAGGGTCCTGGTTGATGAGGAGAAACTTGAGTGGGATAAGGTAAGAGGAAAAAAAAAAAAAAGAGGCGGTTCCTGTTTTGATCTTTAAGTCTTAATCTTCTTTTAAAATCCAGATTGGATTTCATTGAATGGTTTAATATGATTTTGACTATCTGGCAAGAAATTAATATCCCATTTCATAGACAAAAGTAATAGAGCACAGAAGATGCATTGTTTTGATGATTACAAAAGCTCATATTTCCTCATTTATTGCATGATAGAATATTCATGTTTTATGCATCCCCTGTTTTTTAGGCCTGGGACATCTGTGTGCGCACCTGTGCCTACACCAATCACACTGTTCTTCCTGAAGCTCTGGAGCGCTGGCCAGTCGAACTGTTTGCTCATCTGCTGCCACGTCACCTGGAAATTGTCTATGAGATCAACCGTCGCCACCTGGAGGTCAGTGCCGCACATTGCAACGCTTTAACACTTCCATGTTATGTTGCCTACAATAAACACCTTTTTAATGAAAAGCAAAAGAAGCACTCTCAGGATGAAAAAACAGTGGACTGAAAACATCTCAGCCTTGAGTGTCTCTCTCAGCTCTTTTTCACGTATTCATGACCAAAGAAATTGTTAACATTTTCACTATCTGTAAACACCTTCTTGAAATGGTACAATGAGGGATGTAATTTCGTTGCAATCCTTTCTTAGTTTGTCCCTGATTGAAGGAGCAGCAATTATCGAAATAAATAAAGGGAGAACAAATGATTTAAAAAAAAAAAAAAACAATAAATAAATCAAAATAAGCTCAACAGCTTAACTGTTATTGAACTAAACAATTAGGTCTGGATTGTATGAGAGTATAAAGAAAGAAGAAAGACTATGATTTCAGTCTGCTGGTATTCCCGTCTGCAATGAGTTGCAGTCTGTTATAAAGGACTGATGTTTTTCTTTTTTTTTTGTTCTGAAGAACTTCTCTAACTAACCCCTGAGCTCCCCCTTATCTTTCACAGTTTAAGGGAAACACGACATCCTGAAGTTACTGTGAGATACAGAGCGCTTAATTAGATTTCTGGAAGAGGAGAGTCGACATCTGCTAATAAGAAAGCTTGAATGTCTCACTTTCTAAAAGTGAAAATATTATATTTCTGAGGAGGACTAGGGGTCGCTAAATAATGAAGTAAAACGGCAGTTTTTGCATATTAATCCTTAAAAAATTAAAGATATTAATAATGGTTTTGGATAAACTTTCAAACAATCTCTAACAGAAATTCAACAACTTTGAGTATGAATGGACCATTTGATTTCTGTTGCTTTGAGATGAAGTGAATCTGACACACCTGTCCTCCTTGCAACAATCTTAGAGAAATTAGCTCAGTCCAGGACTTGGAACTGTACGAGTCCAAACTGAGCGCAGAGAAAGCCTGTGTAGGTCCTTTTTCAGCCCTCTGCCAAACCTCCTCTTGTACATGTGTTGCTCTACTCTCACTTCCAGACCCGTTTTGGTCATGGGCCATCAATCAAGTAACTAAAGCCAACCATAGATCTTCAAGATCAGCGACCTCTGTCTTTGGTTTATCTCCAGGACTTCTTCCATGCTTCCTTAAGAGGGCATATAGGGAGATTTAGGGAAGTAGGAAACCGCCGGATTTAAAAATCACAGAATAGGTGAGTTGCGAGAAGCCCGAATTCCCCTGAAAATCTCTGCATAGCTGTAAAGACGTCATCTCTGTGAGGATCTTAAAGGCACTTTATGCCTTTGATGTCCCAATGCCAAAAAAAGTAGCATCTGAATGTGATGGGGGAAATAAACGGTTCTTCACGAAAGATGTTTGGAGGACACTGACAGGAATTTGAAGTGGCGCCTAAAATGAAAGCAGATCTGAAGGGCGGATCTTGTCAGTGAAGCTAGAGGGGTTGAGCGGGAGAGAAGATGTAAGCAGAGCTTGGAGAGAAGATAAACAGTAAGACTGCGCTTCTGATTCACACCATGAAGATCTGAGCCAGAAAGTTTTCTCATGAATGTGCACTGACCAGAAATACAGCTGAAACTACGAGGAGCTTGATTAAGACTTTTTGCAAAAGTGATTTATGTGATCCGTGGGAGTCTTTTTAATCTATGAGAACATTCAAACCTAATTTTTAATACCTTTGAAGAATGACTCTGGTGGGAGAAGTGGAGTACAATGAAACAGAAGAGCTGTCAGTCGAACTTTCACTTTCACTGTTATTTTAACAAAGCTTGACAGCTTTTAATTATTCGTCTCAGGAATAAATGCCAAAATTTATGGAGCTAGACATTAAGTGGAAAACTGACATAAAGACTTCAAATTTCTTAAAATACCAAAGCACTAACTGTAAAAATCCTAATTTTGCTGCAAGACTGAGGCAAGACACCAAAAGGAGGCGACACACAGACTCGGCAGCCAAAAGCATTGTATTGAATTTCAATCAATAATGTGACTTTTAAGCAAAGTAGGCACTTCACAGGCGTAAAGCAATGAGTAAGTACAATGTGATGTGCGGTGGTGGGTGCAAGAGACAAAATAATGAAAAAAGACTGAGTTGGTTACAGAGAGCTGAGAGAGTGTGTGAGTCAGGGAGATTTTGGAACAGAAAATCCTGCGCCTGTATGAAGCACGGCCCAAATATCCAGGTATGATTAAATGACCCTCCTCAGGCCAACCATTAACAGATTCCCATTATCTGTTAAACAACCAGGCGGCCACAATGACTGTGTGTGCCCATCGAGAGAAAACAAATTTAGGTGCAAATACATTTGCTCCTATTCATTGCTCCCATTCTGCAGATGAGGGACAAAGCTTTAGTGTCCGTCTTTTAACACTTTTTGTTTTACACTAATTGAGACCTAGTCATCAATATCCTAAATTAAAACAACCCTGTGAAAGCTGATTGGACCAAAAAGAATTCAATGTATCCCAACAAATAACCAGCAATCCTGGGTGAATGATTAGGAAAGTTAGTCATGTGTAAAAGTCTGAGTGATGAAAAAGTAGAAGAACAAAATGTTAATCATGATTTTTCATCAGAATTAACTCTGACTGACCTAACCAAAAATGTTTTGAACAGTCTTCAAAGGTTGAGCTCATAAAGGCGTGGGCTATGATACACTCTGTCTCACTTCTCCAGGTGTGAAGTGATGATAATTGCATCATCAAAATTGCTGTTGTTAGTCATTTGGCACTGCTAAAAACTTGTGTGGACCAACTTTAAAAGTGGGGTGTGTAACTCTGAACTATTACATTATTCTGTCAATCGACTGTCTTTTTTATCTGCTCTTTTTATGTGTCTGAAATAAAAACTCTGTTGTATCAAGCCCTGGCTGGGTAGAGGCAGAGGCTTGACCTCTCAACTAGACCTCTTACGTTTACAGACATTGAGCCAAATCATGCAGAATGTTAGCTTTGCAGCTAATCTACAAACTAGCCAAAATTGCATTATCTACTGTGTTATTGTTTTTTATGGCTTTGTGTCATACCTGTTCTTAAAAAGCTTTTGTAAGGTTTTTCTTTACTTGATGAGCTAAAATGGGTTAAAATAGGCGAGGGTGACCATATTCTGACTTCCCAAAAAGAGGGCATGACTACGCGCGGGCAAAGTCACGGGGTCGCACTAAGTTAATCTTGAGAGTTTTTCAGGTCAGAACAACCCAAAATCGAAACTCTCGTACAAAACCGCGGACATTTGATTGATTTTATAAACTTCCCCGGACAAAGCCAGACAACCCCCCAAAAAGAGGACATGTCTGAGTAAAAGAGGACGTATGGTCACCCTAAAATAGGCATCTTAAAAACCCATTGTAAATGTACTGCATGTCTTTGTTCTTTTTTGCAGAGAGTTGCTGCAAAGTTCCCCGGTGATCATGATCGTCTGCGCCGCATGTCTCTCATTGAGGAAGGCGGACAGAAGAGGATCAACATGGCTCATTTGTGCATTGTGGGTGCTCATGCTGTCAACGGCGTGGCCCAGATCCACTCTGACATCCTCAAAGCCACAGTGTATGTGCTCAGAATACACACTAATTAGTCTGTGATGCTGTAGACACATTTCCTCATCTTTCAAACAAAAAATTTGAGCTCTGACCAACCAACTGGTCTAGAGGCAGGAAAACACTTGAAAACACTGTCAAAATTAAGCACAGCCTTCATATCCTTCTTCTGGCATTTTTTCACCATTGTTAGATAGTTATGCTAAAGAGCGAGACAAGAAAAAGTAGAGAGTGGAGAGTCGGACTGGCAACTACTTCAAAGAGAGCTAAAGCTTTTGTATGTGGGACGAGGACTTTAACTTCTAGGGCAATAAGGGTTTGATGGTTTGCTTATTCTTTTAACCCTATTTTTGATTAGGAATACTTTACCCAAACGGCAATGTATCAAATGTTAAAATGAAACTTGTATCATGTCATGAAATATATTACCAAATTTTCTATTTGATGCCAGCAACACATTTTCAAAAAAATGCCGCAAAAAAATACAAACAAACCCTGAAACAGTTTGGTGCTAAAAATGCTAATGCTTGCTGTCAGTATACCTCTAAAAGCTAGAATCTGTGATGGTCTGGGACTGACTAAGTGTCCATGACGTGGCTCTATTAAAACTGAACAGCACAGGTTTGGTTCAGGAATCACTTTCTGCAGTGAATACAGTAGCATGGCTCTGTAGTAAAAGAGTCTGGGTGCTTAATTAGCCCGCCTGTAGCCCTGACTTGACACCCATGTCAACATTTGGTGTATCATAGAAAACATAGCCTACAACAAAGAAGACCCTGAAGTTTTTCACAGCTAAATCCAAAAATGGGACATTTCACTGGTGTACCGCATGACCGAATGTACCACATTACATACTAATCATGGTTGACTTCAATCTGTGTTGTCTACTGAATGTTGTCTGTTTCATAAATCTCCAGGCATCATGGTTTCAAGGCTGTTTTCATATTTGTGATGCTACTGTCTGTCTGCAGTTTCAAGGACTTCTATGAAATGGAGCCACATAAATTCCAAAACAAGACCAACGGCATCACTCCACGCCGCTGGCTGGTTATGTGCAACCCTGGGCTGGCTGAGGTCATCGCCGAGGTCAGCAGCGTTTCACACACACAAACAGGCGCACAAACATACCCAACAAATAAAATTGGAAGCTGAAAAATCCTTTCAACATTTTCTCACTTTCTTTTTCTAGAGAATTGGAGAGGACTTCATCCGTGACTTGGACCAGCTGCGAAGTCTCACCGAGTTAGTGAACGATGAAGCTTTCATTCGTGATATTGCCAAAGTGAAGCAGGTAATTACAGTGTTGTATCCCTACTTTTCTTGTACCAATTAAAAGCATCATAATGAAGATAAGCAGATACTTGGAAACAGACTTGTTCTTTGCTGTAGTCAGGTATGCTAATCCAGGCGGGTGCTGTTTGAAATCACAAACCCCTGAGGAGAGGTGTCGCACATTCAACTCTAAGCAATCTGTACCTCTTAAAGATAACAAACAGACTGCTTCATGGTATACTCGGTTCACAATCAGGCAGCAGCTCTTTACAAAGAGCCGACCTGCAGAGCTGTTTGTTCCTCTGAGATCAATGTCAAAACCTCCACTAAGAGCTTTTCCGGCAGCCTCTGCACTAGCAGCCGACATCATTAAAGTCAAGGAAATTATTTTCTTTGACACTTGGCTCGTGTTTTTTCTTTCTAAATGTTTCTTTTTTTCTGCTTTTGAATAATAGCTGAGGTTATTTTCTCCTTTGTAATAAAGTTGATATGTTGATAACGCAGGAAAACAAGCTGAAGTTTGCTGTGCACCTGGAGGAGCACTACAAGGTGAAAATCAACCCCAACTCCATGTTTGACATTCAAGTCAAGAGAATCCACGAATACAAAAGACAGCTGCTCAACTGTCTGCACATCATCACATACTACAACCGTAAGTATTTGTTTCAAATATTCTGCACGCTTTATGCTTAAATTCAGAACTTGAATTCTTAAAAGTGCTCTAAACGCATCCAAAACAATAAAAAAACATCTCTTCATTTCTCCTTCCAGGCATCAAGAAGGAGCCCAACAAGCAGTGGACTCCAAGAACTGTCATGATTGGAGGGAAGGTTTGTACTAGAGCAGCACGAAGCTGGGCTTTGATACTCACCCTCACAGTTTTAACTCTCTCATTTTCTTCTTGCACGCAGGCTGCTCCTGGCTACCATACTGCCAAGATGATTATCCGTCTGATCACAGCCATTGGTGAGGTGGTCAACCATGATCCCGTGGTCGGGGACCGCCTCAAAGTCATCTTCCTGGAGAACTACAGAGTCACACTGGCAGAGAGAGGTGAGTTCTGAATCACTGACCTCTTCCTGAGCTTTTCTTCCCACCATTACTACCTCGACTCCGTGCTTGTCATCTTGATCGTTCCCTCCCCTGCAGATGGCCTCACTCCTGATTTTTTTTTTCTTTATGCACCACACAAAATGCTTATTAAAGCCATCAACCCTCTCCTGTCATCTTTCAGCCATCCCTGCAGCAGACCTGTCAGAGCAGATCTCCACAGCAGGCACTGAGGCCTCTGGCACCGGCAACATGAAGTTCATGCTGAATGGCGCTCTTACCATTGGTACCATGGACGGGGCCAATGTAGAGATGGCAGAGGAGGCCGGCGAGGACAACCTCTTCATCTTCGGCATGAGGGTGGACGACGTTGATGCACTTGACAAGAAAGGGTAAGAAGAAATGCACCTTGACACATCCACATATTTCTCTGCACTTGGTCCCAGTCTTGGAAAACAGTTATTTGTAATATGTATCATAGAATCTGATAACATTAGATAATCTTATTTTTAATCCGGATGAAATCTCAAGTATTAGTCAGTGGAAACTTGAGGACTGGGAGAACTCAGGTCCAAAGAATAGGGAGAGCTTACATAGTTATGACAGGATCCCACTGAGCAATAGACGGCTATTAGAAGTCTAGTTTTTTTAGACCTAATTTCAATCGTCTAGATTCTGTATATTTTTAGACAGAATTTAGATGTTGCACTTTAACCCATTATTCAATAACTATTTATTTAAAAAAGCAAATGTGAGTTGCATAACTGATCTCCAAGTACTTAACCAAAATAATTATAATAGCCGTTGAGATCAAAATGCTCAATGGGCTGTTAGACCTCTGTTAGCCGGCTGGTCTACATTTAGACATGTAAAAAAAATGTTCATTTTTAGACCTGTGGTAGCCTGATTTTAGACCAGTCGTCTGAGCTACATTTAGACCTCTATTAGACCTCTTTTAGACCAAAAATGCTCAGTGGGATTAAACTTTTTTGAATATTCAACTGCTGCCATTTCTAAAACAAAGTCCACCCAGTGATTGTTATTAAAGTGAACATTGCATTTCTATGAGGTTTGAGTTGTGATCACTTTTAACCCAAAGTGTTTCTTCAACCCATGCTGACATGTTCCCCACTGACAGGTGTGGCCTGGTTGGTGCCTCTGAATAGACTCTGATTGCTTCATTCATTCATAAAGGGGCCAGTTACCACAGCAACAGACGTGTACTTCTGTATTTTCTAATTGTGTGTATTATTTATTTTCCACCTTGCTTAGATACCATGCTGAGGAGTACTACAACCGCCTGCCTGAGCTGAAACAGGCTATTGACCAGATTGCCGGAGGCTTCTTTAGCCCAAAGCAGCCTGACCTGTTTAAAGAAATTGTCAACATGCTGATGCATCATGACAGGTAAAGACACATCTAACATCAGCAGCCGGAGGGGCGCGCAGGGGATCACATACAAATAAGAACATGTGTAAACTTGAACGCTGGCACTACAAAAGAAAAGACAACACAAAACTTGTTGCACAGATCTACAGCGCTTAACACATAAACACGGACACATCTACATGTGAATATGTCTTAGGGACTTTCTTCCTTGAGTTAACTGCATTTCTCTCTGCACAGATTTAAGGTCTTTGCTGACTATGAAGATTATATTAAATGTCAGGAGAAAGTCAATGCTCTTTACAAGGTATGTTCAATAAAAAGGAATGGCTCCATGAAGGTCTTATAAGCTTTTTATTACTATTAATTAGAAAAGGACTCAGTGCTACAAAACTCATCAATTCATTACCTTGTAACTCACTTGTCAATTATTTTCCCACCAGAACCCCAAGGAATGGACCAAGACGGTGATCTACAACATTGCCGGATGTGGCAAGTTCTCCAGTGACCGCACCATTTCCCAGTACGCTCGAGAGATCTGGGGTGTGGAGCCCACGCTGGAGAAACTTCCCGCTCCTGATGACAAGCACTAAATTAACTGTCGAATAGCAGTCTCCAGCTCCTCACTTCATGAACACCTTAGAAAAATGGTACACACCACGCCTTGCTAAAGTCCCCTCAAATTGAAGTCTACAAGGACTGGCATTAAATGCTTCCTGCATGCTCCTTATGTCTCACACAAACTCTTGGACCCACTATGAGGACCCTTTTTATACTAGCATCTTCACATTGTGAGGTTACAGAGTGGTGAAATAAAACTGCAGAAGTCATCATCAACACAGATGCAGGACTGGCTGTTTATAGCAGCAGCTGCAAAGTGGATTAAAGGGCTTTGTGGTGGGCTTTTTGAATCTAACGGTGATATTTTTTTATTCACATATACAGTGTTGTATTTCCACTCAGATCCATTCTGAATAAAATTTGTTTTAAAAACCCAAACAACGTGGATTTTATGAATTTACTCATCGCTTCTTCTTGGGCGAAACATTTAACCGTACTGTCAAAACTGCTGAACTGTGAGGACAGCGAACTTCAGGGTTGTGCCGCTGAAGAAAATTAGAACTCGCAAAAAACAGCAGGGCTCGGTTCAGCTGTACAATGAGAATTCAAAACCTGTAGGATAAAAATACAGCAGGAATCTACACCAACATAACTGAGATGTATAAATAGTTTAACAATTCCACCTGAATAATTCATCTTTAAGCGCACAATATGAAATCTGCTACTTTTTCAAATATTCATCCGCAGTCTTCTGCAAAGAGATGCCAGTTTTCATTCACTAATTGCATAACAAGCCTCTGTTCACACTTATCCCTCTGACTCACTGGTGCATGTTCATGGGAACAGCCACTATTTCTCATCCTGTAAAGGAAATAGGATGTAGTTGTTTTTGGAAGTGAAAAATGAATCTCTAGCCATTTTAGATGGTCATGATTGGTCATCACTGGAGCCAACTGGAAAAACACAAATTTGTTTTGAGTTTTATTTGATCCTGCTGAAGAATAAAACATAACAATCAAACTTGACAACAATACAGAATCGGCATTTCTGTGTTTTATGCTTTGGGCGATCCATGGGTTGTAGTTTGTAGTTTGGGAACTGCATTAAAAGACAAAGAAGAAACTATAACTGAGGTAACAACCTGTAAAGATGATGCAAGTATCTCTAAAGGCATCCGTTTTCTTTTTGCGAGAAATACATCTTTTTATAACCCAGACAGAAATAAGTAGCTTAGCTTTTTAAGGGGCTCTTTGTTGCATTTTAAGATCAAATGAAGGGAAATTTGTGAGAATCAAAAGACAATTTAGTCCCACAAGTGAAAGGCTGTGACTCAGCTGCAGACTCCCAGACTCCTCGGCTCCCTGTAAATCACGCCAGCTGAGAAATGTTAAGTAGAGCTTGAAATATTTGTGATACATGAAAAAAGGTCCATAAAATCCAAGATCACAGTGTATGATTAACAGTATGACTTCAAATCGGTCAGTTTAAAAAGAAAAGTTTTTCAAGAATCACATTGAGATATGAATTTTCAGGAGGATTGAAAACTAGTCCCTGAAAGTACATCATGCAATTTTAAAGATTTCTATATATAACTTATTTAGATTAAGGTGCAACGATAAAGAGACTTTAAGAATGTGGTTAAAGTCTGGGTAAAAATCGCTGTTTCACAATTATCACAATTATTACGCATTCATAATTTTGCAACCACCCACACTTAGTAACTTGTCACTTATGTTGACACCACACTATGATCGACTGTCTCGCTGCAGGTTTTGCAGAAAAGTGGTCTGTTGTCTTGTTTAACTCCCTGGTCATTCTCAGTGTACCTGAAAGGATACAAACCTTCATGAGGATTTTCTGGTTAAATAAAGTTTCATTCTTTCACTGCTTGATCCTCATGATATGGTTTAAAAACTGTGGCATAGTTTCCATGTCTCTTGATAAGAATGGCACATTAGGATGAAGCACCACAGGTGTCACTTTGTTTCAGTTCCCTGCAGGTTGCGCCAAATATAAGGGAACCGGCCCTCCTGGTGCAGTTGAGCTTTTATGATTAAATAAGCATGACATCTAAAAGCACAGGAAATACTAATATTCCTCTACCTCTCTCTATTATAAACAAATAAATAGAAACTCCAATAACAGGACTGAGCTAAAAGGAGAAATAATAGACTTTTTTAGAAGAGTTTCTCTTGGCTGCGTTTCTGCATGTGTGATAGTGCTCCAACAGTGCTAACAGACAGGTTGTAGTGGCTTCACTGCACACCTGTTTTGGTATAATTGGATGTTGCTGCAGTAAGCTAGTGGCTGTGATCCCTACATGAAATTTGTGCTGCTAGGAGGCCGATATAAGACACTGTACTTCCAGAACAAACATTGTTCTTCTTTGTTTCAGGCATTTGAAATTCTTCACTGCTCTCACGTCTGAAAAGGAGAGTTACAGTTTAAAATGTTTTTTAATTAAAAAATCAATAAGAACTTCATTGCTTCACATTCTTTGACTCAGACTTTTGGATTTGCACTGAGACAAAAGGTCAAAGTTTTATGTGTTCACTTGTGTTTGTAACTATTAACAGGAAAGATACACAAAACAAGAGAACATATGTAATGTGTTACCGTTGCAGATGTGTCAGTGTTTAACTGAGGATTTACTGACGCAATAAATGAGAAGATAACTTTCCAAGGTTTGTCTCTGAATCTAACATGTGTAAAGTTCAAACTTATTTCATACATACAAAAACTGGACAGGTCTGCAAAAATTAAAGAAAAGGAAACTTTTCAGCAACATTGGCAAGTGTGAGTAAAAAAAAAAAAAATTACAATTTTTTTTTGCAATACTGTAAATACACAGAGAATGACGTTAGCATGTTAAACATCATATTCACAAAGTGTCTAGACTTAACATGACTAGACTTAACATGTATAGTGATGTATAGAGGTTAAACAAACAGGAATCTAAACAAGGAGATCAGAACGTTGACACAAAGCCACAGTCCCAGCAGACAGAAATGAAATGCTTTGGATGCAGATTAATTCAATATAACGTGAGTAATCTGGTTGTCCCTTATGTCACTTTTACTATTAAAGTTAATTACTGTGGGTGGCTTTGGCCAATCAGTATTAAGTATTTGTGTATTTCACCCCAAAGGTCATAAGAATGTTATCCTGAGACAACAAAATTACAGACAAATTACCACATTAAAAAAATTGTAAGTTTTATCTTTTTTTTAATGTTAATGTGAAATCAGGATTTATGTGTCAGCATACCGGAATGACACCTTGACCACTTGAACTCCTCACATGAAATGTCACACCAGTGAGGACTCACTACGCACCAGTCTGTGGTTAGAGAATAACCACTGACTGGTTTATGTATCGACTTTGACATTCGTAACAGTGATCCTGATGTACCCTAAGCTTATATTTAAGTGCTCTGCAAATAAAATAATTAAAAGAATAAAAAAATAATAATATTGAATTAAACTTTGACAGTGTCAAAGATCCAGTCGCTCTGCAAATGTAGAGCTATCATTCTTTTGATTCTCTATGTAGTTATACAAACAAACCCCATCAGACAATATGATATGAGTGACAATGATGAGTTCACTTTACAGTTTTCTTTTCTGAATTTTTGGAGACTGTGAAGAAGAGATTACTCCTTTCATAAAATTGGCTAATAAGAGGAACTAAAACAGCTAAAAGAACAACCAATAGCTTCAAAAGTTCAGTACGTGAGGTTGAAATGTTCCGAAGTGGCTTATTTCCTTTTTGTTTAAACTGAAAGTTAAACTTTGACTGACCACCCAGACTAAAGGTATAGCAGCAGTCGTCAATGATTGGAGCTATAACCCTTGCTGGAGATGGGTGTCTGCACTGTGGCTTAATATATGATTGGCATTACTGACCTAGAATTGTAACATTTTGAAAACTCATCCAGCCGACTAGTACTTCTAGTGGCAGCTAACAAGGATGACAGCGTTGTTAATTTGACTAAATATGCATATCTGTGGTGTTAGAGTCCCCCCGAGGAAGCTTAAGCTGCTCTTAAATTGTCCTCACATTCCCTGCTCTGTCTCTCTTTCTTGCTGCCTGGCATGTGCAAAGCAGTTGTGACAAGACTCTTAACCGCATGTACCCGAAGTGAGAGAGAGAGACAGAGAGAGAGAGAGGGAGAGACAGGGAGAGAGAGAGCATTCACCAGTTGAAAGCAGATGTCAATCTAACTTAGAGTTGTTTAAAAAAGGGAAATTGTTAGTGGATATACATTGTCGGGTCACCCTGGTACTAGCTCATTCTCAACTGCAAAATCCTCACCTCCTAAAACCATGGCTGTACATCTCTATCTGGCTTGAGAGGCAAGAGATGGAATGATATCAAACAAGAGAAGTGTGCGGCAGATGGTGCCCGCTGCAGTTTAAAGAAGATTACAGTGATCATTTCCAATCATTTCATCAGTGCACCGATTTTCAGCTCTCTCACAAGTTACTGTTTCATCCCCTATTATCACATGAAAACAATCCATCTTATCCTATTAGAAAATGTGAAAATTCATTTGTAATCCCATGATAATGCTGTTAACAATCAATTTCAAGCCTGGCTGTTGTTGACTTTCACAGAAAAGTATCCTAATATCTCGCCTTGGCAGGCTGTCAGCCTCGAATGAGCGTCTTATCTCGCTGCAGTGACCTCTAACCTCCTTTGAGTTGAATAGTTAAAATGTTTTGTGTAATACTTTAAGCCATCGTTAAACCAGCACAATATAACTATTTAACCGAGGTTCAGTCTTAATCTGTTACATAATTTGAGTTGTAAACATTTCTAAGAGCTGAAGCTAATATACAAGTAAAAGTCTGGAAATTTGGCTCATGTCACACTCTTCTAATTCTCTCCATTTTGGCCAAAGCACTATGACGTAAAGCACTTCAATACATGATTCATTTGTAAGTTTTCCATGTTCTCTTTTATAGTTAACCCAGACTAAAAGCCAGGAAATCTCACAAGTGTCCCTTCCTTTGAAAAGGTAAAACTTTCAGCATTATTTAACTTTTCTGTTTCACTCTGCAGCTGATTTTGCTTATTCAACATTGTGTTGGTTTCGACCCTACCTCTACACCTCTGCCCATATTTCTCCAAAAGCCTGAAGCGCCCAGAAGGCCTGCTGAGTCGCTTTTCTCATTTTTTTCTTAACTTTTTCATATACTGTTTCAAACACCCGGACTTTAGCGGCTCACACTTCAAAACGCGCTGCAGAGGGAGTGATTGGAAAAGACAAACTCTTCCCTTATAACAGCCTCACAGCTGACAAAACTGAGTTTATTGTTGTGCTTTAGTGCACCTGCAGCTTCATCCACTCTGACATCTCATGCTGCTCATTACACAACGTGTACACATTCCTCAAAACTAATCACCAGAGCTCAAACCAGGCAGAAATGTCTCAGAGTTTGTCTGTATGGACTCTACAAACACCATATAATCACTTTTTAGCCTTTTTTTCACCCACAACTCTGAACTTTTGCCACTTCAACTGTCATTTTGCAATCACATGCAAACTTACTGTATGAATTCTCTTTACTGAGGTGTATTTGGGTAGTTGAGTATTTATCAGCATGTCTAATAATAAACCACACGGGGATTAATGACAGGAAACACAAAAGAGAAGAACCAGCACAGCCATGCTAGTTTGTTTGACCTCACATGCGTACACACAGGTTCATACACTCATTCACAGAAACACACACACAGTTGGAGAGAGTCACACACACACACACACACACACACACACACACACGCACACGCACACACAGACACACACACATGCATGCACCCCATCACCCTGTCCTTCATAAAGAGGGAAAAAGAGCTGAGCTCAGTTCTGCGCTCACTCTTGATGCAGGAGCTCAGTCACACTTAAACACAGCCAGGACTCTGCATTCTACCTGCGTGCTCAGCGAACAAGCTGCTAATACCTCGAGAGGTTTTCTTTGCATTTCTGATAATCCAAAGTTCAGACAAGCTGTTGGAATTTAAGAGCCGATTACTCTCTTCAACATACTGCTGATACGTTGCAAGTTTTACTACTTTTGTTTTTTCTCCTCGGAGGACTTCCAGGAACACTTTGCACGGGTTTTTATCTGGTTGCTTCAATAGCATGGGTGTTTTGAGGAATGTATTATCCTTTTAATACGACTCAAAAGATGTTTTACTGTACAAAAGAAGAGTGATTCAGCCGGTAAGTCCCACTTGTGATTTTTTTTTCTTTCATGTCTTGAGGCACTGGACACATTTGTTCAGGCAGCTGATGTTTTTCTAATATCTCCACAGATCAAAATATTTTCTGTTTGTTTTTTAATTTCAAACGTACTAAAGGAGCTCATCTATGGTCCAAAGCCTTTAACATTTGAGTCACCTTGTGGAGTTCTACAAGTACACATTATGGCGTTCGGTGACCTCCTGGAGCAGGTGGGCAGCACAGGACGCTTTCAAGTCCTGCATGTGACTCTGCTTGTTATCCCCGTCCTGCTGATGGCCAGTCACAACCTGCTGCAGAACTTTGTGGCCGCTGTGCCGGATCACTACTGCAGCGCTCACACTAACCTCTCTCAGCCCCAGCTGAGCCCGGAGCAGACGCTGCTCATCACGGTGCCACTGGACCAGACAGGGAAGCCGGAGAGGTGTCGACGTTATGTCACCCCTCAGTGGCACCTCCTAGCTGAGAACGGGACCTCAAGCTTTGATGACAATGATCTGTATGATGCGGGGGATGTTGACCTGCAGGAATGCACAGATGGATGGTCCTACAACATGACGGACATGGTCTCCACAATCATATCAGATGTAGGACTACACATCTCTTTATTTCATTCATTTTGATCCATGCATGTGTGTGCTTTCATCTCATTTGTTTTTCATTTGTCTTACATTTTGTCAGTTTGACTTGGTGTGTGATATCCGCTCTTTGAAGCAAATGAGTCAAACTGTCTACATGGGTGGGGTGCTTGTGGGAGCTTTTATCTTTGGAGGCATGTCAGACAGGTAAATATCAGTCCTATGGTATACTCATTTATCTACTACATGTTTTATCATAATTTGAATATGTATAAACATCACTGACAAAAACTGTAGCCAGGTCAAGCCATAAACCGTGTGAAATGATATTAACTTAATAGCTCAAACTGAAAATAACTTTACTGTTCGAAAATCCCCACTAGATATGGTCGACGCATCCTTCTGCTTTTCTCTCACCTGCTGATGGCTGTGGGAGGAACGTGTGCAGCTTTCTCCACCTCCTTCTCCCTCTTCTGCCTGTCCCGGTTTTTTTGTGGCATGGCTCTATCTGGCTTGGGGCTCAACACTTTCTCACTGAGTAAGATCTTAACCTGGATGGGGAACAATCACAGAATTAAAAAATGAAGCTTTGTTGAATTATACAATGTATTAACGTTTCTCCATCTGTGACTCATTACTTCACAGTTGTGGAGTGGATCCCAACTCGAGTACGGACTATAGTGGGGACACTAACAGGTTACTGTTACACAGTGGGACAGCTGATCCTGGCAGCCATCGCCTACTTCATTCGAGACTGGAGGTGGTTAACCCTGGCTGTGTCTTTGCCCTTCTATGTCTTCTTCCTCTACGCATGGTCAGTCCCAAAAATAGAGCCTCAAATGAAAGTTTGAATTATGTTTGATCCTGGAAATTTAAGGATCAAACACAGAACTGTTGCATAAATAAGAAATCAACTGTTCCAATATGTCCTACAGGTGGTTTCATGAGTCTTCACGATGGTTAGTCTTGAGCAATAACTCTGAGAAAGCCATCAAGAACCTTAAGAGTGTTGCAAAGTTTAACGGGCGCCGCGAGGAGGGAGAAAAAATTGATATTCAAGTGAGGAAATGTTTGAAATACTGCAGCATGTTATCTGTGTTTACAAGCGTGCATAAAAATAAATCTGAATCATCACAACTCTTTCCTTATGTGTAGATGGTGCAGGAGTCTATGAAGAAAGAGCTGTCCTGTTCGCAGGGCTCCTACTCTGTCCTGGATCTGTTTCGCACTACCACAATGAGGAACATGACAATCTGCCTCAGTGCTGTCTGGTACTTGTTACACTGCTGCTGTTCAAAATCACAAGGAACAGTAAAATTTTAACAACACAGCGCTTCATCATTTCATACTTCTTGCAGGTTTTCAACAAGCTTTGGCTACTACGGTCTAGCCATGGATCTGCAAAAGTTTGGAGTGGACATCTACTTGATCCAAGTGATCTTCGGAGCTGTCGACATCCCCGCTAAAGTTGTCATAACTGTGTCGATGAGTTTTCTAGGAAGACGACCATCACAGTGTGGTGCTGTCATAATTGGTGGAGTGATGATTCTGGCCAACCTGCTGGTACCTGCTGGTATTTAAAACGCATGCACACAAACAGAGGGTGAATGTACCAACCCAAAAACAACACAATGATCATATTCATCTTCCACTTCCATGCAGATAGAGAGACTTTGCGCACCAGTCTGGCTGTTGTGGGTAAAGGTTGCCTTGCTGCCTCCTTTAACTGCTGCTATCTTTACACCGGAGAGCTGTATCCAACTATTATTCGGTAAGGATCATTACGAGAAAACATGCAAGTGTTTCACTGGTAGCACCTCCTAATATCTACTACACATTAAACATGACAGCAAACTTCAACAAAGAGGGCTGTAGGGTGGGTGTGTTGTTGGTCTGCAGTTCATTATCCAGACATAATTTGTCACAGGAAAGCAGCTAAAGGTCAGAGAGGATTTTAGGCAGTTGCACTTGCACATTAACAGTGACAAACAGAGTCCCCAAGATGACACCAGGGCCATGAGGGTGATCATAAACTGAGAGACCGCTTGGTTACACAGACTTGTTGAGTAACACTCAGACGTACAGTATTTTTAAATAAAGCTCACCACACTACGTTTAAAACAACTCAAGGGATTTTTCATTCAACATCATGGTCTGACAAAGAGGACAGCAACTTCACCCTCAGCTGTTATCTACAAACTCCCTGTTTGATCTTCTTACTTGGCTAAATTTGCTGTCCTCTCTTATCAGCACTTAGTGTCCTTCCAGTAGTGCTGTTCACTCCACGTGACACCTACCAAACAAAACCTTGTCAAACATCCCTCCTAGTCAAAGGTTTGATTGAACAGTAACCACAAGCTTTCTGATCAAATAAAACGTTCTCATACCAGAGTTATCTAACAGTTAGTTTAACAACTCCCCTAGTTACATAAGTCTCCTGTCTGGAGTTTACCATGATGCAGACTCCTCTGAATTTGACTCTTGACACCTAAAAGTTTAGTTTTTAAACACTGGGATATGACCCAGATTTTAATCTAGGTTTTCAGATGGCATGAGCTGCGTTTACATAGGCACAAATAATCGGAATAAACACCCGATTGGAATGAAAATGCTAAAGACATGTCGATCTGCACATTCTGACATAATTCAGCTCAATCGGAAAGAAATTGTATTTCGATCGAGAGGGGTGGTTTATACCATCGTTATTCCGAAACGCGTCCTTGTAAACACTTATTCCGATTGCGACTCTCTTACCTGACTTGATCTTCACTCTTTAGCCTTTGGTTTACTTATTGAGACCAGTGCAGGAGGTTTCATTGATTCTTCACACTCTGGCACAAACACAACCGGAGGTGCCATGTCTGCTCCTCAGGTAACATCACAAGGCGAATATATCACGTAATGACGTCACATCTGCACGCACAGTGCAACCTTTGACAGAACAGTAAAATAAGTACGCGAGGGCGCCATCTCGTGACAACAAAAAACAGGGGAAAACTCCTGAATTGGATGGAGTAAGCCACTATCATGTTTGTTGGTATGTTGACAGCACAGGCCTCAATACAACTCTTCCTCTGTGGTTGTTTTTAGCGAAATCAGACAACTCTGCGCATGTGCAAATGCTTCTAATCTGAACAAAGTTTCGTGTATGTATACGCACGTCATGATCGGATTTTGCACTCATAGAAACAGTGGATTCAGATTATCCGACCCCTCAATTTTTTAATCGGATCAAGGAATTTTGCACATGTAAACATGGCTATTGTCTTTTCAGTTTGTGATCACAAAGCTTATTTTGTGCATCTCTATGTTACTACAATCTGGACTATAGCTCTCAAAAGATCACAGTAAAATTGTATGGTTCTGAATTTTGCATGGTGACATCAAATACCTTCATTTCTCTCCCAGACAAAATGGTATGGGTTGGGTGTCTATGATGGCGCGTATAGGATCCATGGTGGCCCCGATGGTGCTTCTCATGGGGGACTACACGCCTTGGATTCCAGGTTTGATCTATGGTGGATCACTAATCATCAGTGGAGTGGCTGCTGTATTCCTCCCTGAAACACTTGGATCACCTCTTCCTGATACAATACAGGATGTGGAGGACAGGTAAGGCTGAGTTAAAGCCACTTGAAGAGTGAGTTAGGGAGCTATAGGGGGTCTAGCTTTGCAAAAAAGATAAAATAAATAACACTAAATAATTACTGAAGATAAAATTAAATGCATAACTTAATGAACGACATAATTTTTATTCTGAAGATAACTCCTGATCAACACAAATGAATGCAAAAGAATCACTGACAATGGATCCAGTCATAATATTCAACACAAAAAGAACCTGAGCACCGATAAAATGTTTCATCTGAGAATCAAGTCAAATAGAAATCATCCCACAGCTGAATACGTTGAAGGAAGCCACGGTGGTGGACTGTGTTGTCTGTGCTCACCTTTCACATTGACAGCATCCCTGCTCATGATGAAACATGAGTGGACAAAAGGACTACTGCATTTGGAAGTTACGACATTTCTGATGCCAAATTCAGACCTCTGTTTTGACCGTTTTGCCCTTTTTGGTGCCATCTCTTTAAATAGAAATACAACACATTTCTGCTACCATGGCAACATGGTAGCAGAAATGTGTTGTGTTTCTGCTGCTAGTTGACTCACCACAGCAGCTACTTAAGCTATTTATATGCTTAATTTAAGAGCAAAAATATATATTTGCAACCATAACAAAACAGAAAGGGCAAAATGGTCATTATCATACACTGTAATGTCATAATGTAGGCTAACTGCTGAAAATGGTCTTAGTTATTTTACTTAATAAATGTCTACAAGGCAGTTTGACCTCTCTATCATCCTCATTCACATCCTCATTTTGTGACTGTTTAAAGGGGTTTTAAGACCCCACAGGCTCTAAAATATAATCAGTAGTTTAATGCAGGAGGATTCATCATTATGATTTAGTCAAGAAACACCTGCTCGAGAGAGAAAGAAAAAAAAACATGTTAATCCATGTTTGCCTTTTTATTTTCAATTTCTTTTCAAAAACAGGGGGTCTGGGAGAAGCTCCAGAAAGACACCAAAAGAAGAAATAATCCTGCAAATGGCCCAGTCAGATCTCCTAAAGCAGGCTGCCTGAGGGCGTTTCTGCTGTGCTCCTGACATTTTTACTGACATGTTAATGAAAGTCGAGTGGGTACTGCTTTTTCTATGCTCTCCTTTTATGTTTGATTTTTATTTGGCGTGCATTATTTCTCTTGAAGGCTGGAAAATTGGAGTTTGAATGTTATTATTTACAGGTCAATATGCAGAGAAATGAATGTGTGCTAACAATCAGACTTGGTTCATTTTATATACAGTAGAAGAAGTCTTTGAACAGTTGTGTTTTATATTTTGTATGTCTGTGTGTAAAAAGAGGATATTATACTCAATAAAAACCTTTTACAAGTTCAATGCCATCCTTGGTAATATTTAAGGCCTTCTTGATAAATTTTCACACAAGAATAATCCATTTATTATGTCTTATATGTCTATTTCTTTTGTGTTCTCTTGTCGTCTAAAATAATGAGTACAACAGGTTACCAACAACCCATTTTTGAAGGGCTAAGGGAATATAAAATAATAGTAAAATAAAAATAAGAGCACCACCCAGTGGAAGAATAATATACAACCAATAAAATATGTGATAAAGGTGGTACTTCCCTGACTGTCCTGTGCTTCTGATACAGCTAAATGTGTGAGCAAACCTGATATTTTATTTACATGGGGCCACTGTGGCCCTTTGTCTTTTAATGTTTAACTTCTTTTTCAGCCCCCAACATTGTGTTAAAGTCCAACGAGAGCTTTTTTTTCCCCCCTGACAGACGGAAAAGTAAAAATAAACAGAATGAGGTCGCTTTGATTGGGGGCTGCTTTCAGAGCCCTCCCTGTGAGACTGCAGTACATGATTTTAGATTTTAGACCATTTCAGTCTTGAGCTGCTGTCCCCAGAGGCCTTGAATAACCCCCCAAAATAAGTGTTTGATAAGGGGAGATAAGATAATAAGGGGCGATAGACACTCCCCGAGTCTCACCTTGCTTTCTTGAAACAGTGAAATATACTTCTGCATTAAAAATAAAAGATTTTATCATTTTCAAAAAGTGTTTTGGTGTAACAAGTTCATGGTTTCAAGTATCAAAAGTAACAATAAAGAACTGTGGATCCCGCTGTGGATGGTTTTGTTTACTCTTCAGTCATTAAGAGGAATCAATGTTAATATTAGTCTGCCTCATAACCAGCCACAAAGGCTGAAAAAAAAAAAAAAAAAATACCAAATCAAAGATGTAATATGTTTTATCAGTTTATATTCTGTATCTGCATCCAGGAGTAAACTTAAACCAGTAATGCCACCTAATCCCATTGCTGGTGATGTCAGCATGTAAACGTCATGTAAAACAAGATGACACTGGCTTGGAGGAACTGGCGTACCCTCGCTGGTGTGTTCTCTATGACTCCTGTTGTTATAATACCATCTAGTGGTGTATCTATGCAACTGCATCAGGAAACCCCAATCTCTGAATTTTATTGTACGAAAAGATGAAAGAAGAGCTTTACCTGTGATTTTGTGATGGTAAAATCAAAAAGTTGTCTGTTTGACCCATTAAGTTGCATTTCATACCATGTGGCTGCTCTGCCTTTTCTTTCATATCATATAAATAGGGACATTTTGCATATTTTGTCATTATATTTTGGTCCTTAATTAACAACCCTTAAGTTACTTACACATAACAATGAACAATCATAGTTTTGATCGCTTAGCAAAATAAATCTGGCAGAAGTTATTGAACTGAAATTGTTTTCAGATTTAGGGATAGCCCCGAGTTTTATTACTGTGAAGTAGTCATGTCATCTCATTCGTGTTCAGCTCTCATGCAGGTGTTTGGTGTTTCTGCGTGCTCTTAAATCTGGCACCTGCTGTATGAAAGATCATTTCTGAGAGCCAAAGTGTATTCTGAAACAGCTTTTTTATGACCTATAAACTTAAAAGCACCATATTAAACATACATCAAAACCAGATTTTATGTGTGTGTTGCAGCAGAGTGTAACCTGAAGTCAAGATCAGAGACATATCAAAATTCATAGCAAAGCTTTCTGCAGAAATAACTACATCATAGAATGATATGAATAAAGATTTATTTTCTCGTATGAACAGGTGGATTCATTTTTCATTTTATTTTACAATCTATGACAATCTCGCATTTTTTTCTTTTTTTTTCTAGCATATTTCAGGAATGACATGGGGGAAAGGTTCTTTTTTATTGCTGAATGTTAAATGAAATACACTTTCACTGACTGAAAAAAGAATTGTCTGCTGCTTTTTTACCATGCACCCATCTAACCGTGACCACAAGGACATGCAGAAGAGAGGTGTTCAAACATTTCAAGCGAGGGTGGGATCAGGTGTGGTTGTAGTGGTGGTGGTGGCGGTGGTGGTGGTGGTGAGGGGAAGGGGTCGTAAAATTAGAAAGTGGAGAGTGGCAGGATGTGCCTGGTAGCATGTTGATTACGTGAGAGGGTGGGGAAAGTGAAGGGGGTATTACATTGAAAGTAGAGGAGCTCCTTTAGCATTTTTCAGACATTAGACCCAGAGGTGAAAAACTCAATGAAATATCTGCAAGTGAGGTGTGACCAAAGACCTTTCTATATAATACCACTGTGCATTCACCATACAGCAGATACAATAGCAGATCAATCTTTTTAAGGAGTTTTAAACCAATAATCATCAGATAATTCAGCATTCAGTTGTTGGTTTAACACACCATAGCAATAAACATCATCAGCTGCCCTCTGTCGTTAAGTCACTTTTAATTTAGTGAATTTCTTTTAAATATTTTTTCCTTCACAAGAGGACAGGGGGGGGCGTACATTTTTGTGTCCTTTTAGAGTATTATAATAAACAGACTGATTTTGAAATGGCAAGATCTGTCAACAAGACAAAGCAGTACACAGTACTATTGGAGGAGACACTATTTGACGTAACTTGGAAGTGTACATGTTAAGTGTAGCGATCTAAACCAAGTGATAACATAAGTCATGAACACAGTCATTCAATGAACGTGAATATGTGAACAAGAAAGGCTGACAGCTTGATAGACGGCTGCATAATGGCTTTAAAAACTAACTCATGTAAATATGCATTATATCATGATAGTTCATTCTACACTATAGGCATCACATAGCTTTTTTTACACACACAGCACACTACAGTCACCTCTTAGAAAATGATGTAATCAAACAGCAAAATAGAAAGTTTGCATATTTTTGCATTGTATGATCCTCCAAAGATTCACAGCTATTTCATTTCTATTGTCGTGTTTGTTCTGCACTGTTCTGCTTCCACTTAGCTTTCCTTTGCTCACTGTATGGGAGTGTTCGGGGATCTGCTTTAATCAGTGTGAACATTTAGGCCTTCATTATCTGAGAACCTACGTCTTAGGTAGACCTTAAATTGAGGACAGGGGGGAGGGGATGCGGGTGTAAGGGTGGGGTGGGAGCATGTGGAAATCCTGAGACGCTGTGTGGCCTTTTTACACGAGCCACAAAAACAGAATGGACACAGAAGGATGACGAGGCATGGGATGGAGGGCTGAGTTGAGTGGAAACAGATGCAATCTTTTTGTTTTGCCATCGCCTCTGATGGCAGGGGTCACCCTGTGCCGAGCGGCTCAGTGTTTATCAGCCTCATAACAGGCTAACATGACGACAACCTGCTGGGAAATAAAAGGGACTCTAATTGGGGCAGGCTGGGAAAAGGGGGCAGTATAGCTGTAAACACATCAAGCAATGACCTGCATAACATAGAAGCCTACAGCAGCCTTACCTGTGCACCTACACATGGCGTCACTGTTCTGATAAAGCACTATTCTGTGGACCTCTGAGAAACTCTGTCAGCTCTGCTGAGACACCAGGAAACCCACATGTTTGATGTTTCCACAACAAACTATGAAATTCATCTAACAATCACAAATACATGCAAGCAAACTGACATGCTCGCGCTCGCACACATACACACACCGAGTCATTTGTGCACACACAACCAAACAATCTCTCTCTGTCTCTCTCTGTCTCTCTCTTTCTCTCTGTAGACATTAGTCAGAGGGCTAAAAGGATCTACACTGTATTCATCAGGTGTACTATTAGATCCAAAATCAAAAACCCTACAGGCGAATCATATTAATGTAAACATACACTTTATGTTGAAGTGGTTTATATTGCGTGACATGGAAGGGTTATGTTCCAGTGGGGCTAGACTCCTCAAAGAATGCAACTTGGAAAGAAAAATAGTTAAAACAGGAAACCAGAAGAAAAATAAAAACAAACGTGTATAAAAAATGAGGCGTCCATATAAGAAAGGCTACAAAAACCTCCACTGGCCCTCTGGCATCGGCATACAGCAAAAGGCACCACAATATTACTCTATTTTTTACGTTGTGAAAAAACTGGCACATCTTTTATGCTGTAAATCAAAATGTACATATAAATAGAGTTTTCCCTATAAAAAAGTCTTTGCTGTTAACTAGTAGACAACTTTTGCTAAAATGAAAATAAATATTTCATTTGTTTAGAATATCTGTCAGTTATATAAAATAAAAATATTTCTTATAGATGCAGGTCTATACTATATTGATTTTCGTTGGTTCATTTTCACTCTTTAATGGGGTGTATTGTCCGGTTTGGAGCGTGAGTGTGTAAGTCTTGTGTGCATGTTTCCATGCCCACTGTGCCGCCCCGATGAGTGAGAAGTCCGACTGTCCGCCGGCCTGTAGATGGTGGACGGCTCGGCATTCATGTTCTGCATACTGAGGAAGGGCGTGCTCTCACCGTCCTCCTCGGACTCACTATCTGTTAGGCAGCTTCGGGATCCGTATTCCCGAGATGCCTCATATCCACGTGGGGCCACGTGGCCATTCAGTCTGGATCTTCGCCAGCGCCGGCTACCACTTCCACTGGACCCACTTCTCTTTGGTTGCTCTCGAGAGGAGAGATACTCCTGGGTGGTCTCATAGTCTTCTTCCTCAGCCAGCCTGTAGGGACTGGAGGGCAGGCTGCCCCTGCTGTCATTAAGATAAGTGCGGCGCTGCTGCCGGTAGGGCTCCTGGCACTGAGCGTCGTGTAGGGGCACCTGGTAGCGGCGCAGCAGAGGCTGGTCATCCTCCAGCGGGTAGGGGTTGTGGACAGCAGGAGGGAGAGACATGGCATGGCTGGCATTGGGGGATGTGATCTGGAAGGTAGGCACCTGCGATGGCAATGAGTAATGGAAATCCACCGGTGAAAGGCGGGCTGGTGTCGTGAGGGCTGACACATATCTGCAGAAGGAAAAGAGAGGGGGAATAGTTCAGCCAAGAGGAGCAACAACCAAAACTGAGGATGAGAATAAGCAGGTTCGGGTGATTCATAGATATTCTGTAAGCCAAAGATACACTTTCACATTTTCTGTTTTCAAAAGGCAAGTGGACAATTACAAACCAAATGTTTTTTTTCTTTTTATAGATATATATGTATATATATATTTGACCTTTTTCCTTTTTTTTTAAGGTAGAGCAGAAATGAGAGGCAGGCAGGGTACACATGCACCAAAGGATCATGGCCAGAAGTCATAACAGTGAGTGTTGCATTACAGACTGCAGTCTCTATAAACAGGGCACCTGCTTCACCAACTGAGCCAATCAGATGCCTTTTTCAGTCAAAATGATTATCTAATTTGATTTAAAAATGGACTGCTAAAAAGCTCACTTTCTAGAATAATTCCTAACCATTTAGTTTTTTTTACTCCATCACAAATTGAAAATTCTTCCTTCATATTAAAGCAGTATTTCCTCATAGTTAAAGTTGCACGAGAAGACGACTTTTGGCTCAATCAGCTCCTCGAATAAGTATAACTGATTTTCTCATATGACCCAGGACTGTTTTATTTGCTGTCTTGATGGAAACTATTCAATTTTTCTAAGGAGATTTATGAGGTGTCCCCCAAGAAACTGTACTTGAAACATTTTATTTGTTGAGTCACATTGATGACTGAATATTTTGCCAGAATTTACTTGGTGCTGATGATGAGAAAAATATGAATATAAATGGGAATTTCCCCCTGTGGGACTAATAAAGGAGTATCTTATCTTAAATATTACACCAAACTACATGAGAAACCTCCCCTCACTTCAAACAGTATTCAGATTAAAATGACTTGATTTGGAGTTTTAACATATGGGTTTGGACAGTCTTTCACTCTTCACATCAGTTCTTTGAAGACCACTTGGCGATTTTCAAAGGTGTTTCGGCCAAAGCCTGGCTTGAGGTCAGCAGGCAAAAGCAGCTGTTTTGGCTGCCCTTCAGTCTACATTGAGGACTGATAGTGACTTCACTGCTTTCCTCTTCAGCCTCAGGCTGTGGGACCAGTATGTTTTGTGAAGCAAAAGTCTTGCTTCAAACTTCTTATAAAAACACTTTCCATTACTGATCCTGAAGTCCTGTAAACCATTAATCATTAATCAGTTTATAGAGTGAATACTGAGTACAACACTTTTCCTAATTTCTCATCATGTGTTAGCTTACCTGGCTCATTTCCTCGACATATTAAGCAGTCGGCTATTGAGTAATGCTGTGGTGAAACATACAGAACATTCTCCTCCCAACACATCCAAATTTTCTTTCTCAAACAAGTTGGTTTGTGGCCAACTCATAGTGAGTGTGATTGATATCTGAGAGAGCTCTGTTAAAACCGAAGAAACATGTTGGAGCACAACGCGGGCGCCATGGCTGGATGTTGAAGTCATTGTGGCTGCTGGATGACTGTAAGATGCGCTTCCTTAAAACCTCAAAGACTTTTAGAAATATTTAGTCAACATTAAACTTTAATGAAAGGTACATTTTGACTCTTTTTTTGATACTTATCAAAGTTGTCAAAGTTGCCACTTTCTCCACTTGTAATTAAACCCTTTGTTGTCAGATCAATGTGGTCAAAACATCAGAGGCTGTCGTCTTCAAGCCCTACACTTTAATACAATACCTGTAAAGCAGCTAAACATGCTCGTTAGCTCGCTTTGAACTTGGAATGGACATATCACTGACTATGAATCACTGAGTATCAGAGTTTTTCAATCGTCTGTGTCTTGCCTTGAGGATACAACAGGCGGTGTGAGACACCAGCCTGAGATATTCCCACCACACTGCTGACTCAGCTGATGCAGACGCTCTCCCCATGATGGAAGAGGCGCTTGTTACCTGAAATGACTCTGAGGGGATGTTGGTTATGCAATCCGTGTCTGCACAACAACTCAGTGGCCGCAGTCTGTTTATGCACACATGCTTGTTGCACGCTGCCATTGTTAATATCCCACAGTTAAGAGCAGAAATGCCTTCTGCTTCATTTTTGATGCAAGGCACCTGTCGGTTTCTAGATGCTGTCTATTAAGCTGACAAATGCAAGCACTGCATATCTCAGCATTATCTTACGATTTATATCATATTTCAGTTTTTTGCTGCAGCCAGCAGCTCGCGCAGGGGGCAGACATTGTGGAATAATTTACAGATGCATGCATAAAACAGCCATAAAAACTTTGAAATCTCAGTGCTCCATTACTTCCATTTTTGGCACTGGTATTAAAATATGGCTAAGCTTGACATTTGCTGCTTTACTTTATAAAAAAAACACAAGTGTGGGTTTTTGCATAAATAAAAAGCCATGTGTCATCAAACATGTCTTCATATCAAGAGACAGTCATTTCGTTAAAGGTGTAAAGCTGTGGTATATTTGACAGCAACCTGATAGTTCATCCAAAAGGCAGATTTACTCATACAGTTACACTCATGCTGCAAAGGATCACCCTGCACACTCATCTCAATGCATCTCAACTACAAATTTTGAAGAAATGAGGCATTACGCAGTGACACTAAATTTATATTCAAACGTATTTTTGTTTGAGTAAAGAACAGTTCTGCAACCCTTTTTAAAATCAAGGGTGCTTGTGATTTGTGAAAGCAGATGTTTCCTATGGAGACCCCACACAGTATTAATAAAATGGTCCAAGGGTGTGACCATTTTGTCTCCCAAGCTTAAAGAAAAAGGTCCACTTTGCGGATTCAGATTCGTGAGATTTTTACCATCCAGATTTTTTACAATCTTATCAACTTGATATTTTTGTTACAGAGTTTTGGTTCTGTTAAGCTGTACTTGTATTTTACTAGGGCTGTATTTTACTTAGTCGACACAACAAATTCATCGACACGAAAACGAAGCGTCGACGCGTCGTGTTATTATTGTTAAGAATCACATGCCGGCGCCTCACGCTCATCTATAACTGCAGTGCACTACAGGATGTGCTGGGGGCAGTAGCGCTCACTGTTTACATCCCGCGAGCAAACACAGAAGAAGAGTGCACACATTATGGCAGAACAAACTGAAAAAGACGCTCCAAAACTCCGACCCAAAACTTCAAAAGTTTGGGAACATTTTACGGAGAACAAACCAAAAAAACACGGTGATCAAAGCTCAGCTTTCCTACCATGGCAGCACCACGGCGATGCATGAGCACCTGAAACGCCGACACCCCGGAAATAGGTGTTTATAAATAAAGAAGGTCGTGATTAATCGGACGACTAGTCGATAGATTAGTCGACAAAAAATAATCGTTAGTTGCAGCACTAGATTTTACATTTTGTATTGATGATCTGGTTGGGGCCGGCTCATGTTGAGGTTTTATGAGGGAGGATATCTTAGTAAATGGTGATTCTGGAGGCTTTGAACCGATGTTAATAAGGACCTGTGTCTACAGGAAGCTATATGAACAGAAAGGGCAGTGTGTCCTCATATATAGCACCCTTTAGTGTGTTTTTTTTAAACCTTAAATACAGGTTTCTCAATTACAGAGTCAACAAAGACAGACACACTCCACCTAAAGAGGGGCATCATTCCTCTTTGTAACCAGCTGTTTTTATAGCTGTTGTGTTGATGCTTAAACATACAGTGCAACATTTCAGTATTTGGCCAACTCTTGCTCCCACATTTCCTCCCAGCTCAGCTCTAATGCGGGCGTGTTGAGTGATAGATATCTAGGTGTGAATTGTATTGTAATTCCAAACATCAGCACAGCGCAGGGAGGACATTTTGGAATCTGAGATGTCACTACGACAAAAAAAGGGAGTGTCTCTGCGGTCTTTAAAAAGAAGGTTCAAACATGGGCCGTCAGTGACGCTGACAGAAATAGGGCGCAGGTTTAACACCTGAAAGCCCATCATTAAGAGCATGAACTAGTTCATTTTAAAGGGACTGTCCAAATTTTTTTGATACATCCGTCTTTGTAATTTTGCCAACACTTACATAAGAATATTGATATTTCTGTGCTTTTAGTACAGAAATAGCAGCAGGATCTATATGGATCATTTTAGAGTAGTTAAAGAGATTATTTTATTACTCCTGAAAGAGAGAGATAACTGTTTCTTTCCTTCTTTTACTCTTTGTGCTAAGCTAGGCTAATCCAAATCAGGACCTTTCTCTGTGACACAAAGATTAAACACACCCACTCCTGTGTCATGGGGCAATACTGCATACTAATCTATTTCTCAAAGGTCACATGCTTCCTAAAATAAAATTAGATGGAAAAATTAAGCCAATGTAAGTTAAATACAAGCTGGAGAGGATTGTTTCTGTAGCCCTGCGCTCCTGTTAAAATAAGTAGTTTTTTGACTTTTGGCTACATCGGCGTATTTCATCATCATGTCTGCTGTATGTCAGTTTCCACTAAGTCTCTCAGAGTGTTTCTGCAGGCCTCTTCAAGCTGAAGAGGAAGTAAGCGTCCCAAAAAGTGCGCCATTCACTCAGAGCCGCATCATCCATTCGGACTTGTTCCCCACCTGTCGCTGTGCGGAGAGTCTCCCAGCGAGTCGAAGGAGTCTCCGTACTGCAGGCCAGGCCGATGGGGGTCGGAGTAACCACAGTGTGCAGCGCGGCGGGCCCGTGCCTCCATGCACGCGGGACTGCTGCATTTACTGGTCCCCACGGATGATGACATCATTCCCGGTGAGTCAGAAAGGATGCTGTCAGAATGTTCCAGGCTCCATGTTCGTTCCTCATGTCTGACAAATTAAAACCGTGTTAACACATACACACCCCTGCGTGACAAGATATTTTTTACACCATTTTTTTTTTTTTTTTTTTTTCTAAAAAGATGTGTGCCTTTCGGTAAGAGGTCTTGGAGCTTTAGTACCTGTTTCCTGAGGAAGTGTACTTAAGCAAATCACCGTATAACTCATCACTTTCAGTGAGGTTCTGTACATAGTATATGATACAAAAATGCTGAATATACAGTAAGCAGTTTCCTGTGCATGCTTACCTGTGAGGTGATGAATGGGCTCGTGTGGAAGAGTTATGAGATCTGGAAGAGGCATGGCTGGGTGGGAACGGCCCCTCTGTTGCAGGCCGTTCAGTTGAAGGGTTGTTCTTTGCTATGTACTGCGTTGTAAGGAAAATGGATTTGGCAGATGGAAAAATGTGAAAAAGAAAAAAAAGTCAGGCTTTGATGATGTAACTAAGCATTAAAACATTTGCTACATTGAACTATCCGTTTGTGAATGCTTTAATAATGTTAGGAATTCTTTCAGAATCTCACATCTACCATGGGGATTTCCTCTGGGCCTGGTCCTGGGTGATTGGGTCCGTTAGCTAGGTTACGGTTGGGATGCTCTGGACACATGTTTTGTCGCAGATGATTGTGCATCTTCTTTCTTTGTTTCCTGTAGAAGAAATCTGTCATTCTCTCATGATACTTTTATAAGATGTACCTTATGCTCTGCTTTGTTACATAATACAACACTGAAATCAACTATTTTACCTGAAAACTTGTGAAGAAGTACAAAAATTTAACACTGATCTATTATTCCCAGCCATGCTGCACATTGCAAACTGTAAACTGATGCCCAAAGGCACATTATCTTACACCTTTAAGTCAAGTGAAAATCAAAATCTTACAGGAAAAGCAACGGAAGGAGAAAAATGTATCAAGGACTTACTTGGTTTTACAGTAGGCAACCACACACACGATGCCCACCACCAACAGAGCCACACAAATACCCGTGATTGTCAGGACTCTTTTCTGGTAGAGTTCCTCTGCCTCTGTCAACATCACACCCACAAGTATGCAGACGCACCCACACACACACCACATGCACACGGTGAGAGAAATGAAAGAAAAAAAAATTAGTGTCTTGAAGGAGCAGGTTCATCATTTTTCACTGCAGATCTACACTTCGCTCTTATTTGATTTTTTTGGACTAAATCCCGAGCAGGATGAAGCTTCATCTTTCCTTCCCTGGCGATTCTCTTCACAGCCAAACATCTCCTCTCTCTTAATCACAAATATAACAGATGCTGGTTCTGCCTGTGCTGCAGTAAGGCAGCGTGGGTGGGTACAGAGACTCAGCAATAGACTAATCTATTAAGCAACTGTCCTGTCTTAAAAATGTGTGTGTGTGTGTGTGAGTATATATATGTATATATATATATATTTATATATATATATACGTATGGCGTTGTGATGGTTCAGGCTTTATGACTAGAAGGCTCCTCAAAATGAGCAGCACAACACCACTGTAATCTTCATTTGATAATTTGCAATCCTGGACTCTGAGTCTTTTTCCATTTTGCAGTTTTATCATTCAATCATGAACTGACTATATTCACACAGCGGCCATTTTGGTCTGAGTGGCTGCAACTGCTGTTTTTCAGGCTAAGAGTTAGAAAAGTTAAGGTGTCTAAAAATCGCAACTATCTAAAGTAATCTCAATTGATCAAAAGCAGAACAGAGAATAAACTCTGAAACCTTGATGGGGAGTCAAACCATCTTTGGTTGAGCAGCATGTTTGATGCCTTGTTTGCCAAAGTCAGTCAACAGCTAACTCTAGCATCAAGTAAGTTTCTTAAACTCTTTCATTCTTCTTAGCTGAGAAATGGGTGAAAGCTAATATTATCCTTTAATGTAGCTACATAGTATATTCATTAGTGGTAAGGTAATGTAAATGTAAGCTAGGAAAAGGTTGAGTGCTAGCAATAGCTAGCTAACTTTGGAGATCAAATATGTCATTTTACCTTGAAATATGGCTGATGACCTCCTATTTTCCCTTTTCAGTTGCCTTATTAGTCACCAATCAATCAGGAAGAATTAAAATGACAACTTAATTCTAACTACTACACCTGAACGCAGCAGTTCAACTTCTTAGCAGCGTTTTAGCCGTCTGACCAGAGCAAGATTGAAAAGAGAGAAATCTCCACTGTGTGAATATGATAAAGAAATCTCTTTAAACTAGAGAAGTCTTCATTTACTCGGGCATTGAGCTAGCTTAATCATACATTTTTCTTTTTACTTTATTCAACAAAAAATGGAAATAGTTTCAGAAAAAATCATAAAATATGAATATGATTCTTTTTATTTTCCAGAGAAGAGCTTCTGTGAGGCCGGAGCAAACTCTTTGTGTCCCTAGTGAAAAATGAAGGAGCAAAGAGGTAGTGTGTTCCCTGATAAATAATGTAATAAAAATAAATTGAATTTGTTGAACTCCTTCCATCTGAGGTTTCCTCCTTTCATGCACCAGCAGCCATTTTAGAGCAACATGCCAATTTGTGTCAAATTTCTGATACAGTACATAAATCTTACTCTTTAATGGTATTAGTGTTGGTATAACGATATAGTGTCTGCTGGTATAGTATATGAATTTTATAATTACATGATGACTGCTATTATTCTGCACTCTCAACCACTGAAGCCCTTTTCTGGAAAAGTTAACTGAAAAACAAGCACTAACAATGCAGGAGGATGGAAATAGCAGCAGATAGATGAAAACATGACTGTAGGCTCTAAATATAGCATGGCATGCTCACATCACAGCATCTACTCTTTGACGGGTAATTCAAACCAGTAACACAGATATTATGTTTCAAACTTCAAAGTTACATTTCAGATTTACTAAAGACAGAGTGATGCAAGAATCACAGACAAGATCACACATAAATAGAAGAAGAGATGGCGTATCAAAGGGAAAGACAGACTCTAAAGGCATGAGACGTAAAGGATTAGGGATAGAAAAATGATGGAAATTGAGGAAAAACATCTGGTAGCTTCAAACATGATACATCATGCTTGTTACAGATGGAACCACAAAATCAGTCCAAAATAGGAAAATAAGCTAACATGAGTGAGAAGAAAACTCAGTTAATGGTTCTACTCTTTAATTCTGTGCAGGTGATGACATCCAGGTTAATGATGTTTGATGAAGGATCAGTTGCAATTGATCAAGGGTTTGTCATTGTAATGAGTTATGGTAGGATCAATTCAGCAATTGATTGGTTAATCAAGGGATGGTATGATTTACAGACGGTTGCAAGTCAAAATGAAGGACATCTATTTAGTAGCTATACTAGGACTGAGAGTCAAAATGTATTGTTCCATACCCATAAATTCAATCCCAAGATGCTCTGCCATGGCAGAGGGTTGACAGGTGGAAGGAAAACAAAAAGACAGCAGATTAAGATAAGAGAGTGGCACCTTCTTACATGTGGTGAAACAAAAGTAGGCTTTACAGTGACTGAGGCAACAAACATTTGTCAGTAATTGTCAGACTAAGTGGACAGTAACATTAAAGACAAGACGCAAAACAGCAAGCAAAACACACTTCAAACCACACCACACAGAACTGCTCACTGCAAAACTACAATCATCACTCTTGGGTTAGTGTTTGCTCTATTCTAACGGCTGATACATCTGAACCAATCAACAGCAGTTCCTGATTTCAGCTATCTTTGTCCTCGGCTGCAAGAAAGAGGCTGTCAGCGTATTTATTGTATGTCTCTCAACACAGTCCAATGTTGCTTTTTTTCTGTTTTTGATCAAGATTCACATTTTCAAGGTGCTGTTTTTCATTACATAACCAAACTGATACTCCTTTTGGGAAGATGGCATATTAAACGCAAAACCTCTCATTACTGCTGTGTGGGGAAAATATGCGTCATCTGCAGAGATTATCTCTGGTTTAAGTTTTCTGCTTTCTAAAAATTGCTTCAGTGTCAGTTCGCGAACACACCCATCACATGAACAGGCACGTTAGAAGGAGTGTGTCTGTACAGTATCGGAGCAATCTCCCTGAATTATGGTAGGACTTTACATTATATGGCAGAGGGAGGCCACAGGGAGGCCGCACCAACCAGCTGAGTCCATATCTCTGGCAGCTCACTTACTTTACTTGGGTTGAAGAAAGTCCCAGCTGTTCTTATGACAACATGCGATTTTAAAGCCAAGCCCTTATGGCTGAGGAGCAGAAGCCATCCTCCTTCTCTTCGATGTCTCCTGGGGATGGGAGGCGCCCCCATAGGAGGCAGATTTTTATGGATGTGTGCGCGCACATGTGCCTGCTCCTTGAGAGAGAACTTGATTTATTCTCCTTAATTGCGAGTGGAAAATGCGAAATATGTGAAAGGCCACTGCAGAACACTTAAAATCCTCTGCATCTATCATGTCTCAATATGGCCTTCATGAACCTGCTTTTTAATGTAGATCTGCACTGTTGAACCGTGGAAAGGTTAATGGTAATACGTAGACCAACATTCAATCTTACACTGGAAATGAGTGACGATTTCTAATACTTCTAAACAGGTGTCAATGCTTCGTAAACCTTGTACCACTAATTCAATTTGATAGATTTTTTTTCCCCATCTTTATGCTTTTAAGCTCAAAAACAGCGAGTTTATTCCATATTCTCACTGAGACATTTTCCCCTTAAGTAACAACAGGGGTACAGAGTTCATTATGTTCTATAATGTTGTACGCCAAGCTTTGGAGGTATGTAAACAAAAGAAAATCTGATAACATGTTGTCATTCCACCGCTTCTTAACTGATCTGCAACTGAAAAAAATAATGGTTTGTAAAAAGAAAAATCAGGAGCGAAACCTAACACGGTCCGATAAGACTTAGTAAAGGGCTAAGTCCTCACAGCTAACCTTAGCACCTAACCATTATCTCACCAACACGAGGAAAAACTGTCATCTGCCAGCAAACATAATCATCAGCTAGAAATCTACATCTTATCATCTTATTCTGCAGCTCTTTGAATCATTTATATATCAGACAAGAATATTAAAATTACCTGTTGTCCAGCAGTAGCTAATGAGTCAACAAATTTTGTGTTTAGAATTAAAATGACACTGAATTTTCATTATCTATCATCTTCTCATTTGCGTATTGATTTTAAAGCTGTGAAATGACTTTGATTTATTCCGTCTAAGTTTCCAAAAACCCTGCAATGTTGGAATTGCAACATGAAGCTGAATTTTAACTCCCCAGCCTGGCATCAGAATGCTTGTGTGTGAATACTATAAACTGAATTAAATGTATATACAGCACAGACACCAGATAATTGAAGCCTGGTCTTTGTTGATGGGAGCGGATGAGAACTGGTAATAACTGACATCCTTGAAGCAGTCGCACAGCTGTGCTGGAGTTAACAGAAAGCAGAAAAAGTGTGTGAGTGTCGGGAAAAGAGCTCCCACACTCCACTGCCTGCTCTGCCAAAAAGACAAGTAATTTCAGCGAAGTGGATTACAGTTTAATGTGAGACAAAATTACTTGTACTTAAGAAGGGGGTTTTTGCATTGTACCCTGAGCCAACATACAACAAACAGTACGTGGAAGCTCTACAAGTCGGACCACAGGGATGAGACTCTAAAAGCAGCACCAGGCAACTCAGAGAGCAGATGAAGTTGGTAATTTTCTAGCCGTGATGTTATGTTGAATTAAAACCACATGGGCTTGCAAAGACATGACACTGACAAATCTGCAGCATGATGACAGGAAATTGTTCGCTTTCATCTGACGTGAATAAAAGGGTTTATGTTGTTATCATGCACACTATGTTTAACCCTGTGCATGTGTTCTTCAGAGAGCCAAGTCCTGCATGAATTCGCACATGTTTATGTTTCATTAATCTCGCGTCACTCTCTCCTTTCAATATTGCTTGTCATTGCAACTAATCAGCCAACAGGTAATGCTGTGGTGTAAAACAAAGACAACTGCAGCTGGGGCACGATTCCAGACCACGTGGATGATTTTTTTTAAATTAAAAAAAAAAAAAAAACCTTACGGGCAGGATCTATCAGGCTGTACTTCTCCACAAACCTTCATCTAATCTTGCTGTAATTCAACAGGTGATGGATGTGTTTTCTGATGTTGGCTGGTGCAGAGTTGACTTCTCTTACCCCAGGCTAGCAAAGCTGTTTGACACGACACACAGGTACGGAGCATGAACTCTGAGCTGAGGACATTTGCTGTGAGAGCACCATTTTGTTGCTACCTTTAAAGCCACGTGTGTTTGCAACAATTTGCTTTATGTTAGACTGAACAATGTTTGGGGTTTGCTTGACATCTGGCTTCGATTGAGGCATTAGAAAATGTAAAAAGAAGCGGTGCCCTCCTTTCAACATCTCGCTATTTGGGGTAATTCGATGTTCAGCTTGTAAGTACATGCTTACTCCACTTAAAGCAAGCAAACCAACACCTTAAATATTTCCTGTCTATGGTTGGACCTTTGGCAAATCCCCAGTTATCTGAGAAAGTACAATAAAATCATTGAATAAGTACATTAAAGCCAACTGGAATGTTGTCATGTTGGCTCATGAATGACCTATATACTACACATCTATTACAACTGGCCACTGCGAGTATCAAAAACGTGACTAAACTTTTGCTTGCACGTGATTAGATTGTTGCCTACATGCCTACATTTTTAGTCTGATTGTTTCCATCAATCAGCTCTGGTACATGTTGCATTCAGAGAACTTTGCCTAAATAAGGAAGTTTCCTAAGACAATGGTTTAGAAAAAGTATTCCTGCTCTCTGGTCTCACAGATTCCCTGCAGACTTTTCTTCGAGAGCACTTTCTGCAGCAGCTCTGCTTGAGTTATATTAATGTTCCCCATGTTTCTACTATTATTAATGGCATTGCTATGATAAGCCTGGATTATCTCTTGTTATTTTTGTGAATGTGTGTGTGTGTGTGTGTGTGTGTACTTCCTGTCTCTCTGTTTTTTGTCTTCATCACACTTTCCTGGCAAATGGCTGTCCATCAGTGAGTCTGGATCTGCTCAGGGCTGTTCTGAAGTGAGTAATTTCCTCGTCATTCACGGAGACGTTTAAGTTTCCACAAATCAACTACTCATAAGGTAAGGTAAGGTAACAGTACGAATAAACTGAGACAGTTTATCTGGAATAGGATTACTGAGTGAATTACACTGCATTAATCTGCCAAGTGTGGCTAACAATAGAAGAGCTAGCACTCCCAGCTTTGGTTATCGTTGGCGTGCCTGTGCTTATCATTAATTTTTTAATTGTCTGATATTTCCAATTGTTTCCAAATGTTCTTCCTTGAGCTGCACCCCCCCGCAGCAGTCCGTAATGGACTGGCCTGAGGTTTCGCTACAAACAAGCGGCTGCTGGAAGAGAGTCGGTGAGTTGTGTTTAGTCTCTTTGCTAAAGAAATTAGGCAAAGTTAAAAAGATGTTTGGTGGCTAGTACTATGGCTGGGACCCTATATGTACTGTTGATGAAGTTTGGTGCTGTTCTGAGCATTATTTGTGGCTATAGAGTGGCGTTTTGGTTGAGGTTTGTTTATGGCTCCTCAGACCTCTGTGTTTTGCTATCGTGCGGTCGTTACTAAAGTTGGTATAACTAGAGCAGAAGGGGTCGGCAACATTCATCTCTCAAGGGGGTGTCTAACTCGGTGTTATGATGTGTTTGACCCTAAATTAATTTTACACCGGAATATCCCTTTAAGGTTTGTTGTTGACTGGTAGATGAATAAACTGTAATGCCATTGGACTGTGTTGTTACATGCAGCTGACTTAGTAAAAATCCACTTCCACAAAGCATCTAAACTAAGCCATCGATCTTTTGCCGACGCGTTAAATATGCGCTTGCATTCAGAAAGTGGGCATGCAACACAGTGTGAGTTACAGAGCACACAACTGTACATGCAGACCAAACACAACAACAACAACAACAACAACAACAGACTCTGCTAAACTATGCCAGCCTGTGAATGAGTCATCTAAAGAGGCACAGACACAACTATTAGGTAATAACAATGAAACTACAGCAACCTCTCTCTCTCTCTCTCTCTCTCTCTTTACACCCAGCATGCACGAGTGACACGAGGACAGTCTGACAGAGTGACAGAAGAGGAAATTGACATACGGTAGAAACTGGCCATAACGTAGGTTTGACAGCGATCACCAGTAAAGTCATTTGGACACCTGATGGAAAGAAACAAAGCCACAAGAAGAGAGAGAGAAGGGAGGATAAAGAGGGTGGTGGAGGAGTGAGGAAAAGTAAGAGAGAGAGAGAGTGAAAGAGGGTATGCACAGAAGAAAGGGAGAAGAGAGAGAGAGAGGGAGGGGAGAGAGACATAGAATTAGAACAACAGCACAACCACAGACAGCCGAAGCAGAGTGTTCCCATGGATGACACCACCGTGTGCAGAGTGTAGTGCACAGCTCATTGCGTGTTGACCTGAAGAGGAGAAAGACGGGGGAGGACTAGGGGGGAGGAGGAGGAGGAGGAGGAAGAGGAAGAAGAATGGGGCAGCAGGAGTCCACAGAGGTAATCCAGGTACAACTGTGTCTCTGTTGTCAGCTGCTCAAGTCAAGCGGACATACTTTTGAAAGGATTGGGCATGTACAACCGCAGCGGCTCAGTCTGTAAGCATCGTGGGCCGAAGTATCCATCTGGACATCTGGGAAAGAGTAGACGAAGGTTATGAACAGAAAAAAAACCCTGAGAACAAGGGGTGCACAGTGGATATTACTGTGACCTTTCACAATTAAACTTAGGAGTAGAAACAAAGTGAAAACACAGGAGTGTTAATGTGTTCATTTACACACCACAGATAGTCGTACCTGATAAATTCACCTCGAATAGATTAAAGTAAACCGATACTAGTAGCAAGATTGCAAAAAGAGTTGTATTTTGTTGATCATAATAATGAAAACTTATAAATATAATTTAAGACAATCTTTAAAATGATTTCAGCATCCACAAAAGATATATAACATGGTATAACTTAAAAAAATATATATATATTTTTTAAATAAAGGGTAATATATTAAGAGGAAGTATTAGGGCCACATTAAGGGGAAAAAAATTAAGACTTCGAGATTAAAGTCATTACTAACGAGAAAAAAGTCGTAATAAAATCCTTACTTACGAGAATAAAGTCAGAATGAAGTCCTTAAATTCTAACCTGTTGTTAAGGTGGCTGTTGAAATGAGAGCCATGGAGCATTTTGTGAGACTGTACTACGATATGGGTTTCTCAAACAAAGAGATACTTAATCTTTTGGCACATCAGCACCACATTATCATAAGTATAATACTGATTTTATTACGACTTTGTTCTCGTTAGTAATGACATTATTCTCGTAAGTTAACGACTTTGATCTCAAAGTCTTTTTTTTCTTAATGTGTCCCCAGTACTCCAGCGTAATATATACACTAAGTTGTTTTAAAACAACTTAAAACATTCAATAAATCAAATTTGTAACTTTGTAAGTTTAATCAGAGCAATCTAAATTCTTCTTGATTAAAAAAATGACAAAATCCCTCATGGCCCACCCATTGATCTATTTTTTGTCATTTATTTTTGCAGTGCAGGCTTCAGGAGAGCACCGCCAGCAAAGGTCAAACTCTCTTTGACCTCAGTCAGTGTTTTGCAGGACCAGAGAAGCTTTGTACATGATCAATAAATCAATCCAAGCAAGCCGGTGCAACAGAGCTGAAAATGGGGTAATGTGGTTTCCTCTCTTGGTGCCTGTTGGCAGCCAGGTAGCTGTGTTCATAACCTGCAAATGTGACAGTTTTACAGCTAATACAATAAGACAGTTAGGCAAGGTAGTCAAAACTCCAGACTTTCATCACGAAGGTCTTAAAGAATCCTTTGAAATTTGAGATTTGCTTAACTGACTGAACTCCTCTGTTCACTATTAGTCTCCAGTCTCGAGTCTTACAGCGTTTCCTGACATGTAGCTTAATATTTTTGTAACTGAAGACTGACTACTGTATCATCACCATCTAGCTGACTGCACCATATTTCCTCATTATAACCCCATTAGGAAAAGTAGTTGGTCTTTTAGGGGCACCAGCATTCCTCTTGCAGTCACAACTAGACCACCAATCCAACAGAGGTCATCGGTCGTAATTTACTGGTTTCACACAACGCCTCCCAGGAGCACCATAACATTCAGCATTAAATTACTCATCCTGAGTGATGGTGCTTAACTGGGGGAGAGCACCACCTAGACCAAGGAGACTTTGCTGACAGATGAAAGAAATACACTGTCACTACATAATTTAAAAATCAGATGAGGGTGCAAAATATCCAGTGTGCTGCAGCTGCAAACTCCATCAGCACTCTTTTATCTTTCCTTTAAAACGGGGAGAACAAATCACTGTCATCTTTCATTAAAGCTTGATCAAAACTAAACACTTAAGTCATGATGGAAAATAATGAAAGTTTTACAATGTATTAGAAGAAATGAAACCAAATCTTCTCCAGAAGGCCATGAGCATGATTCAATAAAGGATGGGTTTTGCACCACCTAACCCGTTTAAATGGGTCAGATAATTCACAAAACATGTGACAGGGTAAAATACTTCACAAAGCAGAGAGCATATAGCATCTCTAGTGAGCCAGTGTTGTTTGCATACATCTGAATGAGCCATTATGCATTAATTTGGAGCAAAACTCTCCCCTTACTATGCAAAAATGCTTGCCAATTGACCGACTCAAGGGCTAAGAGACTTGAACAGCAGAAATGTTGAAATTTTACTGTCTGCTGAGAGTTGGCAGTAATCGGCCTGAGGTATTTATAATTGTTGCTCAGTGATGGAGACAACAATCCCATGTCTCGATGATATAGAAATGATATATTTTTACATTAAGTCTGTAAATACAACTTTAAGATTTCTCTTTTGGAGATAATCGAAGGTTAAATCACTCTGAGGTCGTCTGTGGCCTCACATGATAGCAGTGACATATTCTCTTACTTCTATCCAAATTACCTGCGTACTGGTAGCTTGCCCCAGGGACTTCGCTGAATGTAAACTGTGCAATTTGTGTCACATCTACCATGAATTGACTCCACACTTAACAGTAAGGGCTTTTTTACATTCAGCTCATCATATAAGAGCGCACAGATCACAGTGTTGACGATTATTTTGACAATGTTTCCAAATTATGAGTCTTGTCCGAAGAGGGGTGTAGCTTTAAGCTCTATGTAATTGAAAAACATTCAATTGTGGTTCATTCTAAAATTCAGATTCCTTTTTTGATTGTTTTGGACATAATATATTAAAGGAGAGATTTTAAATACATATTTGTATGTTTAGAGAGTCACTCTCTTTCTGTCATTTATGAGCCTTGGCTCTCCCCTAAACAAAGTTGAGAGCTCAAAGTGAAGGAGCAGGGAATTAAAGTAGGGCTCGCTGTCTGCAGGACTTGTTTAGCCGGTGAGTAATGTCCACTGAAGCCTGGCCTATATTGAATGAGATGGCTGAGGGGCAACAAATCCCTGCAGGCCTTCACTGCATTATCCAACTTTTCTGGCCCCGTGCCCCGGCCATGAGTGAATTAGCTGCAGCAATTGAGTTATTGCTGCCTCCAATTTGTACACAGCGTATTGAACGGCTGTTGCAGCCGTGTCCTCACTGCTTGTCGAGCATTCTTCCCTCGGCCAACTGGGCACAGACGTCTTTGCTAATGTTTTAGTTCTATATCAAACCGGTCAGAGAATTATGCTACAATGACATATGGTGGAGCTGAACATTCAACATGATATCTGGCAGCCGTGACAGAAGTGTGTACATACTCTGTGCTGGACTTCTGCTTTAGGTTGCAGTAGGTTACGATTACTCTTATAGTCTCTTGCAGGGATGTTGTACCAGTTGAAACACAAGCGTGAAAAACAATTATTTACATTACAGATTTATCTGATGCTAGTTTTCTGATCTATAGAGCTTTCGGTCAATAAAATGTCTTTATCTATTTCTACAAGCAAACATTAGCATATTAGAGGCAAACCTATTTTTATCCAAACAAATATTGATTCTTATTATCATCTGTTTCATGCTCTTTTAACTTTGTATCTCAGGTTTTAAAAAGTGCTATAACAGCATGTTTTTTATAGTTGTTTATCTAACCCTCTGTCCACTCAAGGGTTTTTACATTATGTGTCAAAGTCAGTTACAGACTGATGGCAAAGGTCACCATGTATTTAACCCATCAGTATTAACAAACCCTGTTAATGTTCTTCTGGCTGTGCCACTAACCTGAGGCAGTTTGGGGTGAAATGTCTTGCCCGAGGACTTGTAAACTTTAGGACGGTGGGGCGTGGGATTGAACCTCCAACCTTCAAATTGACACAACCAAATAGATTCTGCATGCTGCACAGAATATGAATAAATCAAATAAAAATCATTGACGCTCACTATCTAAATCTGTCACTTTTACCCTTTTCATTCCTTTTGTGTTTGAGATCCTCCAAAAAGTTATTAATTTCCAGATAAATGACCTGATGTCTCATCCTTTCATCCTGTCTCTGCATACAAAAACTTATCTGCGTCCCTCCAAAACTGAAAAACGAGAAGACAAACTGTTTATTTTCAAAGATAACTCCTCCCTGAATATTGTGCCAAATTGTACTCCTTGACCTCGAGTCTTATACAAACCAAAATGTTGATGTCAAAGCCAAAAAAAAAGAGGTTGTTTCTGTGATTATGTCAACCTGTTTTCTTCTTGAAAAGCACAGATTCATGGCCGCTTCGGTATACTTAACACTCGGGTCTTGATCCCTTCTGCCAAAGGTAAGCAATGATTCTATTTACCTCACTGGGGGCCTCTGAGAGGCATAAATATTTGCTCACCACTAAACCAGTGACTCATGACATTTTGGAAAAGGCTTTTAATGTGCGGTTCTCCTGTACACTAAACACAACTTAAAAGGATGAGAAAAGCACCGCCTCACTCCATTATTAGTGGTAAAATACACAACAGGTGGGTAGTTAGGCGGACTGGCAGCTTTTTCCTGTGATGTGATGCTGCTGCTGAAATAAAGAAGATCGCACATCAAAGCTTCCGAGGAAATAAGACAAACTGTACTGAGGATGCCGAGGAATAAAACCACTTCAAAGTTGACGACAGATAACTTCTCAAGGTTAACAGAAAAGTGGTAACTTACTTGCAGGAGAGCTGATTTACACCATGTATGAAGTAACAGTCGCCGCCATTCACACAGTAGGCCTTCTCTGTGTCGTTGCATCTTCTGGCGTGGCCTGAGCCTGGAGATAGCGTTGTGGTTACTGTGAAAAAAACAAGAAAAACACATTAAACACCTTTTCAACATTGATTCATGTTTAATGTGATAGTTTTACTCTCAAGAGCCTCAGCAGGATGAATTAATGATGATTCAAAAACAAGATTTGTAGTCAAAGTAAAGAGGCGTCGTTGCACACAGGGTTTCCATTAAATATGAACCTTGTTGTTTTTGATTTCAGGGAGAGTCTCGTACCTCGACAGCTGTGCTCATGTGAGACACTTGTTACTCCATGAGATCTCTTATTTTTCCATCCACAAGTGTAATTGTGTCTTTAAGCAGTGTTGACATTATCTTGAGAAGTTCTACGAGCAAGGATAAATATTTCCCTGACACAGCGTGGGAGTTGTTTACAGCTTTGCTCAGGTCCTTGGAATGGCCCAAAATGTCATGTACCTGCACTTAACCACCCCCCACCCCCTCATCCCCTATTTAAACACACACACTCTCGCACACTCTGAATAGATCTAACATGTCATGGATGAAGTTATCAGGACGGGTGGTGTGGGGCCGTCTGAAGGGGGGCTCCGAGAGAGACATATAGCGGCAGGATGAGGCCTGCGCTCTGCATATCAGATACCAGACACGTGATTGTAATGTTACCTTTTGTTTGACGCTTTTAGCACCTAAGCAGACTTGACAGTTTGTTGGTACAGAAACAGAAGTTTCAATCTGGGAAAACTTTGCATCTACAGTAAATCCGCTCCAGCGTCCTGATGCTCAGGTCATGCAGAATGATGTGACACGAGATCGCCGGAGGATTTTTCATTCAGATCTGACATATAGTCGGCTGTTTGCCATTGGGACCAGATTTTAAAGACTCTCATCGGAAACACATGAAAGGGTGTTGTGTCTGGTGGGGGGAATCAGCTCTGTGTCGTACAGAAGCGCACTTCAGGTTTTACTAAAACAACAGAGCCAAATTCCCATGCTAGTTAGCATAACAAAGCAAACATCAGGATGACATCAGTCACTGCTTCTCCTGCCAGAATTAGTCAGCACTCAAACTCCAAACACAATATTATCACTGGAAAAAGAAACTTTGGATCGTTTTCTTCAATGAAATCCAACTGTTTAATTATCTGGCTCCAAAAACCAGTCCGTGACAACGTAAAAACTTCAGTTTATTCCATTTTAGTTTTTTCTCATTTCATTTATTAGTTTACTCATATATCAACATGATATTACAACAATTCAACCCACCCTTCAGTCGTGAGCTTGACTCACTGTATCTGGAGGAAATTATAAGATGATAAAGCCTGGTCTCCACTAACAGAGTTTAAAATCTTGCCCTGACTCATCGAAGTGAAAATCTCACAAAATCTCCTGCAGGTAAAATCGACTTGACTTGTTGTTTAGAGACTTGAATTGTTGTTGCATTAACAAGCTGGTCCTCTTTGTGCTAACTTCATGCTTTGTATTTATTACTGTTGCCATGGTTACATTTGTTGCACTTCCTTCATCAGTCAGCTTGCATCCTGATTGGCTATTGATGCATTTTGATGTGCCCGCCTCCAGAGTGTGTGCTCAGTTGTCCCTTACAGATTAAAATAGCTGCCAAAATGAACATTGATACATCTCTATAGATTTTTTTGTGAGTATTTGACATGAAAAATTCAACCTGTAAAAAGGCACAGCTGTTGATATCAAGGAGCTCTGGGTTTTATTTCTAAAAATAGGTTATGACATTTTTAATTTTGCATTAAAAAGGTGCTCCCTATCTGAAAATTCTTAAGGAAATAAAGACAACTTAAACTACAGGCCTGATATGTTACCAGATATAAAAACCCTCAGCCATAAAGGTGTCTGTCTTTCACGACCATCCATCCAAACAACAAACCAAGTAGTAACTCATGACAGCATGTTTGATCTGATGAGCAGTGCTGATAAGAGCTCTGATTTTTTTTACCGACCTATCATCAGTACAGTTGAAAAGCTAAAGTCATAATCTGTCATCTTATTGTTCTGCCAAAGTTCCCTCAAAATGATTTAATGTTTCCAACATACCACAGCGTCTATCCGCTGTCACTTCAAAACTTTCCCAAAAACTCTTTCCAGGTTTACCAGTTAATCAGAACTACCTCACCGTCACACCTGACCTCTCGCTCGCAGTGCTGGCGTGTAAAACACCTCGTAAAAAAAGATCAGACAAAGCTGTCAGGAAGACGGGACCTGAAAACATTGTAAAAACCTCCTACGCTCAAAATAGAAGCCTTGTGCAGTCCTCAACTGTAAAAACACACCAAACAAAAGGCGGCAAAACAGGCTCGATCTGGGGCAGAGGCCTATCCCAGAATGCACTGGTGGGAGGGAGGGAGGAGAGCATCCTGGACAGATCATCAGTCCTCTGAATACATTGACAGCTCAAACAAACACACACATGCACACACACACATATATATAATCTGAAGTCCACCTGGCCTACATGTGGGTGGACTGTGGGTGGAAAACAAACGACCCGGAGAGAAGCCACACAGGAAGGTGGACAACATGTAAACTTCGCACAGAAAGGATCAAGGCGGGTATTTGAACCCTGAACACATCCTGCAAGGTTTATTTGGCTACTGGTCACACCTGATATGTTTCGCTGTGCTCACTGCTTTCTCATACATGTTACTTTTCAATTAAGGAAAACGTATTTCATCTATTATGTGAGGAAGCAACTTTTGTCAAAAGACTGTAACCCCAAAGTAGTTAATCCACAATGGTTTAAACTCCTAATACGTCCTAACTCTCACTTACTTTTGACTATTTTAAGACCTCTTTACACACCAGCTTTGGAGGCACTGTTTCAAATGAACAGAAACCAACATTTCTCAGATTTATAAATAATTAGTGTGCCACTTTCTAGATTCTCTCAGTCACATTTACATGAAATTAATCTCAAATTGGATTGGCCACCCAAAAGTCCGGAACAATAATTGGCTAATTTCTTCATCAGTCAATGGTGGCTAAAAGCTGCAAGCAGTTTTAGGCCTGCATTTTAATATAGTTTATTGTCTTTTCTTAGGACCTTAACTTGTGACTTTCGACAAACACGATTTATTTTATTTATCTATTTTTTTGGCTTTTAATATTTAAGGTCCTTTCACACCGGGAGCGTTTTTTTGTGCGACTATTCCAGATGTCAACATTTTTGCATTTATTTCCTCGTAAGGACATTAAAGCTAAGATAGTTTAGGTGTTGCCCCTCTGTTGCTAACTTTCTGGAGTAAAACCAGAAAAAACAATAGAGGAATGAAACAACTTTTGAAACTTTGATGTTAGTGTTTAAAGTATAACTCTAAGGTAAAATAAAAAAAAGGTCAAATAAATGCTCTTCATATCTTCAGACTTATTGAATGCCAACCCTTCAAAGCCCATGCCTCCATATGGCAAATCCAGTTATAAAAGTCAGGCTCTGCTCCCGCTGTGAAGGACTGAACCGATCTCACACTGCTTAATTAGTCAGCGCAATAAAAGTAGGATAAATATCTGCGTTGCATGAGGAACATCAGAGCTACGGATCCAAACAGCTACAGCCTGCAGTATGTTTTGTTTCACCATCCAGCTGAACACTTGCAGGTGGAGAGGCCCCCCCACCCCCACCCACCAGGCAGACAAGGATCATTTGCCTAAATGACAAACATCACCTGCCTGCACTCGAGAACTTCAAGGAGCAGCAGAAACACATTCCTGTAAATATTATGGTACCCTCAGTGCAGTCAAAAGAATATAAATAGTAAGTTTTCTTCTGAGTTCAGCTTCATCATTTCAAGGACGGAGTATACAAGTATGGACACCAGTTCATCCTCTCGAGATACATCTCAGAAAACATTTGCACAACTAAAGTATCCAGAAAATTAGGTGATTTCTTTGTAGTCCATTTGCAAGAAATACTCTTTTGTTTTGTTCTCATGATAACTTTAGCTAGATGCAAAGACGAGCAATCGGTTTAAGTGTAAACTACACAAAAGGCTTTGATGAATTTGAGGTTAGGCAGATCTAAAGTGAAACAAGGGCACTGAGAAAAGTTAGATCTTTCAAATAACCAGATAATTTTCCACTACTTTAATTTATTCTAACAATGACTGCATTAAGCTCTCTGTAGCTTCAAAAACTGCAAGTATCCCAACATTATAACAAAACAGATCCATTTAAGAGCATTTATTGGCCCGCAGTCATGAACTGTCATCCAATCCTTGATCCTGCCCAGTAAGTGTCCCAATGTTAATCTCCATTCCTCTTTCCATCGCTGTCCTCCCTTTTTTCCTTCGTGTCCTCCAGTTTCTCCCCCACAGTGAGGAAAAGTTCTGGTTTTCATACAGTGTAAAGTAAGTGTCAGTCCTTGTCCAAAGCTTAAAAGCACATGTTCGACTATACCGATTACTGTGTCCAGTTTACAGTTTAAAGTGTGACTCCTTTGATTCACACAGCATGGGGCCAACGTGAGGGAACTTCAACTTCATGGAGTGTCTATAAATCTCACATGTGGACCCACTTCAGGTTTTATAATAAACCTGTAAAGCTTGACAAAAGTATGTAAAAACCTGCTGAGCAGCAGTAAAATATCAGGGCAGGACCCTAAGATGCCTCGGACTTATTGCTTCTCGTTTTCACCTGCTCTTTTCGTCAGCCTCTGTATCTGCTGTCATAAAAACCTGAGGAGTATCGACAGACTTTAATGCATGAATCAGCAGAAAAACTAAGTATGTAAGACTAAGTAATCATACATATTGTGCATACACAATTCCCTGGAGTAACACTATACATCAGCATCGTGTTTCATGTTGATAACACAATATGCTGATGACACACAGATATATCTTCCTCACAATAATCCTCTCACAGGGTGTCTGGAGTCATCAAAACTGTTTCCGAATTTTTTTTAACTTTTACCCGAAAGCAGCGAAATACAAGAGACAACAACATGACCTGGTGATTTATCATTAAGTTCAGTCTCATCAGCCAGGACAAATTTTGATCTACAGGCTTATGAAGGAAGGTTATATTTTGTGTCATTGATCTTTTTCATGTTCCTGCGAGTATGAAGCTAGCATGAAAAATGCACACTGAGGCACAAAATGCATCATGAAACATGTGGGAACTGCTGGCATGGCTTCATTAGCATAAGAGTTCAGGTAGTAAAGCTTCCATGAGGACTTGATTGATTTGACTGACTTCATTCACAATCAATCCCGCTTGGACATCCACATTAAATGCAGTAGAATTGATCTGTTATAGTAATGACACTATCAGCTAAGTCCACCATGAAGTCAGGTAAATGGAGCCCCTTTCTTTAAATAGAGTATTTTATCATATTTTTATGAACATTATCACATTTATAGGAAAATTATATGACTTTTATTCATACCTAAACTTACGAAGATAACTAACAAACTATTGCCCCTGTTCCTGTAACATAGAGGCCTGGTTTGTATGAAGTTACTTTGGCCAACTCTGAACCATCCAAGAGGTTCTCCCCTGAGTTCCTTCAGTCTCTCCCAATACTCTGTTTCCCATCCATTACGCTGGTCTGAATAAAGTCCATGGCTCCACAGTGAGATGTCATTTGTGGACCACTGAGGACATGCAGCCTCGGGCAAAGCTCAAAGTTTGTTCTGTTAATGTTTTTTTAATACGTTCAAGAACCTTCACCTGGTATTTCTGAATCATTGGACATTCCCGGAGAAGATGTATTAAAGCCCTCAGTGTTCAAACATTTCCAACAATCAGCATGCAAGATCTTTTCCAAAAAAACAAAATTGTGCAATAAATCGGACCATCGTTTTCTAACTCAAACTGTCTTTCTTGTTTGTGAATTTTAAGTTGAGTGGTTGTAGAGGCTCGCATTAGTAGTTTTACCTCGAAATAACAACAAAAAAGACCAACAGCAGGAGTTACAGCAACCTGTGATACTTTTTTGGTCCCCTTGATTGGATTCGTGCCTTTACAGAGGATGAAATGTCTAAGAATTAAAGAGCGATCCCATACACACAGATAGTTTTCTCATTTATGAGAAACCCATAGAAGGAGCTGTGTGTACAGACCCTGCCTGTGTGATGAAACAGAACTTTGTTTTCTCTCTGAGGTGATCTGGTTCAGCCAACACAGTGTTTACGCAGCCTGAAAACACATGTTTACTCCAGATTAAAACTAACGACAAGACCCACAATTTATTGACATGGCCAGTGATACACATACAAACAACAGAGGAGTGTCTCATTAAAGGCGGTCGATGTAGATAAAAGAAATGCTTTCAGACTGTTGAACTGCTGTGTTAGCAGTACTCTGAAAATATTTCACTTTTATTAAGAATCAATTGATGCAACTGGCAATAAAGTGCACAACTTTCTCATAGGATGTCATCTTATTGTATGTTCATAATGTGGGATCCAAATGGCTTGTCTGTGTCTCATTTGTCACGGTCTAGAAAGGCTGCTGTGAACTGGCTTTCTGTTGACAGTTGTCATAACAACATGTGCAGTGAATGCTGAACATGTTCATCATTGCCCTGTAGAGCAGTTGTAGAGCAGTTATCACACGTCCAATAAAGAAGTACATTATAGAGTGTCAGCAGGTTTTTCTTATTTACCTTAGTATTACACCTATAAAAAAGTAATGCTCTATAGTCTGTAAATGAACCAACTAATTATTGACCAGTTTAGAGCAGAATTGGGCAATCAGGATGACTGCAACAACTGTCCAGATTATTGTTAGTCATGTGTTGAAACAGAAGGTCTCATATTGTAGGGTTAGCATTGGGCGGCAGGATCAAACATCACAGGATTTAACCAAGAGGGGCTAAGATAAAAAAAGAGGGAGAATTACTATCTTAATCCACAACCTGAAAATTTATGTTCATATGTGAGAGCATACGTCAACCACATGTTATAGATGCAGAAAACAGACTTTAAGCCATGAGGGTTCACATTTACAGAGAGCAAAGGGTATCTTAAAGAACCTTTTTTTAAGGCTGTATGTGACGCCAACGTTGGGATACAAAGCATATGATACTGTACTGTGAATCTGTCTTAGTTTATTTGGAAAATTTACCTTAAATTAATGGAAGATATCATGACAATCTTTGTATGGCAATCTAGTTTACAGTCAATTGAGACGTCTTGTTGTCACTTTGGAGCTCCTCTGCTCCACCTGCTCCTCTCACTCCTGTCAACATCATTATGATAGTTGTGTGTGTGAAGCTATAATTACAACAATAGTGAGAGCACTTTCAACAAAAATAGCAGAGTCTTATTTTGAAATTAAGTGTTTTATTTTTTCTTCCTTTTGTGATTTTTTCTTCTGTCTTTATTGGCTGTCACCATCTTTGCAGGGATAGCACTTTTATCTACTTCTGTTCCCAGGAGGAAAGGTGCTGAGGCTAAAAATGGCTGATAAAAGAGAGACTCAGCCCGATCACAGTTATCTGAAAGCTTCCTACTCGTCTTGGATTACAGTCTCCGACAACGGATACGGGCCCTGACCAGAATAACATCAAAGTCAATTAATTAAGATCTTTACATGTAACAGAGGATACAGAAATATCACACAGCATGTGTGAGATGACCAGAGTTCAGGTGTCTTTGTCAGGCAGACACTGCTTTTCTGACAGACTCTTTTAAGATCCTCCTCTCTCATAAGCAAAGCTGGTTTACCCGCATATCTATGGCTGGGGTCTGGTTTAGTTCGTCTGGTTTTTTAACCCCAAGTTTCAACTTTCCACGGTCCCTTAGCCCAAGGGCTGAATCTGAATCTTGCAGCTGAGAGGTTTCCTCCAGGTTAGCGAGGGCCACAGTGTTTAGCCATCAGCCCTTGCCAGTGACTTTGATTAATCCTTCATGGCCCGAGAACTGAAAAGAAAAGCTGGGGGTGCAAGCAGGACCATCTGGAAACCTTCATAAACATGCCTGTCTTTCCACGCTCTCCAAAGGATTCTAGGAAAATCGTAAAAATGAAAAGAGAGGTCCCTATTGCTCCGTTTTTTTTTCCTCTTGAGGCACCCTGTGCATATGCAACAGAAAAAAAAGCCTTCTCACTGAATCCTCACCCTTATCCAGCCGTGAACACAGAATTGTGTAACCATATACACTTTCAATTGGCTTGTCTTGAGTGCGGAGTAATACATATGTCCCCCTAATTTATGACAAATGTTGATAATTTACTTCAGCTTGGCTTAATCTGTTTCACTTCTGCAGTGCAATTGAATAGAAAGCCATCCCAAACACTCTCAAGAATGAATCTGATTCTGTGTTTGGAGGAAGCCAAGGCTGTTATTCAACCAAGTGGTGGATCGCTTCCATCTGGACTTTGTTATGGCTTTGTGTTTTCACTCTTAAAAGCAATGTTATCTGGATAAAAACGTATAAATTATGGCGCTGATTTGGGAGGATGTCAGTGACAAGAACAGTGTGCAGACCCAGTCCATCTCTGACAGCTCGTCTCTGCAGTGGAGCTAGATGGATAAAAGGACACGCACTTCCAAAAAAAGATTAATGTTTAATGTTAAGATACAATCTTTAACTCATCTGTCATGTAAATCCTGATTTATCTTGCAAATGTAAAAATAATGTCTTAAGGACCTGGATAACCACAGAATTCTCACAAACTCTCAAGTAGCACATACCAAGCTAGAAAAAAAAAAAAAACTATAAAAAAAAAAAAAATTGAAAGGTACTAGTTTGACAAACAGGGTGTTCAATTCATTTTCAGACTTATCGACAAGTCTGATGGTAACAAAATACTCAGAGAACAATCGAAATTGATCAAAATTTGGGGTTAACAATGTGAAAAGGACCACCCACCATTAGTCCTTGTAGGTTAACATCCATATGCCTATGCTGGCTGCATAGTGATCAGGTCAAGTGGTGATATGCCAGTCTAACCAAACAGAACCAACACAGAGCTATACCTCCATTTTCTAGATCGAAACACTGCCCAACTGTGGGATACCATTTGTCATCTGTGTTTGTTTACATCTGGGTTGTAGAGCATCGTGACAGCAGCCGTTAACTGAAGCTACAGCACTACAGCTTTAACACAACAGCTAACTAGCATTAACGTCAACAAACTTACACATTAATTTACAGAGTGGTAAATCTGGTGCCAAGAAGCAGGCATCACATTTTAAGAATACTAAATACCGTATTTTTGGCACTATAAGGCGCACCATCAATGAACGTGTCTATTCGTGTCTACTTTCATACATAAGGCGCACCAGATTATAAGGCTCACCGGATTATAAAGCGCATTAAGCCAAACAAAACAGTCAGATAAATCAAACTTAATTCAACTCATTCAATAACTCCGCGAGGCTACGGTAGCTGCAGTGCTCCGACAAGCCAAAGGGATTTTAAGTGCGCCTTATAATGTGAAAAATACGGTATCTGAAGGTTTCTTATCAACTTTAGTTTGTCGTTTGTTTTTTATTCATTTCCTGCCTTCGTTTTGTGTTTTTACAGTTTTTTTTATCTCTTTATTCACATGAAGCCCTTATATGACAGCATCCTATGTTTTCTGGGTTCTATTGTTAGTTTATTTCTTTTTTTTAAATTATTATTATTATTGGGATCTAATAAATTAAGCATTAGCTAGGTAGTGTTTCATCAACAGGTGGCACCACACTTTAATACCAGATCTCGATTTTTTTTTGTCTTTTATCAGAAAATGTAAATCAGCAGGTTTCAAACAAGGAGGAAAATCAAGTGAAAAGCCATAAAAATCATCTGGATGGTTTAATGACAAATCCGTCGAGCACAGACCCTTCAGGAGACAAATAAAGAGAGCAGTTTCTGTAATAGCTCTGCCACCCAGACATGCTTTTCCACAAGTAGGTTTTTATGTACCAGAAAAAAACCTCTCTCTTCCCCCCGTGCTCCCCTCGTCTTTCCTCTCTTTTTCTCCTGGCAGGGAATGTCGGACATGTCTCCTGTTACAGCCGGGACCGTGCATGATCTTTTATCTCGATACTGGGGGCCAATTCATATTGCATGCATTCTTCCTTCACTTGTACGAGCTGCATTTTGTTCCCCTCTGTGGTTGTGAAAGAGGAGTGTCTAATCTAGATGGAATGAATAAATAAGATAAACAGATTGCAGGAAAAGTAGAAAGGCCAAATTGGTAAGTGTGGTTTTGCTACAATAGGAAGCTGTTGACAGCTGGGTCTGATGTGGTTTGGAGGATGTGCAGCGGTGATGCATGCTTGAAAAAAGAGGTTTTGTTCTTTTAAAGCTTCTCCTATTGTAGGTATTGAAAGGTGGTATTATAGCACATAGAAAGTGGAGACAAATTACAGCAGCAACGAAGAAAGACCAAAGTCTGAAGCTTGTTTGCAGACACATACAAAGAGAATCTGCTACATGTAGGAATTTGCTTTTCTTTCTCTGAAAGATTTATACTTCGTCATCCGATTTTTATCAATTAGACACAATGCTTGTTTTCTCTCATCAGATTTAAGAGCACAAGTATGGACAAATGCACCGGCAACGAAAGAAAGAAAACAAACAAGTGATATAAAAAAAAAGATGGATACAGGAGCAAAGCAGGGAAGAGGTGGATTGAGGAAAGATTTGTTGAAGAGATCTTTAGCTGGAAAATATTTCTGGTTGCCAAAGCCAACACAATACAGGCACGCACCTACTTCCACACATGAGTATAGGCACACCCAAGCAGTGGCAACATGCAGCATCTGTGTTATGGAGTTTAAAATAAGCAAAAGAGATTTCATGTCAAATACCCAAGGAGGAATTAAATTACTATTTACTGTAGGCAGGACGCACCAAAGAGCCCATTATGAATGAAGGTGCACTTAAGGCGTTTTTTCAATAGAAAATTATCCACAATTCAAACAGCTTCAGATTGAAACAGGAATGTTTAGAAATGAACAAAATGGAGCCTGCCAGGAGCATTAATCTACCACCCACTCTTCAGAAACACTGCCACAGCCACAACCAGTGTGTCTTCTTTTATATTCTTGTCTCCTATTACCATTTTTCAGTCACATAGCTGATATGCCTGGTCTTGCCTGCCTCAATCGACTCAGTGCTGAGGAGAAATCAAAGAGCAGCCCAGTGTGTGATTGCACAACAGCTGCTCATGCGCTGCAGAGAGGCAAAGTGCGCTCAGGAAGGGCAGGGTATGGCGCGGGTGCACGAATGGTTGCCACTGTGGGCGCTGGCGGGCACCAGAATGTGTGCAGTTGGCAACAAAGTGACACATGGTGTGTGTTTTTCACGGCATGCTTCCAGACAGGACCGATCCCTGCTCTGTGTTTTCAGAAGAGGCTTGGCATGACGTTTTTTTTTTTTTTTTTTTTCTCCTCACCGCAGCGGCTTCCTTGTTTTGAAGCTGAGGATGCCTGTTGCTTTCATTTTCACACTCTGACTTGAGAAAGTTTTGTTTATTAAATCTGTTTGAATCTTTAAAATCCTGAATCATATGACAACTATAATTGCTAAGATCAAGAGGACCCTTTAGCAAAAAAAAAGAAAAAAAAACTTCAATGAGCCTGTAAATTTTCTCCTGCAAGAACACATCCTCAGAATTAAATCTCATTCATACGCCAAAGTCCAAAATCCTTTAATCAGTCTCTTAAAAGGAAAAATCCCATATTCCAGGACATGTGGTAATCCACTTTAGAGCCACCCACCCTGATGGCATCTTTTGTCTGAAACAACCTGACAGACAGCAACACTGGTGGTAAAAGTTAGTGAGGCAGATTTGTGACTTGAAGGTGACACATTTGAACCCGAGGAGGGCCAGATGGAGAAATAAGCTTTAAAAAAATGTACTCTTTTATTCCTCTAGAATTTGTGCTTTTGTCAACTCAGTAACTAAGTTCTGTTGGAGTCACTCACTTTCTTTTAATGTAGATGAAAAATAATATTTTCCTTTTTTTGCATGTTTTGTTTGAGTTTTGTTGCAAAGTTCTGCCACATGCACAAGGGTTGGTCATATGAATACATGCATATAAATGTGCACACTTGCATTGATTTATATAATTGACAAATGCAAAGTGTAAAAGTAAAATTACTGCTGCAAAAGAGTTGGAATTACCTCATAGATAAATCCAGAGAGGTTTGAGCGCATAACAGGCTATAGTCTCCCCTTTGGTGAAGAGGGGCTGTGTCAATACTGGCGCAAGTCAGGTCTGAAACTTTACTTTTATCGGCTTTGATAGGACAGAGAATAAAATAACACTAACATAGTGTCCCCTAGCGTCATCAGCATCACGATATACGAAATATTGATCAGTTCACCTGGATAATGATAAATAGATCATTAACTTTGTCTACTTCTGCTGCCATTCCAGCTGCTACAACTTTTGAACCATCCTCCATCTCCTCACCTGTCTTTCCCTCTTTCTTACAGACCGGATGGGGTGGAGTCACATCTCCAACATAGGATAGCGTCAACATGAGACCATAGCCTACCTACAAACATCCAAAACCCAACTTTTATTTATTTATTTTTTTGAAACCGAATATACTGACATGGGCAAAATGACATCGGTTATTGTCGTAAATCTCGGTAGCTGTAAATTTTCGCCCAGCCCTAGTGTCCCCTGGAGTCAAGCTGTGCGGGGCAGATAATTTAACCCAGCCGGAATTAGCTAGCTAATGATTTAAATACTGTAACTCTAGAATTTAATAAATATGGTATTTTAATAAAAAGCAGAGCGAGAAACTTTTGGTGTCAATTACTGTTCGTGGTGCCAACAGTCTGCGGTTTGTGACAAATAGAAAACACATAGGGACCGTGTGACATTGCAGTTTCTGTGCTTTATTCTCTAATCTGTGCATCTTTATGAAACACATGAGAGTTTGAAAGAAGGTCAGTGTTTGAGGACCTGTGAGTGTGGAGGGTTAGTGGTGTGGCTGCTGTGACGGAGTGTGGAGCAGAGACACACAGCAGACAAAATGTACTTCTGCATACTGTTATTTGGCATTTTATATTTAATGTTAATACTCTGTTTAAAACAACACATATGTACATAGAGAGCAAAGTTTACTGGACTCTATGTGAACACATACTTGTCCAACAAAACTGATTCTGATTCTGAAGGAGTGGGACCAAATCAAGCTGCCTCCTGCGTAGTTGTAAGAGTGTCGACGCTGTGAAACAATCGTGAAAAAAAAACCCTCATTTATCAGTTTTACTGCTTTGTTTACTAAACTGCCACTCTCTATTTTACTGGCCCTCTCTCCCTTTCTCTCTCTCTCTCTTTCTTTCAATGCCAGCAGCTTTGGGTTATAAATAAAACTGGAGATTCCTGTCTCTCAGAAACTTCAGTGCTTTTTGATACTTTCAAACTTAAACAAAGGAGATCGTGTAGTTTCAAAGCACATGGTAGGAAAAAATGGACAGATCATAAATTTTGAGAGCCTAACCCTGATAAAGGCCATGTGTGGCTGAAACATGTTGGCTTGACTTTTTTATCCATATTGAATAGTGTCCTAGATCCACTTTTTTATTATTCTTTGTGAAAGTTGAATTTTCTATTTTTTTTAGAGTCATTATGTTCACTATCTTCTCTGTTTCTATGACATATCAGGACTATATTTCAAGCACATAAGTAGGTCTAAAGGTTGACAGATTTGTACTCAAACTCAAAACTTTATGAATAACCTTGCCCTGCCAAAAATGTAAACCATATATAAGTTTTAAAAAGTTTTTTCTAGATCACGATCACTTTAAAAGGACAAAACGAGAGGCCTCCACGTCTCTCCCCGTTGCCCTTCATCTTCAGCAGCTGGCCCTCGTTCCTGATGAAGGGCAGACTCTGCAGTGAGTACCAGATACAGCAGACATATACCACCGCTCCATATTTGGCTCTTGTGCTCACAGCTACAGTAGTGGCCAGCTGCTCGGACGGAAAGGTTTCCCCCTCTGCTGTTCCCTGAAAGCCTGAAAAGCACACGGTCTGCTTGTATGTGCGTGCTGCGGCCCTTCTTCGCTTGTATACACACACACCACCCACACACACGCCCGCTGTACGTCCTGAAATGGGGCGGCTGCTGTTTTTGTTAAGGCAGCCGGTCCTTTTTTTTGTATACCGAAGGATGAGTTCATGGTGAGTGTATCTGTGATTAAAGTGGGGCCTTTTCCCTTGCACACTTAACACCTACACACTCCGAGGGAAATGGTGGCTCATGGTAACTCCTGAAAAACTTACTCACCTCCTCAGACATGATGTGATGAATACAGCTGCAACAAAAGGAAGCAGCGTGATGGAGTAATGGGAGGTTTAGCATGAAAGACAGCTGTGAAGGCCAAACTATAGTACCACGAACCTGAGCTTTGAGAAAAGGAATGGTAAGTATATGTTCCTCGCGTGCTCAAAGAAAACTTCACAAAGCACGATAACACATGAGGGCAAATCCAAAAAACGCAAAGTAAAAAGGACCGATGGGGACTTTCTGTTTGATGTGACTGAACAATAGCTTCCTTACAGACCTGTTTGCAGCAACTGCAAATTATTACTGACTCACTACAAGCGAGCATTTATGACTCAAGGATTCGTTTTCAGGCTGTAAAGTCTCCTCTTAGAGAGCATTAACAAATGCTGCAGTGCTTGCTAATTTCAAACCAGAATCTTGCACCGTCACCCGCAGTCGAGGTCACAATCTTCATCCGGGGGGAAAGACCACCAGGACAGCTGAGGAGGATGAGGGCGGGGGTGTCTTTTAGTATGCTATTAAATTAAATCTCATATTTTTTTTCCTGGACCCAGGAAGAGTTAACAAAGCCGTGCACACAGCCCAAAAATGAAAAAAAAAAATCATGTCACCTCCTGCTCACATCACTCAGCTTCTCGTGTAACAGCTGCTTCCGTCCACACACACACGCGCGCACACACACACACACACACACACACAACAGTATCCTCACTAATTCACACTGAGGGCTTAACTGTCCCACACAATGCAGCCAGATTACTCTCAATATCCCCAAAAAAGAGTGATGTGCATTTGCAATTTCAGCAATTTTTCTGCGACTTTTCAATCAAGGGCGTCACTTTAAGCATCACTTCCACAGGATTTAAGTGAAGCAAAAGAGCGAAAAGCAAAGTATGATCATTCGCCTTTTCTTCCTGTTTCCTATCTTTTCTTACTTTTTTATCTAATTCTGTAACAATAAGGTCCAACAGCTGCCTCCTCTCTGGCACATTAGCACATGCATGTCAAAGCCGATAACTCATGCCACGCATAACCCCTGTCATAAAGCCATGAATTACTCACATATTAGGCAGCTGATTTATGTCCTATGTGTCAGCCACCTTACATTACTTTTCCTCCAAAGTGACTTGTTAGAGTTGAAGGACAGCTCGGCAAACTCCGCTCCGATTGCGGTGTCAGAAAACACATAAATACATCTGAAAAATGATCTACTCTTAGGGTTTTAAAGAAGGGTTTATGAGGGGTTTTGCCTTCTAGGATTTTCTGAGGTAAACTAACATAGAAGTGCACCCAAATGTCAATATAGCATGTGCAATGAAAACATGCATGCACAGGCATGGACGCTTGTGAAAATATGTTCACTGACATGCCCAAAAAGCAGTCAAAACATAGAGGTGTATCTTTTCTAACAGGCTTTCCAAGCGTGGAGCAACTTCCTTAAGGTTTATGTTAAAGAACAGGGGTGCTTGAAATTCATCTTGATTTTCCCCTCTTTTGATCAAGTATTCCTTTGGATGATATTCAAAGCACACAGGGTTCAAGTCCTCCTCCATCCTATTCTGTATGTGTGAATCCATTCGCAGCATCACATGCCCTGTCCTGATGGATGCCCAATGTGTGAGTTTATGATGGTGTGGGTGTTCATCCCATCCTCACATAAACTCCTCCATTAACTCAGGATTTTCCTGCTGTACCGGATGCTGCCCACTGATACAGAAAAAAAAAAAAAAAAAAAAGGCCGTAAACAATAAACAAAAACTACACGCATGCAGGCAGCGTGGGTGCGGTGACGATTCTGTGAGTGCATCGGAAACTAAACATCATTGTGGGTGAACTTCAAAACAGGCTGGGATCTGTGACACGCTGCAGCTGTCATGAGGTAAGACGCGGTAATGTCGGGCTGAATAACAAACACTCTTGTTTCAGAGGAGAGACGTGCTTCCAGGAACTGTGGGAATAATGAATTGGGTGAAATTTAAACTGCTGTTTTTTATTTTGCTGTTTGTACAGATATTTAAAACTTAGCTTTTCTGTTTTTCCTGTGGGAGATTAATGGACACAAACTGGTTTTTAGCTCAGTGAGAAACTTAAATAGTAGCTGGTGGAGAGGCCTCAGATACCCATGTGCTTACGAAGAAAAATAAAACTTAGCATCTGTTTAAAGACACTGATTACCAAAATTTTGCTTGCTTTGACCAACATGATGCTCATGAACGCTGATGCTTCTTTATCTCTACCCACTAACCAATCCAAGGGGATAGAGATCTAGAGATCATTGGATACTTGTAGATATCATTTGGTGGGGAGAGAGAGAGAACTATGTTTTCTTAACAAAAATAATGTTGTCATGGAGATTGTGTACCTTCCTTGCAAGAAATTATTTTGCAACATAAATGACATTTCTTTTGCCTCGTTAAAAAAATAGCTTAACTTCAGATCACTCAAGCTATTCTTGGAAACAACTGACCACCAGAAATCTTCATCAGTTTTAATACTTTTTGGCTGGTGGTTCAGTTCTATTAGATAATCAACATGAAATAGCAGAATCAATAAGCTCAAATGTTCTTGATTTCATGTTTTGAAAATTGTTAACCTCCAAATATAAGATGCAAAAATGAAGTTGTCTTATATTCAGGGTCTACACCTTTTCATGTCAACATGTTAACAACAGTGCTGTTCCTCTGACTTTCACCCAAAGGCCACACGCCACATCAATGGACACAGCAGCACAGACAAAACGGTGAGAAACACTATCAGGCTGTTGACTTTGGTTAACAAATGCAGCAGGACAACACATCCCAAGGCCAACGCTGAACTTCTATTTAGGTAAGACGGTAAAAAAGGAGACTCCCGCACTGACATGAGAAGAGGGGTCAGCAGTAAACTGGATTAGATTAGCTAGTGAGGTTATAAAGAACAGTCCATGATCGTCACATTACATTTAGGCTGAAGCAGTCCAGCTAAACAAGTGCTGAATTAGTACAATAAAGTTCTTTAAACTCCAGGCCAACCAGCTGAAAATTGCTCTTGTGGGTATGTGAGCGTTGTGCGAGCGGTTGGAAAGATATCATTTGTGCATGGGCTGTTTGACTTACTTGCAGGGCATCCTGATGCACAGCTCTCATCTGCTCTCACATTGATTAAAACCATACCTCTCCCCCTGCTGGTCTGCTCCCACTCTACTGCCCACTTACACTTGTGTAGGGGCCCTGCCAGGTACAGTAGGTGGCAGCATGCACATAGTTGGTTAAAAAATCCACTAAAAGGAAAAAAAGAAAACAAAACTTCATAACCACTCATGTGCTCAACTGGGCAACATTTATGCTCCATACACGCACTAAAGTCCACTCTGCTTCTGTGGATGTTTTCACTGTTTGGAGATGCCAACAACCACACTTCACTGACCTTCATACTTTATATCCTCCGTGGAGTAGTTTCGTAAGACGCCATTTAGTGGCCCATTTCACTTTCCATAGGCTGTGCCCAGCTGCACATGAGCTGTGCCCAACAAAGCAGAACAAGTATGATTGTGTTCACAGAGATGATAAATCATAGGAACGGTCAGTTTCTGTTTTCAATGTTTCTACCTATTCACATCTCTTTCTTCACGTCCCTCGGTTTCACTTTCTTGGTTCTCAAGTTGAGAAAGATGATCGCTAGTTTTTGCATCAGTCATGCCGCTGTTGCCAAATGTTTAAGCGTTACAAACCCAATATTTTGTGTCATTAGAAAAGTTTGTCTTTTGATTGTGCCCAGGGTAAATAGAAATGGATTGATTGATAGCTCAATAAGCAAAATTCAGTTCAATTACATGCATCGAGTACATGACATGGCAACCATTCAGCACTATTTCAAAATTATAAGAGACCATGCCAACAGCAATTTAATTATGTCCCATGAGCCTATAGGATTACAACTTCTATTTTCCTCAGCTTCTCAATGTAAACCTGATTTTGTGCTCAAACCTGCCAACACGCGAGAAAAACTGGGATTCTGGAGCAATCTGATCGGCCACCTCTGAGGATCACCTATCCAGATCCAAGAACTGAGAAGACTGAGAAAGAAAAAGTGGGCATGACTAACTGCTTGGTTCTTGATCCACAGAGCCTGACAGATAGTCCTCCAGTGGCCTGTAAATACAGAAGACTGAGCAGATGTGAAGGTCGGTTCCTTTCAGACATGGCTGCTAACGCTGTTTCTTACCCACAGTAATCAATAGAGCTCACTGTTGTGCAGATACCTCACATTCAGGACCACAACTCACATCCTCGAGCGTCATCGGAGAAGAGTTTATGTTGTCATTTGCGTAGTACGAGTGAGTAGGTTTTGTTTTTACGAGGCAGAGACGTAGAACGAGGAAAGGAAGTTGTTGTTTATCAGGTTCAAAGAAGTACTTACTGTAATGTTTCTCTTATGCAGAGGAGATATGATGACTTACTGGAAAAGCCCAGAGAAAGCTGTGGGAGTTTTTAGTCTGGAGTATGTCTAGTTGTTTAAGGTCATGTTGTTTTTAACAGTAACGTTAACTAAAAGACCCTGAAAGGTCACTGAATCACTCTGTACAAACATGAGTCAAAGTGCATCATAACAACATCTGGTTCTTTTTCTTAAAAGTGCCCCCAAGTTTCCTCGGCATCTATGAAACCCGGAACGTCACACATGGTTTCATCTGTCTGTGAGCTCCGCCGACAGATGAAAATTAGAGCTCTAAAAAGTCTACTTTCCACTAACCCTTAACAAAAATAACAACAGCAGAAACACGCTGGTTTGAATTATCATAAAATAACCTTTTTTTTTCCACAAAAGATTTAGACACATCTGCAATAAGAACTGAGCGCAATATGAACTTGTAAAAAAGTTATGGCTTTTTCCTCTGAAGGCATATACAGTTTGTGCAACACAACTTTATGAAATGTTTGCTGACCAACAGATGTGTTTATAGCTTATTAAAGTGCAAAATGTTCTGGTTCCTTATCATTTTCAGATGTTCCTCTGTTTTTGGTCTTCTTTGGCAGGCTTTAGGGGATATCACTCTGGTCTTGAATCTCTGCCAATCAGAACTATTCTTTTAGTCTGATAAGTACTCTTCAACAAACCACTATGAAAGAAACTGTGCAGATCAAATATCAATGCTGTGTTTCAGACCTAACAAAGAGTCGACGAATAGTTACTGTACTTGGGAAAGTACAGAAGTAAATAGGAAACTCTCTCTGACTTTTTGTCCTTAAACCTATTAAATCCTTCACAAATATCCATCCATCGACTAGAAATGGACCAATCTTGGTTGGGCGCATTAATCAGGCCATTAATTGGGATTTTGAAACAACCGGTTGATGCCTGGCTTATTTTTTAAAAAGATAAACAACTAATGTCTGCAGACACTGCAGGCAGCCTCACCGATGTCTAGCAATATTAATGATAACACCTTAATCCCATCTAAAACAGATACCGGACAGTGTTTTTATAGAAATTCTAACAAATAGAATAATGCAGTTCAGTTTTTTTCTAGCATATATATTAGTCATATTCTTTTAACATAGCGTGTTGTATGCCTGACTGAAATGTGCGTTGACTGACCTACTCTCAAATGTTTGGCAATGGCATCAGCTGTTGAAAGAAGTCATCAGTTCATCACTCCTTTCTTTATCCATAGATCTTTGTACTCCTTGGACTCCTCCTTCTTTTTACTTTTGCTTCAATCCATCCGAGGAAGATTGAACTCTTTTGCAAGACTGTACACGTCCTTGCCAACATGAGGAATGATTTGAACGTAAATAGATGGCACAGAAACAAGTAGAAAAGATGCTACTTTTGGACAAGAGGATTCATTTAAAGAGTTTCAAGATGAACCAGACAGAAGAGTAAAAAGCTGCTAACACACTGCGAGTTCTCAACAGCACTGTAACCAGGTTCTGCCATCATCTCCTACACATTGAATCCACTAAAGTGTAATACACGTGTCACAATGTTCGATTTCAGATGGTATTACATAGATGTAGAAGCACATGGGCATGTAAACACAAGGTGAGTGTTGAACAAACACAACTTCATGCAGCACTGTTTCACCACGCTTGCTTGGACGCTTTATATATATAAATATATAACTACCGTCTCCCCCCTGTTTACGCTTGTGTTGCTACCTCTGATGGCAGATCAGGGGCGGGGCAAATTTGCCCCACCAGACCGCCTATGAGTCACACATTTCCCCGCGGGATAAATAAAGTATTCTGATGTGGCATAAAAGGGGCTTAAATATCCTGCTTTGAATTGAATCTGATTGATTTTGATTTTAACCTGAATAGAAAGGACATTAACACAAAGAAAATACTACAGTACTTGTAACATGTCAGAAATGACTATGAGGGTACCGAGGTGAACCAGATGAGAGTAAAAGATGACTGTGTGGAGAAATGGGGTCTAGTAAAAACAATAGAGAAACAGGGAGGGGAGAACTTTCAGCTACATGATGATAAGTAAAGCAGACTTCAGGGCTGACGACCAAGAGATTTCCTCTCCAAAATTATTAAAACATCAGATCAAAGTCAATTTAATTCATTCTAATATAGCAATTCATTTGAAGTTCAACTTATTTAAGTTTAACAGCCTCCCAATTATAATGCAGACTGACTTCGCTTTGAACATACACAGCAGATTAGGAACTGTAACTCAAAGAATAAGTCTTTACTTTTACACCGTAAATACATTTTAGAGCTTATATCATTTTATTTATTAAGTAAGAAAGTTGAGTTTGTATTTTAATTTTTTTCCTTCACATTCATACTCCAGTAAAGGCTAAATCTACTTGTGCCACATTTGTGTTTAACTCATGAAACAGTGAATTCAGTGTCTGCAGTTGTCTGGAGTCTGTTGTCGGATATACGTACAAGTTGTGTCAGGTCAGCTATTTGGAAAGATTCATACACGGTGATGAAGTCACCCATGACAAAGTCTGTATCTCTATTAGTGCACACATGTTCATGCTAATGGTGGACAACTAAGCTGTTATTTTGGCCACTCAATTGTAAAAGTTATGGGGTCACTTTGAGTTAGTTAAGCTTTAGTTTTGTGACAGATTTGGGACTCTGACTTCAGGACAGAGAGTGAAAACATGTCAAGGTCTGTGCACATGTGTGCGCGTGTATGTGTGTGTGTGGGCCTGCCTGCCTGCGTGCATGCATGCGCGAAATTGTTGCTGGTGGGCCCCAGCATGACTGCTGAGGTTGGAGCAATCATATGTTCAGCTGTGATTTCCATCAACACATTCCTGGACGCTCACACACTCTCTCAGCGGAGCACCACGCAGCACCCCCCGAGGATGTGACCTGCAGCCTGCAGACACATGGCTGCCTCGCCAGTGCTTATCACAACACAGCAGCCTGCAGGATAATGGGAGGCCTTAATCTGAAGCCACGTGGAGCCCAGCAAACTTTGACTGGTGTTGCTCCTTTACACTGGTCTTATAGAAAACAGTGGATGATATACTACACCGCTCTGCAGAAGGCCAGCAGGTCTTACCATGCCAGACTGATTACAGGGGAGAGGTCAGACCAAATGGACAACAAATGGTCCCTGCTCGTCTACACTGATGGGGAGGGGTGCATAAGACTGAAAACACCACTTTGGACGAGGCAGGGATTGTTACAGAGAAGAGGACATTTGATATTCCAGACCACCAACACACACACGCACACACACACACACACTGAATCCTGTTATTCATTCTGTCACGATACTGAAACTGGCAAAACACAAACAATAAAACACGCAGAAAAAGTCTTTGTGGATTTAGGAATGAAAATTTCTCCACTGATTGATCACAGGTTTCGAACCTCCAAGAGCAGCCAGAGAGAGAAGGAAGAGAGAATTGAATGAGTCTTAAAGCTGAAACATTGATAGCAAGCAACTTAAACATTCAACTCAGCAGAACCTTCAACCATCTGTGCTGAATAATTATACAGTAAACTGGCACTCGATGGGCTGACAGCGTGCGTTTCTCTTCCGCTGGTCAAACAAAGAGACATGAGTAAAATCCACACACACAAATACACACACATACACACACACACACACACACACACACACACACACACACACACACACACACACACACACACACACACACACACACACACATACACACACACAGGGCCAATCCTTCACTGTTATTGGCAAACTGCAAGGCTGGCATGAGGCCACAGTGTACTGCGTGCTTTAAAATGCATGAGGGATTCACTTTGAGTTGAGTTTCGCTGGTTATTTTTTACCGCCCAGGGCAACTTGCACACCACGTTTCAGAGTTATAGGGGTGTCGCATTTGTCTTGCAACACAAATATTGATATGGGTCGACTAGGCTGAGTAATGACCTGCTGTTATAAGTGGTATTTATAATAAGGGTTACACTCTTTTTGCTCTTTATGGCAAATGGCAGTGATCCCTCCTTTCCTACACTCACCATATGTTAAAGTGAACTTTCACTTTTTATTTAAGGAACGTTTAAGCAGCACATAAATCATTATACCTCAGGGCTATGTGTCAGCCACTCCTTGTGTAATTGATGCTATGCAAATCAGCTCAAAGCACCTATGTTCAAACTTGCTGATATATATGATCTTATGTGTTTGATACAGGTGAAATAACAGTGGGAAGCTAGTGTTTGGAAGTTTCTACCTTTAGCCAAAAATTAAAAAAAATGCAGAAAGACCAACAACTCTAACTAAAGAGAAACACGAGCAAGTAAATCACAACAAAAATATGATTAATCAAGAGCAAATCGCATCCTCAGAAGAAACTGTGTGCTAGGAGAGCATGTGTGCTGCTGTGCTTGTGGTGGCTTGTGTTCACCATGTGGTGGAGCTGAGTGATGGTTTCCCAAAGTCTGCCTCTACCACAGCAGACGGCAGGCAGGCACAGCCATGTGCTACGTCCTCTGTCTCACTGTGATGGCTAAAATGACGCTCCCGTGTTCAAATTTCTCATCAAAAATTTGCTAGCCTCGCTGTCTGAAACCACGACAGATTACACTCCTAATGATTGCATTTTTTTTCCTCTGTTGACAATGCAGGTTCAGGCTGCGTTAGCATGCTAGCTGTGTGTCTGCTACAACACAGGTGTAAAAGGACATGCTCAGTTTAGCACCTGCATGTAGATACAGTGAGAAGGTGGCTCTTGGACAAAGCTAGCAAGCGCTAACTGCATCCAAAATGGGTGTGAAAGTCTCCTCTGCAACACAGCGGGCTCTTGTCTTCCTCGTCTTCATACTTTTCTCCCTCTCCTTCACTGTCTATCTCTCTTTTTCCTCTATCTATATCCCCGTCTCTCTCTCTCTTTCTCTCCCCCATTATGTCTTTGTCTGCTTCCTGTCATGCATTCCCCTCATTTTGCATCCCCCCCCTCCTTTATTCACGCTCTCTTCTCCTTCTTCTTCTTTTTGCTCCCTCTGTCCATCTACATCTGCACCCCTCCTCTTGCTCTCTCTCCCTAGAAGCCACACACACATACACAGATAATACTGCGGCTACATGCTGCTTTGGCAACATACTGCAGCAGGCAGGCAGGCAGGCAGGCAGGCAGGCTTACTTCACTGCAGCCCTCTAACACAACAGAATTCTTCTCCTGACCTTAGGAGAAAAAGCAGCTCTTGGTCTTGGTTAAATGAGGAATCAAGCACATTTGGATCAAACTGACGCTTTAAATGGAGCCTGTTCCCAGGATGGAGGAACCCCCCATTAGTGCTATGAACACAATGTGTCTTTTACTCTCAATGAAAGCTGATTTCAACAGCACATGATAATGATGGCACCATGTACTGTTTGCCGGCATTTCCTTTTGTTGACGTATGTAGTTTTGAGTGAATCCCTCCTCCTCCACCTTCTCATCCTGTCTCTGGACATGCCACCTCTGATTCGCCCTGTCTTGCCTTCTCCCCTGAAGCATGACGGAACTAGGCGTGCTCTCGTAACACAATGGGACTTTTTTATTGAACGGTGAACAAACACATTCGCACAAAAAACCAAAAACACACGCAGACAGACATCTGATGATCATGGTGCACGATAGGATGCACAGTGATGCCATTGTTTGAGTATCTAGGAGTGAACTGAGGAGATGTCGGTGCTGACAGACGGCCGTGCAACAGAGTAAAGAAAAAAAAATGTGAATGGTATTCCATGTAATGGACACAAATCCACACACATACAGTTCATCACACATTGTTCACCATAGGGATTAGATGATTTAACTGTGTGTTCTGTAAATGAAAACAACATCTGCCATATCATTGCTTTGTCATGTTCCATCCATTGTGGCTACCGTACTGTACTGTACACTGCTTTGTAAAATAATCCTTCCTTTGATTTTGTTGCATTACAAGCTCTGTTGTCTGCAAAGATCATCATATAGAGTTTCATGGACCTCCAGTCACATGTTCATAAGCCTTCATTCAACACAAACAGGTGCTACCACCAGGGATTCCCCGACCTTTGCAGGGTGCTGAGCATGATTCAGCCCATTTTACGTAAGTGCCATTAACATGATCGTTACTCTGTAATTACTGTTAAAGGGATTAATTTTTCATAAATGTTAGTGCCTCATGTCTGGGGTCGGGTTCTTGCGTCACTGACCCTTTAAATATTGCATGCTCATGGGTGAAAAGATATATATCACTGCATGGGAATAAAGCCAAGTGTCATAACAAGCATACAGTATAAGTCACATGATCTAGCCATAAAACTCTGCTGAGGCTTTTTAGATGTCAGGGAGTAAAAAAGAGGCAGTGTGAGGCCCCATTTAAATACAAGATGGATGACTTCTTTTCTGCGCTATTGTTTGCCGGAGATCAAACTTGCATGTTGGAACTGCTAAGAATCTCTGTGTTTTCAAGCACAATGGCCCTTTCTTTATCTGAAAAGAGCTGCGACTCTAATAATGCAGCTCAGCTTAAGTCTGCTAACGGTAAACAATGGCACTGAAAGGTGGCCTTGACGAATATAAAGAGAGGGAAAGGGGGAGAGATTATTTTGCCTCCAAGTGAATACAAGGACACTGATTGATGGCTAAACTACAGTCACTCCGATTTCCCTGATAAATTTACTTCTTATAACAACGTAGGATGACGGTTAGACCTATCGATGTCAGTGTCAGCACGTAAGCGACGGGATTTCCTCTTTGGAGTACCACAAGGCACCCTTCTGGGCCCTCAACACCAATTCTCAAAGAGAGTAAGTGGGCAAATCTAGAAATCTTGCCATCATCAGACACCTTAACAAAAATTAGTCTGCGCTGGTGATTCACCGCATCATACTTCCTCTTTGGCTTCTATTTTTTAATGGAGACATCATCCAGCAATTTTGAGATAAGCATCCGAGTGAACCCAGTGATGTCACACATATCAAACAGTTTCCTGACTCATGTGTGTGAGAAAACCTGCCATGTCTCTCCCCGATAGTCTGCAATCAGATAAAATCAAGTCTTTTCTTCGTCTGCACAGAAGCGCTTGGATTATATCTGCTTTATGAGCTCCTTATACTTTATACTGGCTCCATCCACTCAGTCAGACAACAAGCTACCCACAGCAGCCACACACTCAATACCCGCACTGCTTTAAGAACAAACACAAACTCACCACCCCAACAAATGGAAGCAGCTGCTATCAAAACTCTTTCATCTGCTACAGTACTTTGCAAAAACTCAGCAACGCTCGCACACCACTACCGAACAGGCCTCTTAGATGCTATCACACTCTGAAGACGCTTTTTTTTTCCCCCCACAACTTTTATATTCTGTCAAGCTATGCCGTACATTTTACGCTCTAAAGTGGCGGTCAAAGGAAATGCAGAGTTTCGTTTTATGGGATTTCACATCGCTAACAAAACAAAGTGAATGGGCGCAGAGAGATTACACCATCCATTTAAATTCCTTTCTACAATGTACTGGGCCATTGATTCATAGGCTATATCCACATGTGTGGACAGTTGTTCTTCATGCATGTTACCATAGTTACATGCATGTTTGAGACAACTCCTTTCTGATCTCCCTTTTGGCAAAAGACCATCCCCCCCAATGTGCATTTATGAGCGACTTCACTGGTTGCTCAAGGGTCAGTACTTACAGCTTTGGACGTTTACAGTGCCGGTGGAGTTGTCTCTTCCCAGCCGGTTCTCCACTACACATGTATAATTCCCAGAATCCTCCAGTTTTGCTCTGTTGATCTGGACTCTGGAGTTTTTCCTGTGGGAGACAACACTTGCACAGCTGAGTCAGGGGAATGAGGGCAGGGAGGAAATAGCATGGAAACGCAACAAGTGGAAACATGGGGGACAGAGGCAGACAACGGGGCGAGCAGCACCAAGCAGCCTGGCAACAAGCTCAGCGCTTTCATACGGACACAAAATCATTCTTGCCCTGGGCCAAATTTCAGGGGGAAAACTGCTAACTAAAATGAAAGCACAGGATCAATAGTAACAGCTACTAAACATGCTGTTGCATTATGGTCTTAATCTTAAAGCCCCACCTTGTGCCAATATCCTTACATCAGTAGGTTTTACTATTACAATGTCTACTTTTCTCCTCAAATTACCCAACAACCAACATTGATTAAATCCTCTCTTAGGTCAGTTGCTTTAATTCTGTCATATTAGCCAATGTAACTAATAGAGTTCAAACAGGTTCACTTATTACTTTTAGAACATAAATATCATTAATATCCACTATTATACTGCATGTGTGGGGTCTTTTTTCACAGCGTAAAGTCTAATGAACAAGAACAACTAAGCAGATAGATTGAAGTTTAAATGGAAAGATAAAGTACAAGTTTGAAGAATGGAGTTAAACTATGTATTCTGTTTTTAATACACTTAAGTTAAGAGCAACAGTGGCGTAAACTGAGCTATAACTCAAAACCAGAAGCATTGATGTCCGGTTAAACTAGCTAAGAAGAGCCAAAACTTCAGTGTATGAGATTTACTGCCTCTAAATGTAACTGTAAGCATTAGGGCAGAGGATGAATGTATTTTACCTAACAGAAGTCCAAACAATAAATTTCAGAATAGGAATAAATCATAATCTGAGAAATAAAATGAGTGATTTTATTTGACGTCAGATTTTTGATAGTGATTTTTCTAAACTGCACTTTCCTGAAAAGCCGCAGCAGCACAGTCTGCTGATTATCACCACCTTGGATTGACTTTAGAGTGCCTCACTCTCTTTTCATCTTACACTTCTCATGCTTCAGGTTTACAGGACGTGGGTGACTTATACTCACTGGCTGTTTCTTATTTTGACTTTTTTGCTTTTCTTCAGCTCGTTGCCATCTTTGAACCACGTGTAGGTGGGGTTCCCTGTGGCCTCGCACTTCACTATGAGCTTGCTCCCTTCGTCCACTATTATTGGATTCTTCATCGGTTTTAACTTTGGAGCCGCAACTGAAAAGAGAAGGAGAAGAAGAAAAACTCGGTGTTATTAACCCCTTCAGACAGGAAATGTAATTGTCACCTGGTTTGCACAGTTTGTTTGTGAGTGTGTGAGGTTGTATTGGGACAAAGCGAGACAAAGAAAGCTGGAGAGAAAGCAGAGGAGTCAATCATCATCATCATCTCTACAGACTACACTAACAGCTCTCTCATGTGACCACCAGATGTTGTCACCAGAGACATTATTAACTCCGGGTTTGACTACTAAACAGGCTGAAAACCACTCTGGTTCTGCAGCTATAAAAACACCTGAAGCGATATTCAGCAAACATCCCACAACTCATGAGGAGAATCTGTAACCACAACCTTGCAATTAAAGGCAGCCGGTAAACAAAAACACCACAAATATTTTGAGATGAAAAATTACTCGTTTTAAACATCGTAGTTTAATCTGCTGCAGTACTTTTCAGAAGTGCAAACCTGTCATCACCTTTTACATCCTCAGTATTTTTCTTTTCTTTGTAAGACTGAGGGACAAAGTGTAATTGTGTTTGTTTATTCTACTGTTATATAAAACATTTTGTCCCTCTTCCCCCCAAAAAACTTATTACAATATGAAAAATGATCGTTGTTGAACTGCACATACTCGCGCACACACAGCACACACTCACAAACACACTTGCCAGCTGACAGCTGCACACATGTTTAGGAGAAGACTCATCCAGGCCAGAGGGAAAGAGAGAGAGGGGTGAATGAGGGTTAACCAGGGGCTGTCCAAGATGCCCCCCTCACTCTCTTTCACTCTCTCTCTCTCTCTTTCTCCCTATGAGTAACATTCACAATTTCACGCAAACTCTAAACTGAGCAGTGGTACAAATTACAGCTGTTTGGGACGCATCACCTCGAAAGGATGACGGCAGGATAAAGACAAACAAAGCATGACAAGCACAGTGAAGTGCACATAATGACTTCAATTAAACGTTAAAATGGAGGTGCACCAAATTTATCCCCCTGTCGACCTCTTTTTGGAGAGACTGTCCTACTTCACTGACCTGCTAAAGACAACATGTCTGCACAAGGAGAAAAAAAAAAAAACCTTAGTGATGCAGCACTTTTTATTGTCTTTGTTGGTTTACGGGCAAGAGTTTGATGGATTTGGGGAAACATTTAAAGAGTCTTCATTTGAAGAGCGCCAGACTCTCTCAATTTGCAGATGATGATGCGATGTGCATTTACAATATCAAACAATGTTAAAAAACACTTGAGTAAGCTGTAATTAAATAGCTACCATGATGATACGATCATTGTTGAGACAAAGCATAGCTAATCTCCTGGGGATGCTGGTAAGGCTTCATGGTTCAAGCACACACCCAGTGAACTGATGCTAGAGTCCTCATTACAGGGTTCACTGGTTCAGCCCCTGGCCCTGACCTTTTGCTGCATGTCTTCCCTTACATAGAAAACATAGAGTACCTTTCTATATGTTATACCAACTCTGGTCACTGGCTGCTAATTCTCCTGATCGGAGTCAGAGGTTTAAGGGCACAGCTCAAGCTGTTGATCTCTTTGTATAAGATGTCAAAAAGCATCTCAGGTGCTGTTAATGACAATCATAGAGATATTTTCTTCCATCACTCATTCAATAAAAATATTTAGTTATCATCTTCCCCTTTAAATCTCTCACTAACCACTCACCATAAATCTTTATGGGTAAAATGTAAACTAAGACCTTTTGTTGGAGTTGATTAAATCCCTTAATTTAAAGAAACAGTCTGTCCTTTTTTTGTAGTGAATCTGATTTTGAAAGCTATACAGATGTATTAGTATCAAATGAAGTCTGTTTCAAACTACTCACAGTATGTTACACTGTCATTATTCATGTCTTAAAATGTATGACTTGAGCAGCATAAATTTGTCCAACTTCAGGGTCACCAATGAGACTTTCAAGCACAAAGACACTTCACATTGCAAGCAGGAAGGATTATTCCGTGGCACTGTATCTGACAGCTATTAAAAGAGAGTTGTCAGTCTGACTTTGAGCTGGAATCACAAACAGTAAAATGTCAAATTTAAAATAGCTGACAAACAGCACAGATCAATGGAGAAGCGCAACTATTCTTGGTTCAAAAAGCAGCTGTTTGTTTCTAAAATTATTCCGTTGCTGGAAAGACAGTGGGCTTTTATCTGCGAGCGGCTTCCTGTTGGAAAAAGTGAGTGATGATATTCATGGCATTGGAAAGTAAAGACAAAGATCCAAACACGAGGCAGATGTGCCTTTGTGTGCCGTGATGCTCAGTAACCCTAATGAGCTTTTTCTCACGAAGGTCTTTTTTTTTTTTTGTGCTGCAATCGCTCAGGCAGTTAGTTCAAGATTTTACTGCCCCAAAATGGTTCAGGACAATAACAGCTTCATTTATGCAGCAAGATTTTTTTTCTCTCTCGCTCTGAAAGTCATAACATTATATAAGCATATAAGCTGAACATGTACAGTTTATCGGCATTGAAAATCTTCTCTGCAAATAGTGTGAGTCTATCGATAGCCTCGGGCAAGGCCACACACGGAACACGCGAGCGAGACGTGATACTCCAGATGTTCTTCATTAAACTTTTTTCTGTTATTCAGCAAATGTAATGGACTATATAGGACTTGATGTTAAATAAAGATTAGACTGCACAATCCCTCATGGTTGACTGATCTGCCTAATTTTCAAATTACACTGGCTAATGGGAAATTAACAACAGTGTATGTCTTGTGCTGTTTTTTTTTAACTTCATGGCACTTTGATTGATAGAATAACATGCCACATGTTTGATGAGTTTCTCCGTCAGATATTTCCACAAACTGATCTGAATTTCCAAATCTGAACTGGCAAGAAACGGACAAAATGTTTGTATACTGCTGTATCTAATGACTTACATGACTAACAAGAGCCTTACTTCTGCATATGTGCATGATTTTCAAACAAACTCTGTACTGCAACATCAGTCCTGTACACAGCCTGAGGAAAAGCCTGTCAGTCACAATCAGAGAACTGCAGAAATGGGGTTGCAACATATAGAAAAACGCTTCGTACTTCGTCTGGACACAGGTCCGTCCTTGCCAAGCAAATTAAACAAACTTTGCCCTTGCCTGGAAAAGTTGCAGAAAACACACAACTGCACTTCTCATCAGCTCAAGGATCCAGATGTACGAGGGGATCTGCTCTGTGGAAAGGATGCAGTTCTAATGAAGACATAGTCCATCAGACACTCAAGCAACCAGATACAGATGTTAAACATTATGATGCACGGGGATTAGTCCTCCAGGTCTGTATTTAGTAATGAGAGTTCAACTCATTAACTGCATGATACAAAACAAATGCATATCATACATGTTTCTGTTGTCCATGAAAAGTCCTAAAAGAACAAACTTTGGCAAATCCTTTTATTACCTATTGTAATCAGTGTTTTCAAACATGAACGTTAAGACTCAAATAACAAATGGTTATCTCATTTTCCGTTCCAGCGGTGGAAAGTGCCCAGCAGCAAAGATAAACCCTCACCCCAACAACAGCCTGATTCTCTGTGTTTGAAGCCGAGGGGCAGCTGCAGACATGGACTATAAAAACCAAATTTGAGAATAGAAGCCTAACTGGCGTGTCAACAGCTCATGCCTTGGGTAACAGTTGGAAACCTTGGTCCGGAGAGAGGTTCAAAAACAAAGTCCTGATGAATTAACAATGCTTTGGCTCCTATTATTGAGTTAACATTTTCTGTTTTACTTCCAGGAGCTTAGAAAAGGAATCTGAGGCATGCCTTTGTGTTTCCCCTTCTAGACAAAGTATCCCTGATTACTCTGGTGTTATGTCACTTCGCTGCACGTTGTCAAAAGACAAATTACATGGTGAGACAGCCAGAGAAATGGGTTCTGCATGTGGGAATGGTCTGCACACTAGTCACTGTAACGGAACATCTGTTCAAAGAGATCATTTCAACAACCTCCCACCACAACCAAAACACTTTCACCCAACAATTATCTGCTACATTGTTTATATATGAGGCCAAATGCTTCATTTACCTCCACCAAACTGAGGCCTCTGATAGTATTTCAAACTGATACACATGGTTTCACATGAAATTAAGAATTCAAGCACTCCAACCACCTTTTTTTTTAATCTGGTCGACATTTACTTAGCACCCAGTAAGATGATCCACAAGTGGGACAAGATTTAAATGTCATGCAAATGTAGTGGTCAAATTGCACACATGAAGACCTCATAGCAGACACAAAGCCTTCTTTTGGGACTTGCACAAGACAAAGACTAAACTTTCTGTTTTGGCAGAGAAAGTTCGACAAACATTGAGGTAAACGTTGATTCCTAATAGCTTGAGTCCCCAAAGACAAATGGCTGTCAACAACATCAGCCACATCCTCAAACTCAATGGAAAAAGCCAAAAAACATCTGGACCAAAAGAGACCAGACCAACTGTCTTTGTTTGCACACAGTGGAGTTAGCCTTAATGGCAAGCATCATGCCCTGAAATGACTTGATCTGCTGTTCGTACATGGACTCAGTACAGTTAGAGATACATGTGTGGATCAAGTGGGGGATTTAACTTGACTGCTAACTATGTCCAAGTTTACAAGTACTGGGCATGAATCCAATTGTTGGCAGAAATGCGTCTACCTCTGCTACGGTAAGTGGCTGCATGCTACCACAGTGCATCGTCTCTAGGTTAATGTTGAAACAGTTGGAAAAACGGACAGGCTAAACGGATGTAAGTCGAACAATAAAAACACTAACTTTTACAGGAAAGTTTCTACCTTTTTACGTCTTTTTATCTTCTGTCGAGGTTCTGTTTGCTACCTAGCTTCCTAGCAAAGCATCCATGTTATTCAACTTCAAGCTCAACGTCTGGCGTTTGAAGACTGGAGCAAGCAGAATATGCTTGGGCCAGTTTCAGTCTGACTGAGCCGCCATTGTGGGAAAGAAAATTGATCCCCATCTGCGTTATCTAGGTATTTTAGTCTGACTATGTGAAGTTCAATTTGATAACCAACCACTAACTGACCCCTTCAAAGCTAAAAAAAAAAAAAAAAAAACAGTCCACACTGTCCTACAAGATACCACTTTGTCATTTGTGCACATTTACATACAAGTAGTCAAACACTCTAGCATTATGGAAAGGAGGGACTAGCTGCAAGCGGCTGCAGGACACAACATATCACATAAAATCCAATGCTGCAAACTTGATTAAAAAAAAATGTTGACATGAGCTGACTGTAACGTGAAATTATCCAACTAATGAGCTATAAATGATGAACAGAAGCATCTTGAATGGATAACTGGGCTTCTTACTTGTCTGACACACAGCACATGATCAACTACAAAAAGTGTACAAAAGTGTAGATAGTATTTCAGTTATATAGCTGGTAGGTAAAACCAATGCATAACAAGTATCTGTGATTTGAGATGAACATCTTCGCTCACAGACAGCTCTACAACCAACATATGGTATTTTTGGACTAAAACCTCTAAAATTGAGTCCAATTGGCTTAAGAGTTTTCTCTTCATGCTATGAAGTATCATTTCCAAATAGTATCATACAAACACTTCCACACCGTCCTCCGCTTCTTTTATAGACACAAGCACATTTTAATATCTGCATGAAACTTATTAGTCTTTTGGCTTCCTCCCACATACCCTTACATGGCAGTGTTACATGCCCAGCTCTCTTTGACACAGAAGAGAACCATAAAAACAGGTAAAGGTCTGGGCTAAAACGACCAAAAAAGCTTGACTCTCACTCAGGACACCCAGGCTGGAACTAAAGTCAGTGGTTAGCCTTTGAAAATGTGACGATTTCTCCAGATTAACTGTACTTTTTATGTGTATTATCTAACCTCACACTGTTTAGTGTTATGTTAGTGTGGATTCTGAAGCAGAAAATTAGCCAAACGTTTCACATATGGTGGAAAATCATCTATTGAGTCAATCATCTATTGAACAGACTGTTTCCTTTTTCTTTTTCAATAATAATTGTAGTGCAGTTAGCCTGACTAGTTAGTTATACATTATTATGTCACAAAATGGGGTGTCTTTGAATTCTTTTATGCAAATATAAATTCAAACTACTTCCCTCAATGTCCTAGTTTCACAGCTAACAACTGACTTTTGTGTGATGAAAGTTTTTCATGAATGTCCAACTGTGCCACAAAAGCTGCATGCAAATTCTGCATGAGAATGAGTTTTTCCTTGTAATTCTCCTCTCAGCTGCAGCTACACGATGAACACATGACAATTTAATCCTAAAAGTTACACAAGTTAAACAGCTAGTTGCTGCTAAGCTCTCTGTAATTTTTAATTAAGGATCAATAAAATGACTTCCATTAATGAGAGAGAGCACTGGACGGAGTTACTTCCACTGAGCACTGCAGTAGACTGTACAGCTCGATGTAGTCCGCAGCAGTCTGTTTTTCATAATGGTTGGATCTCTCTGACCTCCTCTAAATCTCCTATATAACACTTCAGGTGGACATAAAGAAAATGTTCAATATAGACTAGAGAAAAAATGAACTCTGCAAGCCAAGGAAACATTGGATCCTGTATTGCACAGGACTGGACTCAGATGTATATGTTATTTTATCTACTAAAAGTATAATACTCAAACAGCTAAACCTATATCAGCCCTCCAGCTAACCAAGGCTATGATATTTGTGAGTATAAATCACTGTTAGAGATGGCTGTTCACATGGTTCAACAGGCATTTGTGAGATAGCTAGAAAGTGACAAATCAAGAGCTGTGAAGAGATTGTTATTTCTTTTGTCTCTCTGGTAAAAACGAAACAAAAAAACTCTGTTTCTTAAGTGCGTCACAGGTATTTACAACATTCAAGGGAAGAGTTTTGGTTAACCAGAAGTCTCAAGTTACATCACTTCAATTCGTCATCATTTGTCTAGTGACATTTGCTTTGAGAAAACACATCTGTTTGCTAACCTTCTGCGGTTTAGAGTAGCCTAGTTTAGAGACTATCACTGACAGTAACATATGGTTTTCTCTGTGCATGAACTATGGCTGCTGTGGCTCTGGAAGCTAAAGTCAAGTGCACTTTCTGCTTTGTTATCCTCTCCTCACATGTTTGAACCAAATGACTAAAAGATAATTTTGTAAGAGTAATTATATAAAGCAAGATCACACCTGAATGGAAAGCTGAGGTTGTCTGAGGCTCCACCGCCACCCCTCCTCCTCCTACGATTAATAGTCTCTATTTTGCTGCTGAGTAACTTAAGCAGCTCTGTTTCAATTATACAGGTGGGGTAGGTGTTGGTACATGATAAAAAAGCATCTGGCACAAAATGTAGGAGTTAGAGATTCACTTCCGAAGCTTAAGATTACCACACTTTCTGCGCACGCAAAGCCAGACACACTGAGAAGAACTTGTTGTGTTTTGACTTGACACATGACGAGATGGGTGGTTGAAGTTTATGAATGATAATGTCATCACCATGCGGGAAAAACATATTTATTTAGGTCAACCTGACTGCACAGGAAATTCTAACTCTTGCTTGAACCCAGAGACACTCACTTTGCATAGTAGTGACAACAGATCTCATGAAATGCCCACAGCACTTTGCGCTCGTAGTGTTACTCTTAAGAAAGAAAACAAAGTTTCATGGTTTGAAACTTTCTCCTCTAGTATCTTTGCTTTCCAGTGAAGACCAGCATTTTGGCAAGGACGCTATAGATAGTGCATGCTTTGCATATCCTTGTTGGCTCTGCAGAATTTTTGTCCTTTCCAGCCTCTGATTTGACTTGTCAAAAAGCCATGCAACAATCTAACAAAGTATCAACTTTCAGCTGCAATACATGGGGACTTAAGTAGAGGAAATAATCTTTGCAATAGGATTCCATAAATCAACACTTTCTGGCCAAATTTATGAGATGTCATAGCCAGTGAGAGCACAACTGCAGCTGAGAAATACCCGCTGTGGGGTAATCACCTCAAATAAAAGTTGAAGAGTAAGTTCCCAGAGAAAAAAAAGGTACACCAGACAGTACTGTCTTGTTCCTATGAAGGGGCTGATGTTTGACTGACAGTCTAACAACCTCAACTCAACGCTCATGGGCTAGATTACATACAATTATAGTTTGTCACACCTCATCCACACAAGCACCTGTTCACACACATGCATACGTGCACACACATATCCACATTGCAGTAGACTCTTCCGTTGAAGACATGATATAATAAATGAGAGGAGAAACGCTCAAAACAACTCAATGACAGATATGCTCGTAGACTAAGAACATGATGTATGAGCTCCTGCCCAGCCAAAACCACAGAAATGTTTTCCTCAAAGCGTGACCTAAAAGTGGAAGATTTGGAAGAAAACACAACAGACTAAGTCAGCTCTTTACATAATTTGTTGGACTAACACGATTCAGTGCTACGGCTAGTATCACCACAAACATGCTACACTGAATCAAGTTCACGGCGAACACTGCATCATTGGAGCAGAATCTCTGAATGCAACACTTAAACCCTAAATCTGAAAGACTGTCTTAATTCAAATACATATAAACAACCCAAGACAAATCCTCTCCAACAGATCACAGTTATTGATAAGTTAAGCCGCCTGGCATAGCAACACAAGCTAATTTATTAAGGGCAGTGCTTGAGTGAGCTAAGATGTAAATAGCAGTAGTTTTTACTTAAGAGCCACAACAAGCACACATCCTACACTCTGAGTGAGTTTTTCTCTCCTCTTGGATAAAGTTTTGAACTTCAAAATGCTAACTTAAAGCTACAATGAGGAGTTTTTTTTAACTTTTAATAAACAGCCTGAAATTTATTTTGACGTCATGATATACAAGAACAAACAAGACCATCAGTGACAAGATTGATGGTTTTATGTTGTAATCTTGAATGCCTGAAACTTGTGTGGGAGGGTAATTGCCAGTCATGAAACAGCCCTGTATTTCATGTGAAAAACTTGAAGCTCTGTTTGAATTTTTCACATATTCTCAAAATATATGTTACATTTGACAGTCGAAAGTCAGCATGATGAGATTATATGTCCGAATTAAGCATATAACGGACAAACTAAGCAAAGACTGCTTTGGCCACAGGGGGCGCCAAAAGTGACACAAACCAAAAGTTCCTTACAGGAGCTTTAAAGCTCAACAGCTAATCGTCTGCAAGCAGTTTGATCAACAAGCAGGAAAAATGTAATAATAATACATTTTTCAGCTGATATACACAATCCACTTGTGAATAAAATTAGCTAATTTCTAGTTAAGAAGGCACTAAACATTTACAGCATTTTGCCAAATTATATAGTTTAGCTAGTACACCATTGAAGCATGTTGGGTTGTATGTATTTCTTCACATTTATCGAAAACAAATTTTACTTCTTGTTGTTCTGACCTGTGACCTGATTTGCTTCTTCTTGCCATTTGATTCTCACTTCTTTCGAATGTAACACGTCATCATCATCGAGTTACTGTCAACTGCTGGTAATTACAACCTGACAACACAGTTTTTAAGGGCTGGATCCGCCAGTTAATGAGGAAAAGGTTACACATTTGATCCAGTGAATCTGACCTACTAGCAGAGACATAACCCCCGAGTATGTCCTCATTTTCATCTATACTTTGAGAGTGCCATCATATAATGAGTTAGCACATATTTTCACACATTTTCCAAGTTGTGAGAAAAAAAATCTTGGCAGATCTCAGTTTAAAAGGTAAATTTATGATTAAAGGCCAGAGGTCGATATGCTGAGAATAGATTAAAAATGAGAGCTAACATGTCTCAGGTATCAACGAGCGTATCAAATTCATCTTAAAACAGCTGACGTCATTTTGTGTTAGCAGTGGAAATTTAGCAGAAAAGGTGGCTTTTCAAACAACTCTTTATCCAGTGTACAATGGTGTCCACCTCCCTATCATACATGTTAACAGGTCAGTCAAACTAGGAATGAGGACGCATTATTACATTTTTATTCAATTTAAGTAATAAAACCTTAACATAACCACCTTTGCAAAAAGGAAACCCCTTGGTTACACTTTTGGTTACATTTAAAGCCAGCACAGACCTCAAAAAAACCTCCTGCATAAAGAAATCTCTAAAAGTGCTAAGGCCACTCTGAGGGGTTATCTGTTGGAGGCTGACAGCGGTGACATCAGCAGGTACAAAATGGCTACCAGCATCAGCAGATGCTTTCTAAGATACAGTATCTAACCAAACCTAGAATGACACAGAGTAGCAAAGGCAATAATCATGGTGTTGTCCTGAAACGGGGGCTGGGTTTCCCCATGACCTGAGGTCAAACTACAGTGACATGCTGCAACTTGTACAATCCACCACTGAGCAAGCACATTGCTGCGTCTGTGACTCTGAAATACAGGCAGCTCTCATTACTATTATGATTTCAAAGAGCTCTGAGGGGGGAAAAATCAGACAGATTTTATGTTCCATGACTCACCACAGACTCAGAAAAAAAAAGATAAAAGCTGTGTTATTAACCCCGTTGAAAGAGATGCTCAGCGAAACACCGACACGACCACAGCAACATGACTTTTGAGAATGAAGTGTTAAAAAACAGGAGACAGTTGTTTAAAATCAGCTTTAAGTAGCATAACATTTTGAAGCCATGACCATGCTGTCAATTTATACAAACTTTAAAAGTCATTCCAGTCATTGGTTTAAAGGGAGATCTTCGAATACTGTACTTTGTTTCTTTGAGGTCAAGAGTTTGTTTGGCTAATTCCTAAGTTTTGCTGGATTTGGGACACTAGTCTTATCATCTAACTTTGCTACAACTCTGAAGTGCTGCCAAACCAGATGTGCCTCTACACGCTGTCCACGCAGGGAGACCAATCCATGTGACAAGCCAGCAGCAAGCTTTGACAAGCCAAGGGGATACTTAGTTTACCCCACACTTCCATGATACAGTAACAAAAACTTAGTTGTTCTACTGAAGTCTTTCCTTTTTCTAAACTCACACAGAGTTATGAAAGTATCAACACAACATGTAACACAGAAAACACCTTTGATTTCCTTTTACCTTTGGTGGGATCGCTCTCTTTCTCCTTTTGTGCTTTCCTACCCCCCTTCTTTCTCCCTCTCCTATCTTTCTTCTTGGTTTCCGTCATATTGTCAGAAAAAAGTAATCCTCCCGGAAGAACACACACGAGAAAAAAAAAAACACAGGTAGTCCTTGTGGGAACGTGTGGCAAGTGGGCACCACCAGACTCTGAGCCTGTTAGAGCGTCTCTCCTCCTATATAGACTCACACCAATCAAGTACAGCAAGGAACCACCTACTCACAGCAGGGCAGAGAGAAGGAAAGAGAGGGAGAGGGAGAGGGAGAGGGAGAGGGAGGGAGGGAGGGAGCAGGGTGAAAAATAGGGAGAGAAAGGTAGAGAGAGGCACTGCTCACAGAGTTAAGAGGGGAAAAGTGAGAGAATACAGAAAGGAGGGAGGGAAGAAAGAGGGAGGGAGAGAGGGAGGGTGTAGGGAAGGCATTTCCCATTGCTTTAAGCTAATCAACTGTTCCCTTACTGGATCTATCAGATAAGCACCGACTCTTCCAGGCCCTGCAGTCACAACTGAGGGAGGAGAGAACCCGAATCCACCCAAAAAACTTAAGTTGGCCCGTTCGTGCTCCATGCTGTCACTTTAAAGCCAAAACTCAGTTTATACTACCTCGGGAGCATCTTCTCCTTTGTAATGACCCGTGCAAAAGTGGAAAGAGACCACTTAAGTCATCCCCTCTGCATTGCTGACCCCACCCAAATAATTCAGAGACCTGCCCTTGCCAGGTTGGGTCCCCAAATGCTCCGCATCTGGTTCAGATTTTTGTGAGCGCAGATTTTCTGGGGATGTATGTGCAAGAGAGCGACGTGTGAGGTGCAGAATGTCAGATCACAATCTGTGACAGGCTGCTTCTAGAAGAATTACACGAAATCATTGCTCGCTGACTTCCTTAGCTGCTCCCCTTCCTCACCTCTCCCGTCTGTCAGTCAGCTCGGCCCTGCGGACGAGTTTCAGCACGTCCTCAGTTGTACCTCTGTCTTTTTTTTTTCAACTGTTGTTGGTTAGCCAGGTGTCATCAATGTCCACGTAGCAATAAGGATTTACAACCATTATCTCTTAAAACCACTGCTTTGTGCACATGATACCCAACCCTATATCCTTGTGCAAATAAGGTAAACCTCGTACATTGATCTAAAAGTTGAGTATGCATCATACATTTGCATTATGACTTAGTTACAAAAGAATTGGAAAATAGGGCAAAGGGAGACACTCAGTTAGGGCAGGACTGAATTTGAGGCCAGTTTAAGGCACGTAAGAGGCCCTGAAGGTCTCAGAGCAAAAAATCTCACTACAGGATTTTCTTTAAAGTCTTAAAACACTCCCGACTTTATCGCGACAACGTGCTTTTTTCTCATGTTTGTGTGAAAGCGAACGCAACTCCAACAAAAGCAACATACCGACTAATCGGTTTATCTTCATTTGACATTTCCCAAACTGTGACTCCACGATCCCAGAATTATCTTAAGCTGCTATATCAAAGTAAGTTTTTTTTTTTTTAATTTCATGCTGCCTGAACTCCACTGTCCTGTTAAGTGGATACAAACTAAAAAAAAAAAAAGGGTTAACACAACACAACACAACACAACACAAGAGTGACTCTCAATGAAACTGTTGCGTTAAAAAAAAAAACTGTAGATGAGTCATCTATGGGGCCCTCCCGGGGTTTGTCTCAGTCCAGCCCTCAGAGGACTCTCTTGACGTTTCTTTGGGAGGAGGCAGCAGCGGCAGCAGCAGCAGCAGGGACTGGAGAGGAAAGGGGGCAGCAGAGGGGTCATGTCTTAACAGGTCAGCGCACTCAATAGCATAAGCCTCATCTGTGGGCAAGGAGGTCAAACTGAGGCCAAGGTTTGACACACCAATCAGGTCTAATGTAGTGCTTTTCCTACTCCTCTCTCCTCCCCGCGGTTGTTCTCGATGATCTAATCTGTCAGCGGAGGTAACTGAAGACTGGCAGAGGCTATGTTGTGTCAGAGAGCTGCCCCCTATCTCCCCACAACCTCAACACTCACTTCCTCCTCTTACTCGTCAACAAGACGAAACTCGTTCCCAGGCCTGTGTGTCCGTGGGTGGGCGTGCGGTTTATGTACGTGTCAGAAAAGTGAAGATTTGTGACGTCAGGACAAAAGAGAAGTGACTTTCGGGATAATGTGGAGCAGATAAAGTGCAGGATTTAGTTGTCTGAGGGTTTCATACCATTCCTTAGTCTATCCTTAAACATCGCACAATTATCTTCCAGTATGGCCTGAATGAATGAGCTGATATCACAAACAGTAAGAGCACTGGGTGCCCGTCAGTCTTTTAGTTAGTGTGCGTCAATTCATATTTTTAGTCTAAAACTTTTTTACAAACTTGCAGAGTTGCAGCTGAACTAATGAGTGCAGTCTGCAAGCGAAAATGTTACGTACCACGAGTGTGTCCCTCTAGGCAGAGTTACATAAAACATGGCTACCAAAGAAAGAAGGAATCAGGGTGTGAGAAAATTAGGTTAGATTTTTTTTGCCCATAACTTTGTGTGATGAGCTTTAAACAAGTTTTTTATGAGCTTGGGAAAACAACGAGATTGTGAAATAAACTTAATTTTTCACACCCAGACACAAATATGGCCTTGGACATGTGCATCTAAATCTCTCTCTCTCTCTTTTTTTTTTTTTTCCAGGCCTCTCCAAAGCATCTGCTGTTTTTCAACAGCCGTGGGCTGTCCTTGGATCAGGGTCTGGAGGTGGAGGGGGCACAGTGGGCCAGTGTGGGAGGAGCATGACTTGAAGAACATGTCCAAAAAAAAAAAAAAAGAGAAAGAAAGCAAAAAAAAAAAAAAAAGGTTGTGCAAACCCCTAGAAGTTTTGACATGGATCCTTTGTGTGCCCCTGCTCATAAATGCTCCACAGGCCCCATCTCTGCCTGCCTCCTAATCCCTCCTCACTGCCCCCAGAAAAGGGGAGACAGCCCTGCTGCATGATGGAGCTGAGCAGCAGCATACCTGCACATCATCACTGTGATACCGCTCAACAGCTCTCCTGCCCTTTCACAGGCAGCAGAGTTTATCTTTTTGGACATAATGGCTTTAAACAGCCATTAGGTTATGTTGTTTACATCTGTCGGCTTTTTTGCCAACAAAGTGCATGCATTGGAGTGGGGGGCTTAAAGTAGGGTATCAAGCAGTTTGTAACACTCTCAGAGGTGAGTGGAGGGCCGTGGTGGGAAAGACACGACATGTTAGAGAAATAGGAACGAAGGAAGATTAATGAAGAGTGAGAAGAAAAAAGTAAAGCAAGAAAAAAAGACAAAAAAAAAAAAAAAACACTGTTAGGCTATGCCAGTGGTTCGGCTAAGTCCAGTCCTCGAGCCCCCCCATCCTGCATGTTTTGGATGTTTCCCTGCTCCAACACACCTGATTCAAATGATCAGCTCGTTATCAAGCTGTCATGGCTTTATAACGAGCTGATCATTTGAATCAGGTGTGTTGGAGCAGGGAAACATCCAAAACATGCAGGACAGTGGGCCTCGAGGACTGGACTTGAGAACCACTGAGCTATGCTGATACATATAATATGGTTGTACAATACAAAACACCACCATGCAGGAGTGTAATACTTATGAACACACTTGATTTGATCCACCAGATCTATGATACCACACAACGCTGTACAAAACAACATGATTAACTTTGAAAAGAACTAAAGAAAAGAGACACAAGAGAGAGTTTTGAAAAGTAAAAATGTCCTCTTCACGGCAAGACAGAGAGCAGCCCCACCTGCTGATATTCACCTTTTAACAGGGCATCTGCTCCCTCAGCTGACCGTGCACCGAGGTGTTGGAGCAACTCAGGCAGGCTGCCCGCTAACTCAAATAAAAACCTGCTTGGATCTGTTGTAGGTACAGACCAAGGAGACTGCGTAAAACACACATTTGTGAGCCTGGATATAACCTGCTTGATGCTGCCTCGCTGCTGCCCTTTTGTGTTTACTGTAAGCGTGTATGCAAGTGGCACTCTCTATGAATTACAGAGGGGGGGGAATAGGATATAATAAGACACTAAAAGACTTCACTGACACTATGAGGGCTGACGAAGCATCCTTAAAGGGAGACACGACACAGATTAGTGTCTGTGACATCTGGATGCCTGGGGACGGGGCTGTTTCTCAAGGTCAGCTGTGCCAAGGTCAACCTCGATTCCAAATCTCAGTGTTACTAATGACTCTGCTCAGCAACAGCTGAGATCAGGGTCCCGAAAGAGGCCAGAAATTACCATCGCAGCTTCTTTTACTACTCGAAAATTGAACAGATGGAATCAAATTAAGCATGGTTGTGACATATTTGGAAGAAATCAAAGGAACATGGCGAGAAAGAATCTTGGTGTTAAACAAGGAAGTGATCCTGGGTGGATTCAGCTTCTTTGACGTTTCCGCAGCACATAGCAGTCACCATGGCAACCACAGTCTTAAGGGTAGCAACTAGAGTATGTGTGTGTGAGAGAGAGAGAAAGAGAGAGAGATGTAGAAGGGCGGAGTGAGGAGGATGAGAGACAGAGAGGGAGAGAAACAAGAAAGGATGCGAGCAAGAAAAGTGGGAGGTAATGTGTGAGGGAACACAATAGGAGGAAGAACAAGCAAGTAAGAGAGAGAGCGAGAGGGAGGCAGGGATGAAAGAAAAGGTAAGAAGGGAGAGCAACTGAGTAAGACAGAGCCAAACCAAGAAACAAAACACGCACATACACATACACACACACACACACACACAGAGGAGGAGGTATCCACAGAGCAGCTGCAGCCTGGCCACTGTATCGCTCCAGAAGAGAGATGTTCATGAGTAAGCCTGTGCCAAAGCCTGCTGGGAAACACTGCAGCAGCATCTCAGAAAGGCAGAGACAACAAACAGCAGCACTGAGCATGCTCCAATCTCAAGGCCGCTGAGAGAATGAGATTTTAGCTCTTTAGCCACCCAGTTTGTTCACTTTTCTCCAGTTTCTTTCCAGCCTCCATCTGTCGCTATAATCACAGTAAAAGAACATCTTTAAGCTCTAAAAAGCAGTCGTACTTGGGATTAAATGTAGCCAGTGTCTCTGATACTTAATTGATGTAACAGAGAGAGGCGTCTCTCACACTTAACAACCGCACTGACTTATTTTGACAGATTTGGCTGAGGGTGAGAGGTACAAGAGATGAGGCATAGCAACTCATCAGCCAATAGGGCATGATACCGCAATAGCAGGCCAGCACACACACTCAAAAACACACACACACTCACACACAAGCACACAAAACCCTGTTGCCAGATGTGATCCCTGCGCTTCCAAACTCTTCCTGATCTTCTTCCTTATCTGGATGTCTGCCAAAGCTGCGCTGCAAATGACAGCCATATATTTGTGTCAGACCTACAATTAAGCCGAGGTTGATTTATTTTACGTTTGATTCTTTGGCTCTTCACGCTCCTTTTTGAAAGCAGACAGACAGACAGTCACACCCACACCAAGACACAATTGTGTGCTTTTTCCGTTTCATGACTGAAAATTGATGCCTCTTTTTGGCATCAGTCATGGTGAGGTGATAAAGTGTTCAGCAAAGTGTGTTTGTAAGAGTTTGTGAGTGTGTGTGAGGACATAGAGCTGTAGAGGATGTCAATTGCGGCTCAGCTTCTCCTAAAGTGCCAAACACAAAAATAATTTTGCTTGCTGATAAAACTGTGGATCAAAGTTGACAAGCTTCATCTCCACTGTCTTATATCTTCTTCTGCGATAACAAAGAGCCTCTCAATAGGACAATAATAATAGCTTATGCTGTGATACAGAAATAGCACAAATATTTCTAATGACAGATGCTGTCTGAGCATGACTTTGATGATCCTCTTAGACAAAAATCCGCTCTATCTTCTTAAGTCTGCCTGATTGAATCTCTCTGTATTTTTCCTCTTTTTAAACATATTTATGTCTCTGTCTGTCTATCTGTCTGTCTGTCTGTCTGTCTGTCTCTCCCTGCCTGTCTCCCTCCCTCCCACCCTTCCCGGCTTGGGGCGAGATAAAGAGGTTTGTGTGACTGTGAGCAGATTGACTTGAAGATAGAGGCTGGAAGCAGATCTCTTCCACCTCCTCATTCTGCTCCCTCTCACCCAGATGAATAGACAAACAGTCTCCCACATGCTCTCACAGTTTATCAAACACACACCCACATAGAACCAGGTCTCCATGCAAACACATATGTGCACTCTCACCAGAGAGAACAACACACACTCAATCTAAGTGTCCACGGGCCGACAAAGTATACACTGTCACACTCAATACTAACAGATCCCCTCAAACACGCACACACACGTACGCATACAAACACACAGGTGCATCCACATGTAAATACAAGGAGCACATGGGTCAGGGATTTTTTCAAAACGGACCTGTTTTTGACTCAGTGTTTCTAATACAAACCATCGCTCTGTATAAAAGCGCTCTTTATTTACCAAAAAGGACTTTTAAGACCTCACATCTGAATCACATCATAACAGTTGTGTGTTTTCTTCCATTACGCAAATGTTTTTCGGTGTAAAACCAAATGACTAAACTTTTATGGTCATTTTAGTGCTGTCATTGCACGTCACTGGGACTGTGATTAACATTTATGTTTATAACCACAAAGGATGTTCTGAGGAAACTAACAGAAATTTGAATTCTGACTAACCGAATGGGCTGAAAATAGGAGGAGAGAAATATCAGAAAAAAAAAAAAACAAGGGTTCAGAGAGTCCGCTGGTCCTAGTCAAAGTGGCGGATGTACAAAGCTAGCTCCACCAGCCTTCATCCATCCTTAAAAGGTTAATTTCCTCATGCCTTATATGGTTGTACACTACTCTGGTAAAGTGGTTTCATGCCAATTTAACCAGACACAGCCTACATGCAACTATACCTTTAATTCTAGTACAACATATCAACAAACCAGGCATTCTACTTGTGGACATCTATCATATCATCTGTGCTTGTTTACATCTGGGTTGTTAAGCATTTCAGCATTACAAGTCAATAGAAACCAGAAAACAGCAGCACAACAGCTTCCACACAACTTATAACTGCTATTTCTGGCCCACAATTATTGATAATTTAGTCATTTATTATTTAATCCAATTTATTAATCAACTTTTGATTTCATTGCAGACAAGTATAGGTGATAGCGTTGAGTCGACATCCCTAATACCACCCCACTTGAAGGGGTAGTATTGTGCTTTTCCACATTTACAACAAAATCAGCCAAGTTACAAAGTTTCAAATCACGAGGTAAAAGTATATTGTCATAATCCTAAAAGTTAAATGTAAACTGCTTAGAAAAGGACCTTCCAAGAAAACATGAGACTTACTAAAATGATTAGGTTATTACGCACTAGTTCATCTGTGCTTCTAGCAAATAAGAGAGGGGTTACGCTGGTCCACTGCTCTACTGATTAACCACAAGAGGGGCTGGGGTTAAACATGGAGCCGGCTTCCAGAGCGCCTCCAAAGAGGTGGCCAATCAGAAGAAAGTGGGCTTGTAGAGGGGGGGTCTTAAAGAGACAGCAGCCGATACGGAGTATTTTAAATGGAGGCTGAAATAATATTTTGATACAACACTGTGAGAATTCTGAGGCTTTTTTAAAATCTGAAAATCATGTAAAGATATTAAAGAGATACCAGAAAGGAAGTGTAAAGTCTGAAAAAAAATAAACAGATGATTCAGAACTTATAAACAAACTCTTCATTAAATTTTCGCTTAAAAGCAAGTCTGCATTCTAAAATAAGCATGTGAGCTCTGGGCTTTTAATTTTTGGTGTTCATTATATGGAGTGTCTTTCATTTCTTTGCTAATTTTGTCCCATAGATATACTGTATATGAGGTATGTTTTGTTAAAAAATAAAGAAAGAAAAGAAAGAAAAAAATCTCATGCTGTCATTTAAAATTGAATATCATAGAAAATTTTAGCCAAGACTTTTCTTCACCGTACTTGTCTTGTGGCAGCGTTGATAAAGAATTTTCAATCTTGACCCTGTTTGCGTCTTCAGGTCACACACAAAGGTAACAATATTGATATTAGTCTGTTTAATCACCAGCTACAAACTCCTCACAGTGGCTTTAAACTCATCGATGACTTGATACACTTCACAGCACATAAATCTATAGGTGAAATTTCCAAGCATTGCTCAAATTGGCTTCAAATTGCTGAAATGTAAATCCGCATGGGAGAAAACAGGGGAAGATTGTGCTCTTATCAGCAGCGACCCCCCTTTGAAAACATGCGTGCATCCGCTCTCTGCTTTGCATTCTTCACATCAAATCAAATTCCTCTTGCGCTCTGCACTTGTCCTTTATCTCCAGAATGTGCTTTTAGAGCAGCACAAACATGTCACAATGAGGACACTGTGAGGAGTTTTCACACAGAGTCAAACCAGCTTCTTGGTCAAATCATTTGCATTTCTTGCTTCTTTTTTTTTCCTCTCATGGCCGACGCTCGGGCTTATCAAGGGTCTCTCTTATCTCTTTTGTTTGTTTTTCACCAGTGTGGGCTTTTCCTGGAAAACAGACCACTACGCATGTGTGAGCTTAGATCATGCTTTGGCGGCATAAGCTCAGATCAAGGCAGTTTCAAATTGAGTGATGCTTGATAAGTGGGCAGGAGAGCAGCCTCACACTGTGCTCTGGCAGAACCAGACACGGCTGACAGGAAGCCCGGTCTGCAGTCGGGTCATCTCGAAGCGACAAGATGACCGCGCGGGCACACGAAACCCTCTGTAACCTTCTCTGGAAGCAAATCCATGGCCAAGTGCAACAGGGACTGACAGGCCTGGTGCAAAGAAGGAGGTCAAGACTAGCTGAAGCTGTAGCAAGTCCAAATAGGCAGGCCACTGTTGTATGAGCAGCTTAACCGTGGTGCAGCACCAAAGCTAAAATCTGGTAGTTGAGTTTAGGCCAACAGAGTATTAATTGTTGCTAAAAAGAACATGTAGAATTAATATAATGCTAAAACACCAGTTTTCTAAGACAGGGCTGTACATGAGCCTTGGCTTTGCAGAGTTTTGACAGGATAAAACTCGAGCTTTGTATTATTTTCATGCCACATTTTGTGTTGTTTTATAATGCTGGTTTGCCAACAGCGTTTTTCTGGCCCATAGCCATTCGCAGTATGATAACTGCCTGCTTGCAAGCCTAATGTCATGGAGACAGCGAGGGAATGAAAAGAAACATGCCTAGACAATGCGTAGCAAAAGTACACATCCCAACAGATGTGATGGAGGGGAAAAAAGCGGAAATGGGGCCTACAAGGCTCACACTGAGGGGACTTTCTGTAACACTGATCTGGCTGGCTTTAACAAGTACGACAGACCTCTGAGAGGAATGTTGCTTTCTCATTTAGGGGCAAAAACACCCCCGGAGTTAAGGGATATCAATATCACAAGGGAGATATATTCCTCTTTTGTCTGCATTTGCTGCAGTGAGGTGATGGTGAGTGTGCTGGTCTGTGGGCCAGCTGGGACACATCTCAGTTCACCCATACACACTCACACAGACACACACATATGCACACACACACACACACACACATACTGGAGCTTGCTTTACGCTGCTCACTATCTTTCAACAACAAGCTGAGCAGGGACCAGACGGAAAGAGGTCCTATTTGTGCAGGAAGATAAATACACTTCTGCACCCAGTCCTGTCCCCTCCAGATTAGAGCAACACAATAATGAGCAGGAGCGCTGGTGGAAGGTCAGAAGAAAGCGAGGGTAAAGGATAGAGTAACAGGCGACTACCAAAACACATACGACCCCCACATACGTACATGCCGCAGGAGGAATCACAGACTGACACACAGGCATTAGCTTCTGCTACTAGAACTTGATGAATGTGCATGAATATTTTGTTCCTGTTGGAGTCTCTAACCTAAATATGATGATACGGCTCTATTTTTTGTGATTGCTCCATGTCCGTTATGATGACTTGAATGTTTTTGTATCTCATACGATTTTTCCTCAGTCATTCACTCTTGAAAAACTCCTCCGGGATTCACAACTCGAGCGTCACACTTCTCAGGAACACAAACAGCACCAAAGAGCCGCCATATGAGTGCACTGAGAAACTGGTCATCGTTTAGTGCGATGATGCTGTGCTGAAATATGTTCAAGTATACACATCCATTCTGTAGATACTGAGGAATGCATGTGCGGAGTTGTTTACAAGTGATTCTCCTTTGAGTCAGCGGTGTCATAATCTTTTATCAGCTCCTCCTCTGAGTTACGTGCAGGATTGTAACTCTCAATCACAGCCAAGTGGATTAGGCAATGAACGAGTGTTTTCTCTGATTCTGCTCAAACTAACATGAAGCCTGAACGGCAGGAGACCCCTTTGCTATTGAAGGAGACGTGATTTTTTTCCTCTTAGTCCACTTCCAAACGCTGCTAACAAGCCATTCCATTCTGTTTAAAGTCTTTTCATGTTAAGACACACATCAATCCACACCTACAACATACCTGAGGAAACAAACCTTCTCTCGGGATATGTACTGTGTGTGTGGGGCGAACATGGCCGGACACGTCCCTTAAACACACCGGGAGGCGCCCAGCGGGAGTGCCGGCAGCCCCTCTTTTCAACACTTCGGCACGCTGCACACAAACACAGTTGCCCTTCCCATGGTCCTTTTGTTCCTGTGGTTTTGTTGAAGTTCCTGTCATGGACACTGTCAGCTTTCTCTGGACATTTATAACCTGCATATCTATACTACACCTACTCCAGTGTGTATTAGTCAGGCCTGCATGGCACTACTCATGCTTTAATAGCTGTCTCAACTGCAGACAAACTTCTGACACTCACCATCTCACATCTGACGCAGGAAAACAAGCGTATGCTTGCCGAAACTGAATTAAAGCAAATGTACTTTACAGAAATTCAGACAATTACCCGAAGAATAACACACCCAAGCACTGGCAAGCATCTACACAGACCTGGGAACAAATCTGCTTAAATTGCTTGCATTCCTTATGAAACTCTCAGAGGCAAAACTTGATGCAGACAAACTGACTTTGAAGAGACTATTTTAAGTTTATGTGTGTTTTTAAAAAGGTTGTGGGTACTACTTTAAACATATGTGTGTAAACATAGTTTTGTTACCTAAGTGGCATGCACTCATTCCAGTCAGTTTCCTGTGTCGACACAACAACCTTTATTACCATAACATGACCTACAAAACGGCCAAAATGACTGTTGTTTGTGCCATCAAACCGTGGCGTAACACAACAAGCTTGCATCGACAGATAAAAGTGGGAGAGGGTGAGAATCTGGCGCATGATGGGAGTGAAGCAGCAGCCTGTAAGTAAATGAATACCAGAGAGTGGGTCTGCAGTGAAAGGTTATTTCCTGCACTGTCCTTCAGTGTCAAGCTGCTTCCTGCAAATCTACCTGACACATCAGAGAGGAGACGCAACAATGAAGAAGCAATTGGAGCTGCAGATAAATAACTGATGAGCAGATCTTGAGCAGAAACGGACTTGATGAACACATTTTCCAAGCTGCATAGTAACAAACATGATTGTGAATGTCTGCAAATAAAAATGCAGACGTGCAGCAAATACTATACTACTCCATACCATCTGCATCGTACTACTTGGAAACCCAACAGCAATAGAGTAATAATTAGCAGTTCTTTTTCTGCCAGCAACTTTGGCACCCTTAGTTGGCACTTTAAAATTAATAAGATATTTTCCCTCCACCTTTCAGCTGAAATAAGTCACCTTGTTTTTCACAGGATCATAAATTCATAATTCCCATGCAAAGTGACAGCATTGATGTTGTATTTGTTTTCAGGGGTTAAAGCCAGAGTTCTGAAATCAACCCGGAGAGACAAAAAATAAAAAAAAATGCAACATTGCTCAACTCTTGACATTGGCAGGAAAACAATGCACCTATTTACAAAAATTGAAGGTCACGCAGCGCCGTAAATAAAGCAAAGCCTGTGACGCTGACATTGAAGACCTTAAGCTGTTTACACAAACCTTTGATACCCTGCGATTGAGGATCCCTCTTGTCATCTATAAACCAGTTTATGGAATATTATGGAATGTGTTTTCTATTCTGCTACGCCCACAGCTACAAAGATCTGCAAGTGAAAGAACACGGAAATTTGTGCCCGCCAGCCTCATCCTCCCTCTTTGGACTGAGCAATAGCAGGTTTCTTCTGCAACATGCCAAAACAATGTTGATCTCAGCCGTAATTTGTGTGATCTCGACACTCCTGACAAGAAGCCTGGTGTTACAGGCAATTATACTCTGTAAAAAAAAAAAAAAAAAGTATCTATCAGCTGTGAATGCAACCTCTGCATGAGTATGCAAAGTCAACAAGCTCAACAAGTGTTAGGAAAATGTTTTTGCATGACACAGTTGCCAATCTGCTTTATGGGGCTGTTAAAAAATGAGCTTAGCTTGGTTTTCTAGAGTTATGCCGTTTACATGCATTGATCCGGGGCGGGATTACACGACTAAACAGGGTTAATAATGGAGCTGTCGATAGATGTTAACAAAGCCAAGTGAACTCAAAATGAGGTTAACAGCCCTGAAACAAATTATTGGCAGCCTTTTGCTCCAAAGTATAAGTCAATCCAATGTCCACGAACAGTTTATGTAGGACAAAATTCAAGGCACAAAGTGTAATATTTCATGAGTCGGAGACATGCCAGACAGCATGCCAAAACGGACCAACATCATATTTTATTTACGGTGCTAAATGATTGATTTGTTCTTTGGCTTGTCTTGTTTTCTGTTTGCAAAATGGCAAATGCATGGTGATTACAGTTCCAGCAGCAGCGAGCTCTTTCAGTAAACCTGTAGTTTTAGGTCCAGCATGCAGCACAGCGGACAACTACATTTTATATTCGTCTGATACTAGTGTGCGTTTTTTTTTTTTTCTTTCTTGCTGTTATGTCTAGTAGAATGTTGAAACTATTTGTGACTTTAAATGGTTAATTTTGTCGACAACCTTTCATGCTGAGTACAGAAAAAAAAAAAAAAAAAAAAAAAGCTTTTTAATATTTAATCACATGCACTAGCTGCAGCCTGTGAAGGAAGAGTATTGCAGCCCAAGATAGCTGCAAATTACTGAATGATTCAAGAGGCAGGGTAAACTTAAACTGCCTTCACACAGCACAAATTGTAAAGAGACGCCTGATATAAACACATTACAGACTGAGAAATTAATAGGCCATATTCTTAAGTATGTCCCTGGGTTTTTATTTTTCTAATTTCAGTTTGGGTTGTGTGGTAGAATTTTGGGACTTGCCTAAATAATTCTCCAAAGTTGGTTTGAGCTTTTATTCCAACTGCGAATAAAGTAAAAGAATCATTCAGGCCACCGTGTTTTATTAGACTTAAATATGATCTATGGTTGCATTTAAATGCTGCTGATCTTTTTTGTGAATAAGAAACACTGCGGGCAGCTGTCCGTGTTTTCCAACCCCACAACTGCTCAGAGTTATTACTTGGCATCTTTTTGACCTCTGTCCAACACCGTACATGATTGCTTCTCCCTGAGGGACACCATTACAGTTAGTTTAGTCAGAAGAACACATCCGCTTACAGCTGACAGCAGCATTAACAACAGCAGAAAGATGGCCTCCTCTTGTGAAACAAAGTACAATCCAAATGGCAGTGACTTTCACAGTTGTTATCCTGTACATAACTCCAGGACCGAGCACTGACTGTAGGCTTTTCACTGTTTTTTGACACAGATCCAGCCGCAGGGGCAGGGAGTCGAACAACTGCTGTGACATTCCCAGCAGACTCATCCCTTTCAACTTTTCGGAGTTCCTCCTGCTTCCTGAGACTGATCCTGATCATATACTGCCTCATTGTGGTGAAGGCAACATTGTTCACTGGGTTGAAAAAGTCAGAGGCCTGATTGTTGGAGTAGCAGAAAAGAGAGTTGAACTACGAACTGGGAGGCTAAACATATTACTAGCATACTTTTTTTTCCCCGCTTCAATTCAGTTTAGTATCCCAAGAACAGTGAATTCTTTTTTTTAATCCCACATGGTGGATAATATAGAGACTTTTGGTTGTTTCTGAAGATACATCTGTGTGCTGCTAGACTCCAACGGTATAGTGCAAATGGACAAAACCAGCAAAGTATGATTGGATATAACATAAAATTGTCATGTACACCCTATAAAATAGTTGAACTGCTGTGACATCTGTGATAAAAAATAAATAAATAAAAATTTAAAAAAATTCCAAAAGGCAGAACTAAACATACAAAAAGCCATCAAGCATTGAGGCTGATCCCAACAACAAATTAACAAAAAGGTTGTGGTCATGTAAAAAAATAAAAATAATGAAAAAAATAACAAAAAATAAAAAACTTTTAAAGTGTGACAAAAATAAGTCAAGGCACTCTTTTTGAGTCCACACGTTACCCCAGGTACAGACCTGTATTATTCTTCATTTAGATCTTCCTAATAGGCTGTTACTGCTGAATTAAAAAAACAAAGGTTAAATGAGATTTCTGAGAAGTCCTTTTCATTCCCGCTTAGAGATTTAACACGAATTCTTTTGAGAATGATGAGGTCATCGCCTAAATTCAGACATGCTCAGTGGAGATCTGTGCGACCAGCAGCGCCTGAAACAACAAAAACACCAATAACGCAGTACTGGTGTAGTTATGTTTGGTAAGCACTGCTCGGTTTAAAGATGTAAAATCACATTAAATACATAAATATTTAAGTGAATGCTTTTGTGCTTTTAGGGGACCACTTTAAGAACTGAAATTCTCCGTTCACGGTGAGAATGTTCTTCATGGTGACACAAACTTTATCGCCTCCTACTGGTCCCACAAGTTAGTTTGACCAAGCAGAATTATTTTTGCCCCCTCTGACCAGGATACTTAGTCAAACCAAAGTCATGTGGACTCATTTTCGCTCAAACCGAAGGGGGAAAATATCCCCTCAGATAATATTTTAACTCTGTTCTAAATTGTTTGGCTGTTCTACAAGCAGCTTTCATCACATGTATGATTTGAAATCAGAGATTAATGGAGATTATTGGTTGGGACATTATGTATGACTTCTGACTGTAAAACTAATCTGCATTCACACCACCAGCAGCTGACTCAATCCTCCTTCTCTGTCAGATGGTTGTTATCAGACAGCTACTTACAAGCAGTACTTTAGGTGGTACACTACTATGTTAGAGGTGACGTTCTTTAAATACATCAATGTTTTGGGATCACTAAAAGAAATTGATGACTTGTGGACAAAATAAAAAAGCCTTGGTGTCATAAAAAACAGTAGATGGAGACTCTTGAGCTGCAGAATTTACAAATACGCCAATAAAATATCCATATTTAGAATCTTCTCCATGTACATCTACACATCTTTGTCTCTGTTGTGCTGAAAAAAAAAAACTGTAAAGTTAAAAAAAAAGCATGCATGATGAATCTAATAGATTTAAATATATATATATTTGTGCATTTATCCACGTAGAAATATGAGTACTGGTGGCGCCAGTGTAGCTCTGTGGCTAAATCACATGCCCCCCTGTGCAGAGACTGGACTCAAATCAGCCCCTTGGCCCTTTGCCACATGTCATCCCTCCGCTCTCTCTTCCCAGTTTCCAACTTTATCCAGTCCTTTCCTCTCGGTCCATAAAATAATCCTGAAAAACACCAATACTGAGAAAAGGGAAGATGTGTTTTAATGCTTAATTTATTCTTAATCGTTTAAGGTATGCAGATTTATCCAATTAGGTTTTAACCAACAAAAACAAACACAAAAAAATCTGCCCTTTTCTGTTTTCTTTTCTCACCAACTCTGCTCACTTGTCAAATATTGGCTGTTTTCTCCCTGCTCTTCTAATCCAACAAACGTTGTAAATACTGTACATTTTAAATGTTGCTGAAGCGGTTGGCAGCTGTGTGATTCATGTGATTAATTTGATATCAAATTAAAAGCCTAGAACTGCATGCCACTGCAGACTTGTTTCATAGTTCTTGTGCAGCTGAACTCATAAGCCCATTATTCTCCATGAGCCCAGCAGTAATTCTGTATTACAGCATGGAAATTCATAATCATTCACAGCATAGCTTTGGTGTGTGTTAAATCAAAGGCCATGCTGAACACACATTCAAAACGGTGGAAAATATCTGTCACAGCAGAGCGGGTAAAGCGCTCATGTAGAACTAAACTCATGTTTAAGAACTCACAATGGCTGGTAGTGCTTGAGCTCTGCGGTGCAGCACATTACTGCAGAAAAAAAAAACGACTACTTAGCTTCATGTCATGTCCTGAGATTTTATAAACGGGGGGGGGGGGGGCTTTTTCATCATTGGTGGATATTTCTGTGGTGATTAAAGTACATACAGTACAAGCCAAGATTATAGGATTACTGTAGTCTGTCAGAATGCAACTTTGTTTTCACTCTCTCATTTTTGTAAATCTTCTAGGAGTGTAAATCCATAAAATCTCTGTGCACAGAGCTCCCGTTCTCAGAATTACTTTGGCCTAAGATGAACTCTGGAGCAGTCATACCTGATGCCAAAGGAGAATGAAAGGAAAAAGACGGACAAGTACAAACATCTTTGAAGCACTTTTTTGGCTCCCCCTTTTTTTCTTTTACTTTTCACTTCTTATTCTGAAATTTAACAAATTGGCAGAGTTACTTTGAAACCATTGTGCATGTGATCTACCCAGTGACCTTATCAGAACCTGAAATACTCTTCAGAATTCTACTCGTGTTAGGTACCAATCAAGCTTCTTAGACCTGATCTAGCCAAAAATTCTTCAAACCTTCGTCATGGCTGCATTCCCTCTTGGTGTGAATGGATCCTGATGTTATTACACATGCCAACTTGCAGCTAATTCAAGAATCAGAGCCACTATTGTTACTTATTCCACCTGTGCTTTTTTAATTCACTAGCAAGCACACACAATTCTACTACTCTACTGACTAACATGGTGACAAATAGATGGATGGACAGACAAGATGAGGAAGACGTCCAAAGGAAATAGAGGAAAAAAAACCTGCAGAGAAATGTGCTGCAGAAAGACAAACCAATGCAGTCAAATCAAATGCATTAAAAGCATGGTACAGCTGCCTAAAAGAATAACATTAGGAGAGTCAGGCTGCTGAGTTATAAGATGCAGAGAAAAACAAAACAAGATGCAACAGGAAAAACACAGAGCATCTGGTTATCACAAACAGAGGTGCTCCACGTCTGTAGGGGGCAGTAAGTGGAGCTTTATTCAGCTGATATATATCAATGGGAGAAAATAACTTCAGTTGAAATGTTGGCCTCCAGGACAACGAAGTTATTTTTTTAGGCCAAATGGTGGGAGACATGTCTGGGCTGAAAAACACAAAGCTGTGACACCTGCAACAGTCTGATTTTACAACAGGGACTAAGTTTGCAGCATTCTGCCAATGCACATGTTTTCTTGGTTTTTGCTCTCTCTTCAGACATTGTCCGAAATGCCGCAGGTACCTGAAGACAGCAACATTTCCACGACCTAATTTATGCTGCAGTTGGGCGTGTATTGCAGGCATCTGGATATAGAATAATTTGACAAGTCCACTTAAATATCTATTCAAGCAAAAATCAGTCTTCTGCAGGGTACTCCAGCTTGCTTTTCTGAAGCTCCTCTCTAAATAAACTGCTGTGTCATCTTTTATCAGAACCACTGAGAACTAGCAAGACAGCAGTCTGGATACATGAATTAATCTTATATTAACTGCCTTAAAGGTACAGTGTGTAGAAATTGGAATATCTAGCTAAATCTATCAGTAATGCATAATAAGTACATAAAGTTCTTCCAATCAAAAGTGTTTAATTCATGTCTAATGTCCAATTATTTTGCCAACAACAATAACAACTGTCTTCCTCTTTTTCTTCTTTGTCTTCTAAACTGTATATTTTGCCACTCACTAAATACAAAAATGCATGTTACTAGTTTGTCAATGCTGCTCTGCTGAAGAAACATGGCGGTGCAGATGGTGGCCTCCATGAAAAGGGACCTGTGGCAATGTAAATAAAGTTTAATCCAAGTTAATAAAACAAATCTTTTTTTTTATTTCAGGTGATTTTGCTCTAATTGAAACAAGCCTACAAACATTATAATCCATATAATGTAATGGATATACATATAATGGATATACATATAATTTTTTTTTACCTGTTTTGTTCTGCTAAATGCCACTACATTCTGCACACTGTACAGATTTGTCATGATATCATATTTATACCACAGGTTGATCAGTGGGAGCAGGCAGTTTAAAAACAAAGTTTTTAAAGTGACCTTTTTTTTCTTTTTCTGCTAATTATCTGATTAATAGCTTTATTTTGATTGGTCAAAACCCTATCATGACGGTGATAATTGATTCTCAATAGTAACAGTTACAACAGGGATAACCAAATGTCATAAATCGAATCGTGGAAAGGAGTGCGTTTTATTTCACCTCGACCTGTTAACACTGACAAAGAGTTTATTTTTAATCAACATCTTAAATTTGCAAAAATTGTGATCACAAAAAGTTTTTTTCTGTTTCAGGCTGGTCTTGACAGTAATGACAGTATTTTACTGTAACAACAGTCATTTACTGTAACGACAGTTACTGAGCACAGATGTGAGAGATACTGAGCCCCAACCATCTCCAACTGGGTAAAGTGGAGTATGTTCCTGTCCTGCAATCCATGCAAAGGCATCCCTAAACTGCAGATTATTACAATTCAATTTAACATTTTTTGCCTCAGTCATGTTAAAAGATGCAATAACGACAAAGCTCTGACAAGAAGGAGAGCAAGATAAGGACGGGCACATCAGCAGATATTTCTGCAGAAGTCCTGTTCACCTTGACTTATATTACCTTCAATAGGAATTCAAAGCGCAAGGTATGCAAAGATAATAAACTGCTACCATGAATGCAGTACCAACAGTTCAGTCAAAGCGATGGTTTATTCTAGGTACAAAAGTACAGTAAATATTATTGAAACAAATAACTCATGTTTGAATCAGTAGTTTGTGATAAGTTGATAAGTGTTTTTTTGCTAGTGGTTGGGTAATAAGCAGGTCAGCATGTAGTGTAATGGGTGATGCAAGACAAGGGTCCTGGATTCTTAATTTCACAACCACTAATTCTATCATCCTCTACTTAGCGGCAAGCTAGCTATGGATCAACCACTAGCCAATCCAAAAATACTATATTTTGAATATTTCCACAAAAACAGGAACAAAAATAAAAAGAAGATAAAGGATGCTAGGTGGTTGACTTCTTATTAAAAAAAAATAAACTATGCATATCTCTAATACACACTCATAACTCTCTGCATCTGAGGTTATATCAGGTCCTGGTCTAACATCAAAAGTAGCTGTTGTGTCATCCAAAACCACTTCTTTAGATCTGGTAACCTGGTGAGTTGTTTGATCAACAGTCTATGTACATACATTGTTGGTGAGTATCCAAACCATACCAGCTTTGACAGCAGAAATTCGTGGATAACAACAGTGCATACTTTCCACATAAATCGTTTTTAAAGAAATAAACCATCACTAGATCAACCCTGAGCTTCTGATGGTGCGTTGGATTTAATGCTTTGAAATGTTTTCATGCCAGACAGCGCCAGCGTACCAGGTTAGTGTGTTATGACATGTGAAAGACAGCTTAAGCTCTATGCTAGACAGATCCTCTTAACAATAGTAACCATGTCTTCACCCCGATTATTGCAGGGCTGTAATATCTCCACAACATTAACAGATGCTGCACACAGCTAAGCCCACAGGGCCTGTATAAGCATCTCGACATGACTATGACATTGTAACATGCAGAGGAGTGGAAAAACTACACTCAAAGCATTCTATAAATAATCTCCAGCACTTGCATTACAATGTTAAACTCAATCAAGGCAAGTAATGTTAAGACCGTGGTCTGTAAAGGATTTATGTCTACTTAAGATTCAGCGAAGGTCTGATTCTTCTATGATGAAGCGAGCCCGTGAAGCCTGGACTGATGCAACTTGAAGGGGGTGCTGAATGTAAACCGCTTCAAAGTAAATGCTGAGGAGACGAAAGTTGAGGCAGAATAGGAATTTCAACTCCTCACTTGTGCATTAGTCATCTAACCTTAACAGTCATGCTTTACAGTGCTTTACAGGCTGAATGAATTCACTGACACTGTGGTGAAGTAGACCAAATGCTTGCCCACACAATACTACAGCCAAACAAATACAGCTGACTATTTGAACCTTTTTACAAGTTCTAGACAATGGACCAAAACATGCACAGACGAGAGCTGCTTTTTTTTAAAGTCACAGGTATAAATCCCCCTTACTCCATGTTTTAGAGGCGTTAGAGACTCCAAGAACATCCCATGCTTCATGCTTTGCAGCATCAAAGTCCAACAAACAGGTATTAACCATGACCCGAATCAGTGAACCTCAACTCTACCAGAAAAACTGGTCCGTCCCTGCAGAAATGTGACTCCCTAAGACGAAGCCTCAATACGCTCACTCTGTCATAATGATAGCTTGTACAATGATGTCTTTAGAAATGTGGAGTACAGATCTGAATGATTGTTAGAGAGTGCCTAATGGGAGAGGAAAATGAGGGTCCAATTACTGAAAGTGGCCATGCCCTTTTTCAGAGATCTTATAAATATACATCAAGCTGTCTTGTCAGAGTAGAGGGGCCGAGCAGAGATCCAGCAGGGCAGAGAGCCTCCATAAATGACCTAGCAAACAGAGAAAAACAAACACAACACTCTAACCTTAGTGGAAACAAATTTATATGTCTCCAACTCGCAGGTGCTTGTTCATTCATACAAACAATTTTGCGGGGTAAGGGCAAAACCCAGTAGGCATCAACAGCTGTCATTCATGTTCTATGTCGAGCTCTTCTGAGGAACTCTCTCACTTCACAGAAAGACGCTCTGCTCGCTGCTCAAGGCTAAATTCTGCCTGTCTACCACTTCAATGCAGCAGCTGAGACCTGCATACAGTGACAGGTTAGTGATAGAGTGTGCATTCCACGACAATACAGTTCCATTATTTCATTTGTGAGGAATAAATGAGGCTTAATGAGCATTAATTAAATGCTCTTAACGGAGGGAATGAGTTGCACGCCTGTCAATAACAAGTATGAAGGCGGTTGTAAGGACAATGTGTTACTCTCAGACTCAGATGACCTTTTTTGTGCGCAAGTGTTGCACCAATTTGTCCTGTACTTTTACTGACACAGTGCCGCCGAAAGTCTGCATACACCCCCACACACGCACATACAAAATGAAGTTATGTAGGTCTCCTCTATGAGTGTATCGATAAAGAGCTAAAGGCCTTGATTACTTCATCTGTTTTCACTTGATTTCGACTGAGCCATACAGCGAAAACACTTCAGTAATACTCACTGAAACCTAAAAAAAGCACATCTAAAATTGCAGTTTCAGTCGTGCAATGCAAGACCCCATTCTAACAGGAAACATACTTTCAATGCTCTCATTAAGTCAGATGCAATTTTCCTTTTTTGCATCGCATGTCATTTCCTCCATTTCATAGCCTGCAGATATATTTGATATTAAAGCTAAAAAAAGGAGTCAAGACAAGGTCACATTCTGTAGAAGAAAAAAAAGTCAAATATGCATACACCTGGAAAAACTTCTTAAAAGTGACAGTGTGTGATCCATGACATGGAGCAAATCAGCACTGAACTGCCAGGAAATACTTACTGCCGTGTGTTAATGAAAAGGACTTGACAAAAATCTTTCAGGATGATTTCCGAGGCCAGTTAGATAGTTTTAAATGAGAAGGGTATTATATCTTAGTGCTTTCTTTTGACTTTGGCAGAAACTCAAGGCTCCCAGCTGACTGATTCCTGAGAAAGAGTTGCAGGTAGTTAGCTCTGTAGGTAACCTGTTTATCAGGCAGTGCTTAGAAACCGGATGTCAACAACGGCATCATTTTTAGAGCTGTACATTCAGTCTCCTGGTTCACACTCTTGGGAGTGTTCTGTGCTTCTGTACAAGAGGGATTTCATGCAAGTTTGCGATGTGAGTTAAGGGGGCCACGAATTAACGTTCAACCCTTTCTCCTCAGAAAAAGCTTCTATGTCATTAAACTGCATTCCTAATTGGGTAGAAATGTCAACGCAATTGCTGCCTGAATTATGTTTACAGACGTTTTTATGGTGAATGAAATACTAGATTTATATACAGTGCTGGACACAGCAAGAAGCACAGCAGAGAAGATGGTAAGTGTGCAAAATGCTGGACTATCGGACAAGTTTTTTGAGTTTGTGCATAGCCTGATAGAGGTTGATTTGTGCTTTATTGAGGAAACTAGGCTAAGGTGAGCAAAACATTGACAATAGAGGCTGAATACTAATAAAAGATGCTAAACATGGACTCTTTTACTACTGAAAACGTATTGATACTTTTTCGATCATTATTTCTACATATTACTTTGATGCACCTTCAACTGCAAACATTTCGGATTTGATCAAGCAAACTGAGCCACAGTACGAGAGGCCCACTGAAGTGTATCTTCACAAGTTCAAGGTTCACAGTCTGATCATTGTGGCCCAGATTTTTGTTATGAGGCTTATATGAGGAAAAGAATCAGCCAACAGAGCATTTTGGCTCTTCAGTCCCTGCCAAATGATGGAGAGGGCTCAAAGGGACAAGGGTCTGTCAAGAGACTGACTGTTTGTCTGTGTGTGATGTTGAAAATCAGCTGGGGTGGGGTTGGGGAGTGGTCACAAAAGGAACAATGACAAGATTAAATACTCTGAGATAGAAGCTCCTCTGTTACAATGGCTCACATGAGCAACATCAGATATAATGATGAGTACTTTAAACAACATACAAGTAATCTTCTGAGGCCCCAATGAGAGGGCGTGGCAACTCTCTCAGGTAATACAGTGAGGCCGTTGTGCCAGTTTGATCGCGTCACTGACCGGCTTTGCTAAGTGGTGGAAAAATCAGGGGGGGATGTTTTGGCTGGTGGAGGTACTCAAGAGGTAATAAGGTCCATTTTGTGTCACCTCTCTAATGGGATGATGAGTTTAAAAGCCAGAGTGAGAGTGGCAAAATCAAGAGCAGGGGGGAGCATTTGTGTCCCATGAGTAGAAGCTAAGAGGATTTAAGGAGGCAGCAGTACAGGGCACACTTCGTGCTTTAGGCCACAACACATGAGTGGAGGCAGATATGTGTGCAGCATGTTATGGTAGTAAAAGATTTTATACCACATGTGATGTTTTCAGTCTAATCAGCTCAAAACATGCAGGGAATTAAAAAAAAAAAGGTGAGGTCATGTCAGTTTAAGGTTGTGTTGCAGGCTGATGAGTGTTGGACATGAGCTGTAGACAAAGTTCCAGTTACAGAAACTGACACTACTGTATAATTTAAACAGGAGCAACTTACCCTGCTGAAGAGTAAAGAAGACAATCAAAATGTGAAATTTGACTCGAGAAGTTGCTCTAGAGCATATCAAGTGACAGAATCAGAAATGCTGTCACTAATGTGGAAAAAGAGGTGTCTGCACATGCATGTCAGTGACTTTACTTGTGTGTAACATTGCAACAATAACCTTATAATCTTTTTGCTTATTGAAAGAATATAAATACAGTTAAGTTCTTTTAATATGATTACGAATAAAAAAAAGTATGGTTTAGTGTAGAAATCTTAATCTGAAGTCTATTCTTGAACTACTTGTGCATGTGTCTCAATAAACAAAGAAATCTTCTGAGTGCTGACACCTTCATACTTACAAAAAACTAGCCCTGTTTTCACTGCACTCACACTGTCAGCCCTGTTTCTGCACTACAGATGCATTTGTGCCTGACTAGTGATACAATAGGCTGTGCCACAATGTGAGGTATTAAAGCATTAAAGCAGAGCATGAGTCTAAGTAGAGCCTGGCAGCCAAATTGCTTAGGGCAGCGTGATTTCCCCCCACGTGACGCCGGTGATACGGGCCGCTGTCCCTGGTCCTGAAACTGTAATGGCTCTAAGAAACGCATATGCTCTGTTTTCAAGTAAGAAGCAGCTAGACATTTAGGCAAACACACCCTTGTAAATGAAGCCTGTGAAGTAACAGATGCATTAAAATGTGCCTTAAACTATAATGCGGGTTTGCAGGATGCAGATAGTTGGATACACACGAATTGCAATTCCTCATAAGCAACAGTGCGAGGCGCATGTCTGATGCAGTTGAGGGGAAAGAGAAAGGGAGAGAGAAAGAGAGTTTGATTGATCATGTGGGCTATGGGAGCCTGCGAGAGTTGTCGAAAATTGCTGCATAGACGCCCCTCAGGCATCTATCTGGTTACTCGGTGACTCCGAACATTGCTGTGGCCAGAATAACCACGAAACACCAGAGTAGCTACCTGTCACCAAAAAACGCCCCCAGCCAGCCGGGCTGCTAACACACCGTTCATTCTTCCGGGTTGCACTTCACCGGTAATCCACAATACATTCACTTACCGCAGTCCTCACACAAGATCTTCCCTACATCCTTTTTGAGGTTCTTTCCACTCGTGTCCAGAGGCGCGAAGGATGCCTTGAAAACCAAGGGCTCGTCAGTGGGGTCCATGAAAAATATGTACTTGTGGTTCTTCTTCACTTTGGTGCACGGAGCCTCGGATCCAAATTCCCCCACGGTGACGAGCTGTTCTCGCTCCAGACCCCCGCTGTTCTGGGGCCAAACATCCAGCACTTTGACATTCACACGATACGGCTCCGCGGAGACGTTCACAGGCGTAGACTGCACCTTGCCCTCGATCACCACGGCGGATTTGAAAACCTGGTCCTGCAGGGAATTCAAACTCGGGGAGTAGCAGGCGAATGAGACCCCGATGACCAGCATGGATAAATGCACTGAATCAAGCCTCATGCCGCCTGCTTTGGCTCGGTGGTCGCTGGTCGCGTTGCGGCAGGGCTCTCTCGGCTGCGGGGCGATGGCGATGGAGCTGGGTTGAATGTAGAGACAGCGAGTAGGCTCCTGTAGCACGGCAGCGCGGCAGACCTTGCATAAGTGTCCATGCCATCGGGATCCGCTGCTTTTTCGAGTGATTTCCAACGGGTAAACAGCTGGGTTTCAAATCCAGTCACTGCTTTCCGCTAATAATAAGGCATTGGAGACAGGCTAAGCAAGGAATTGGCGGATTCTCCCCCCTCCTCCAGAAGATGCCCCCTATGCTGCCATAGTGTAGCCTTAACTGCAAGACGACGCCACTCTTATCTTTGCCCAAAAATTGCAGTGGTGGGGTACCGCTATGATGCTTTCCTGTATCATCTGCAGCGGAGGGGAAAAGACGCAAAATGCTGCAGCGGAGCACAAGTTTGGTAGTCCTGCTCGCAAAAACATAAGCCACGTTTCATTCCCCAAAATAAAGCATTATTCGTGGACAGCAGCTCTAACGCTAATACGGCGCCTTCCTCCGCGGCTCTCTCTCCGCCTCCCCCACTAGCCACAGACGGAGAGGAAATAATGCCGATTGCCAAGGGGCTCCGTCAACAAAAAAAATGCAGGATTGGAGTACCGAGAAATAGGCAACCGATGTACCAAAAAGGGTTGATCTCCTCGCTCCCGAAACCCAGTTACTGTACGTCAATCACTCCATGGTGTTTCAGCAGCGGTGATCTCACGTTATAATGAAACAAACCAGATCCTGAATCCATGACTGTCCCCTCCTTAGAAACGCATCTTACTGTAGCCAAGGCATCACTCCAACAAATGAAATCTGTTCACATTAAAAAAATGCAGCCGCATAGAGTCCGGTGGGCCTAGAAAAATCATATGGCCGCGATGACTAAGGCTGCGAAAGCATCTCAGATTCTTCAACAGACTGTTTGAATGAGTTTTGCGTCTCATCCCATTAAGTCATGCCCTGCATTCAGGTCACATTCACTGCTCTGCCTCTGAAAAAAAAAAACTGATGTTGAAGCACCGCATTAAATCCATACAGATAAATCAGCTGCAACACTGGACTCCAAATATATACTCTATATCCAGCTCTTTAAAAGCAGAGAAAAAAATAGACGGAATATGCTTCTATGATTTCACAAGTTGGATTTAAACATGTTCTGTGAGACTTATTTGACCGAATAAATCACGACTAAAAAACACAATTCAGAATAACAGTTTCTTTTTATGAAAATCCTGTTTTTAACAAAAGCTATAAATGTATTATTCTGGTTGGGTTTTATTTGGTTTAGTCTAAATAGAATGCGGATATAGGATGTTGCACTAAAAGCATTCACAAAGAGCGACACCTGCTGACAAGAGTGTGTCTGTGAACACTTTGACACACATTTGCTGTACAGGCTGATGTATATCTAACAGCAGGTGCAAACTCAGAAAAAGCATTTTAGAAATAATCAGTCAGTGTGCAATAAGCATGTTCAATCAGCACCACAAAGAGTCTATAGGGAACTGCCTCAGCTTATATTAATCCAAAACAACACGTTCATTAATCCCAGAATAAAAACACTTCTAATAAAACTGTAGACTTCAGCTTAACTTTGACTTTTGTTCATTCATGCGCATGCCCAACAGACCTCAACAGACCTGAACCTCGCTGCTCTCCTTGGTCCTGAATCTATGAGGCCATGAGCTTGGTTTAAGCCCTGGGCACCCAATAACTCATCACTTTTTACAATGCCTTTTAAACAATTCTTCCGTAGCACATATGGTGCATGTGTAATTGTTATTTTAATATCTTTGTTAGAACTGCTTGAGGTGCCCCCCTACACCAGACTTTACAGCCAACATAATCAGTTCACCATTTGCGGATTGTGATGTCTAGACTTCCTAATTTCCCAGCAAGATACAACATCCTGCAGGACACTCCAGGTGGGTGGAGTGACGGTCCCCACAGAAAACCAAAGATGCCAACATCAAAGCCCCAGTCCTTGTGCTCAAGCATAAATGCTCATGTTTCCCCCTGTTTTGGGTCTTTCTTGATTCTGACCACTCGGATGCTTTTCTTTGCAGAAGTCTCTATTTCATTCCTTACCAGCAGCAACACGGGGAAAACTTCCACGACACGTGCACTGCAGTTACACTGACTCACATGCAGATTAAAAGCTGTAAAGTCAAACAAAGATTACAACATGAAGACAAAATATCCAGATTAGTTCCCACATGATTGAGAAACCTCTCACTAACCTCAGTACTCAGTCCTCCATTATAGTTGCAACATGATGTTATCCTACCTGTTACCACCAGACGAGAGGAGCTGCAATTTCTTTATACCGCCAAGGGGAGGCGCGCGTCTCCCGAGTTCCCACCGTGCGTGTTGACATCAGAAGGCAAGCGTGCAGCGTTGAACTTGTGCGTGCATGTGTCGCTCTCCGTGCCACGACTCGCCGTTTCTTGTCCATCTTGTGAAGCGAGCAGGATCAGTCCTCTGAGCTGTTTCAAAGGCCCTGACAGCGGGGGATTTTTTCATGTGCCTTTCGGTCTGTCACGTCTCCTCTTTCCCTCCTGTCGAGAGCGTGAAGCGCCGCGCGTGCAGACCGAGCGCCGTAAAGGTAGGTTGTGAGCTCTCCGCTTGGTGGAATGACGCTTTATTTACATGTCCATTCGGGGATGAGTCCTCGCTCTCCTGCAGCGTTTTTAAGTGTCGAAACGCGCTCGTCAAGCCCGTGTCATTGCCTCGCAAGAGTTTACAGGAGCATATCATAACGGTGCACGAGGCGTGAGTCGAAGATGAGATTGTAATGGAGCTGAATTTGGAGCAGCGTCACAGCGTTCCGGTGTCGGGATGTAGGGCAAAACTTTGTGAGGCGGTTGTCTTTTCCAAACTGCGACGACACCTCTCCTGGGGCCAAAAACCTGCACTGGAGGCGGCTTGAACAGCACTGTTTTTCCTCGTTCATATTCATTTTAAAAACGAATCTGATAAATGGGTTAAGTAGGCAAATCCATTGAGGATATATAATATAAACTGATCGACTGTGTTGTCTGTGCAAGCTGCTGCAAAATGACGGCACAGAGACAAGGGCTGCGTAGTCTGCGAGGTTAAGAAATAAGACAGAAATATAGCTCATACTTAAGGTGGGGTTTCACATAAAAAAGTCAGAAAAAATCCAGAGTGGGTAACTGAAATCTCAAGCAGGTAATAAAAAGGTGAAATATAATATTAGATCAATAACTAATAAGCTTTAGAGGCCCATCTTATGCAAAAATAACGCATTGAAATGCGTAAAATTGACCTCGCCTCTTTAACAACTCCTCAAAATTTCGACTAAGTTCTTGTCATATCTTATGCATACACAGTTTTGTTTTATCACAGGATAATAAACTTGCTAAAAATATTAAAAATTAGTGCTGTAAGCAAAATTCTATTACAAATTTAATATGTATTGAGGTGAGGATCAACCAATCAAAAGGCAGCATGAAAGCATATATGGGCCTACAACTTTGTAAGCATGAGGATGTTTAATAAAATATGAAATGATTTTTTTTTTCTCTTACATGTTTTTTATTCCCTTTTGGTCAGGTGGATTTTAGCTTGTTCAATAAAGAGCTTTAATTATTTACTCACCATGTTTACGTCCACGAACATGTCTGGATTTGTCCAACGGGAGTTCTGCTATCTGTGGCGCTGATCAGGAGGCCCCGGCGACCCTTTTACGCACAAACAGCAGCAGCAGCAGGAGCAGGGCTTATAAAAAAGAAGGTAAGACTTAATGACAAATATTAATTTATACTAAGATAAGGTGAAAACGCAAAATTAAAGAGAGGAAAAACTTCTATCTGGACTCAGCAGAAGAAAACTTCACCTATGACAGGAGGCCAGTGTTGGCGCAAACATATATTCAGACTTTAATACAGCCTTTGAATAGTTTTGTTGATGTATGACCATTAACTGAGAATATCACACCACTTTAATTCAATTTAACTAAATATAGGGTACTGATTTTGAAAGGGTTTGGACTTCTGGCTGTTTAGAGGTTCACTTATGCATTTTGAAATCACTCAATGTCACAGTTTTATTTGTTAGTTTTTAAAAAATAATATTAGACAGCCTACTCGTTTATTGAAATTAACTGAAATTAAAACAGTTCCTTTCATCTAGAGTTTGAAGCCTTATTTAGTCAAATGTCTTCAGATTGTTGCATAGAGCAAATCAATAAAGAACATTTTAGATTTATTTTTTCAGTAATAAAATTATGTTTAACCTAAAACGAATCTTTGGCTCTTCTTAGTGTTAAGCCTCATGAGTATTAGTTTTGCTTAAGTCTAGTGAGGCCTTCAGACAGTCTTAATGCGTTAACACTGCAGACAGACATGCTGAGAGAGAGGCTGGTCTCTTTCCTTATGTTTTTATACTTCTGTGCATTGGATCAATTTATTTTATTTTTCATGGGGAGAAAAGGATGGACCCTACATGTAACAGCATACTCAACCAGATCACCAAAGCTGTAAAATTCCAGCGAAATGTCCAGAATACATTCATGGTTAATGATAATTCAGAGGAGCAGTTAAATCACGTTGAAATAAGACTTTAATTTAAAAATGTTAAAGATATGGATACATTTTGGTGACTAATGTGGCAGTATTTTCAGAAATAGTCTACTCAGTCAGCGACGAAAAAGTATTTAGGCCCATATTTAAAATATCGCTTTATAAGGAGGGAGGAATAACGTGATTTCAACTGTAGCTTAATAAATACTGGTGAAAATATTTGAGATTAACGTAGCCATTTTATAGCTTTATTAAGATTGATGCAGCATCATCTTTAATCTTTAACCCTTGGAGATAAAACACAGTAATTTCTATATTCAAACGTCAAACATTGTAAACTTTAAACGTTAATGTTTTTTAAAATATATGCCTATTCAAGGTTGTGTGTCTTAGCTTACTTCAAGAAAATTCATTATTAAGAAATAGACTCAGCTATTTGTCCCTCCCTTACTGCATTAAAATATTAAAACGCTTCATTAAAAATATGTGATGATTTACAGGTAACATGGAACCAGCAAGTCTGCAGAAGAATTTTAATAAATAAATAAAGGCCTTTTGATGTCTCTGCTAAAAATCATTTTAGAGGTCGAGGCCTTTAAAGCGCTTGTAGTTGAAATAGGAGAAATATCAGTCTGTTTATATAGCATTGTAGCTGTACAAAGAGAGCAATATCGGGTTAATGCTGAGGTCTGAATTGTCTTGTTTTTTTATTTTTATTATTTTTTTCTTATTTATTTTTTTCACCTAGGAGGCTAATTGCATGCTTATCACCTGCAGTAGCTCAAACCATCAAACTATCCACGAGAAAGTCTGTTCACAAGGACGTTAGGATCACCATTTACACAGTATAGCCTGACATGTTATCACAATCCAACATGTAAACATACAAAATTACAGCACCGCAGTTTAGGCCCGAGCCAACACCGATTTGCACACATCAAAACAGGCTTCCTCCGTGTTCTGCCATAGGAAGAAGCGAGCACTTCTCGCAGTGTGGATCAGTTGCTATTTAATGCAATAGACAGTGTGGGGCCTGAATAATGAGGTTACCTGCGAGCAGGTAAACCACTCAACCCTTTAGCACAACATAGAGAGGAAGCTCAGACACATACCTGACTGAAGAACTGGTAGGAGACATCAGAAAGGCACATGAGGGCGAGTTATACCAAAAATAAGTCATCCTTTCTCACCGTTGGTCAAAAATGTCCATAAAAGAAGATTTCAAGTATAAGGATGATAAATAATTCTCTTTTTGGTTCCCGTCCCTCCAAAGCGCGCTCGTGGTTAGCCTGTGTAGGCCTGTCGGGATCGAGGCCTACTGAGCACACAGGTCGAGTTGGTGAAAATATTAATAGGACTTTCGATTCACTTCTCCCTCCATCATTATAGCGCAACTCAACTCACTTCAACCCGACCCCGGCCTTATTGGTTCACTCGGAAAGGAAAGGTTACATCTGTCCTCTTTAAAATAAACTTTAAAAAAAATCATGATGAGTTGCAACAGAAAAAAACGGGTATTATATTCAACCGAATATGCTTATGTTGAAAAAAAGTGCAGTAGGATAGCCTTACTTGAATTTGATACATAAGTATTCTTCTTAACCCTAAAACCAAGGTGAGACGACCTCCCTGCTCCCCTCCCGACATGCCCCGGAAATACTCCTCATCAGAATCACCCAAACCAAGCAATTTAAAAAAAAGGGGAAAAAAATTGGGGGAAAACTTCTTCCGCTACGTTCTCACTGCCTTTTTCATTTCCATGTAGAGTGTGAAATCTTGAGAGAAATAAAAGCAATAAATGTCATTTTAGTTTGTCATAAAGGGCTACTTGTCAAGTTTTAAAAGTTAGAGGGGATTTTTAGAGTAGTATGTATCCAGAGCCTAAAGGGTCACTGCACAGGTTTATTTGATAAAAACATGCGATATCTAAAAATAGTCTATTTATAAATCATATAGTGCATATAATTTCACCAGAAGCCTTACACTACAAGGACCATTGACTTTTGAAAAAGTAGAAGGTCTAATCATTTAATTTGGTGATTATGCTCACAAACTTCTGCCTTTATTGACTATAAGAAATAAAGTTAAATGCCACTATAAGACCATTTTGATCATGGGGTTTTAACTTTCACAAAAAAAAAGTAACTTTTACTCCATTTTTGATGCACACAAGACTTAAAAAAGCAGTCTTTTAGTCCTAATGAATTGTTTTCTTAATTATTATCACATTAAATAAGTGCATTGATTCTTATGTGTCAAATTACTCGATGCCACATGAGGACTATATGCATTTTTCCTCTCCTATTTTATTTTAGGGCAAGTTTGGATCTTTCGCGAAGACAGGACCGTTTCCAAAAAATAAAAATAAAAATGTATTGATGAATCGAAACTCAATCCCACCATGCGCAAACTATTTCTTGAGAAACACCTGACTTGGGTTTCGTTTTCCAAATGTTGACAGCTCACGACATTACACTATGCTTGCCTCAGAAAAAGAGACAGCGTCCCTGTCTGCATTAACGTGGTCTCCCCCCTTTTGCCTTGCTTTACCTCTCTGTTGTAGATCTCGCGAGAGCTCCGGCGTTCGCTGTAGCTGGCCGTGGCTTTGCAGCAGACAGAGGGAGAAGGCAGGCAGGCAGCATCATGGCGGACAGAGACAGTGGAAGTGAGCAGGGAGGAGCAGCCACGGGCCCAGGCTTCGGTTCCATGCACTTAGCAGCAGGAGGGGCGGGCTTGGCTTCCGGGCTCCAGCATGAGACTCAAGAGCTGGCGTCGAAGCGGGTTGACATCCAGAACAAACGCTTCTATTTGGACGTTAAGCAGAACGCGAAAGGCCGCTTCTTAAAGATAGCAGAAGTCGGGGCCGGTGGAAACAAGAGCCGCCTCACTCTCTCCATGTCCGTGGCGGTCGAGTTCCGTGACTACTTGGGGGACTTCATCGAACATTATGCCCAACTAGGTCCGAGCAACCCGGGACTGGTACAAGACGAGCCGAGGCGAGCACTCAAAAGCGAGTTCTTGGTCCGGGAGAATCGGAAATACTATATGGATCTGAAAGAGAACCAGAGAGGACGGTTTCTGAGGATTCGACAGACCGTCAACCGGGGGCCCGGTTTGGGATCTACTCAAGGCCAGACGATTGCTCTGCCTGCCCAGGGACTTATTGAGTTTCGTGACGCTTTGGCTAAACTTATTGACGATTACGGTGTAGAGGACGAACCTGCAGAGTTGCCCGAAGGGTCATCATTGACTGTGGACAACAAACGCTTCTTCTTCGACGTTGGATCCAATAAGTATGGTGTGTTCATGAGGGTAAGCGAGGTAAAGCCAACGTACCGCAACTCAATTACGGTGCCCTACAAAGTGTGGTCCAAATTTGGGAATACTTTCAGTAAATACGCCGAGGAGATGAAGAAGATTCAGGAAAAGCAGCGGGAGAAAAGGGCATGCGAGCTGCAGCAACAAGAGGAGATGCAGGCGGACGATGGGGACGAGGATTGATATAGAGTGCAAAAAGATGCAAGAGTAAAGAAAATAACAAGAGAATATAATTAAAAACTCTACTGTATAAAGAAAGAAATCTAAAGATTTAACTGTAATGGTTTAACTCCAAGGGAGCATCACCCACAATATAAGAAACCTCCACAACCTGACAGTTATGACATGTTGTCACTCATCGCTGGATGTTATCCCACTTATCCACCATTAATACAGTAACAGGCTGCTAAACAAAGTAATAACATTATATTTGAACATTGTTTCCTACTTGACAAACGATATTGAACTGAGTGTTTATTTCCCTTATTAACAGAAAACTTTTGTACCAGTTAAAGCTATTGTAAAAAAAAAAAAGTGTCTGCAATGTTCAAATGGAATTATTGCCGAGTACAGAGGAAAAAAAGCGTTTCCTTTTCATGTGAGCTAATGACTTCAGCACAAATTAGATATTTTAATTTTTAAACCAAAATTCAAAAAGTTTGTAAAAGGTTGTCACATGTACTACTTGCCATCCTATTTACCTTTACCTGTGAGTAGAGATGTGTTTACACATGAATCATATGAGGGCTAGGCCTGCTTTGGAAACTGGTAATATGTCATGCAGTATAAAAGGAACATATAGGCATTTTCATGAGATGAAATAAGTGCTCTATCTGTTGTGCAATATGCATTGCATAAAAATCAAATATATTGAACTGGTCAGAGAATTTTGACAGGATGACATTTGCCAGAGGCATTCAAAGAAATATTAATATTGTAATTTTGTTTCAGTTGAAATTGTTGCCATGCAGATGGATATATATTATAGACTACCTTTGTGTCTCGTTGTTAATGCAATGTGTTCATTTTAAAGGTACTAAATGTGTATTTGATAGAGGAAATGCAGAGACAACATGTAGCAAATGGCCTGAATTGCAGATTACTCAACAAGACGAACCCTACACATACCGTGCTGATTGGCTTGGTGGTCTGAAAAAAAGGAGGCACAATTCAGTGGAGCATTATTGGTTTGCACATTTGAAACTACAGACATTTTGTGATCTTGTTCAGTCATCAAAGTCCAAGTGGTGCCAAGGAGTGCTGTTGCTGCATGTTTTTCTGCACTAAGATAGATTTCGTTGGTCTCCCAAAATATTGGCTCAAGGACCCTTCCATATGTATCTTTATCTGCCTATAGTGTATGAATCTCAAGTTTGAGTACCAAGTGATTTCCACCTGAAGCTTGGTGTAGTTATAGTGGAAGTTGTTTGGATGTGTGATGGTAAAAGGAGCCGACCTCGTGAACTCTTATCAAAATATCACCTTCACACTTTGAGGAGGGCACTGAGGAGCACGCCTGGATGAGCCAAGGAGAAGAGGGTTCAATTCACCTCTATGGACGTGCCCACCCCTGTTTTAAGAAGGTGTTAAGTTCTGTGGGGCTACTTTGAATACATACTCATAGCTCTACTTTAGATTTGTAAGCCCAAATATCTACCTTGGGATGATGAGATTCTGTTTTGGTCTAATTGTAAATATTTGGGCTGCCACACGGAAAAACAACTGGTCCTTATCCAGTTCAGTCGCATCTCATAGATGTGTGATAGCAGTTTTATAAACTCTGTCAGTTAACTTCAGAGAAACTGGCAACAATCAGATAATGTCAGATTTACCTCAGCATTGAATAAAGTAATTGCTCCCGTGTTTAGATTGACTGGAAACCAGCAAACTAGACTGTCCTTGACCACCTATTTTTGGAGCCTGTGGTATAGCCTAAATGATACCTGATTGGGAGCATCCTCTTCAGCATATAAACAACCTGGTGCCTTACACACTCCGCATGCTTACACGCTGGCCTGGTGCTTTGGATCGCAGTTTGGCTTCTATTTCGTACTGTTTTCTCTTTCTTTCTTCCATTCTCGTGTCTCAGCCCCCTTGTGTGCTAGCGCACGACTCGTGGTGCTAAAAGAGTTTGTTACGAACTCTTTAAAAAAACATAGGAGCAGAATTCTTAACTTTTTTTTCTGCTACCTTCCTCCTTCCCTAACTTCATTGCCATCCCCATTCCCCAGCCATCCAGGTATCGGCCTACATGTAAACATGGATAGGGGTGGTCACCTAGATGCAAGATGATGCAGAAGAGTTGGCTCTTCACTAGCCAAGCGCTTTAGCAGAAGGAGCAGGGGCTGATTGGGAACATCGGTACTGGCCTGAATGATATAATTATTTCTTGGCAAGCCCCCTTTGAAATGCTCGTTCTACGGCTTGGGTAGTTTTGTGTAAGTTGTAAGTCGCTCAATTAATGGGGAGCAGCAAGCATGTCTTGTTTTGTTTTTATTTGTTTTACGTAGTTTTACCTTTTCAGCGTTATTCCACATTATTTGTAATTTTGGAATGTTTTTGCCCACAAAAAATATATCTATTTTTTCTGTGCAACATTTCATCACTGTGTGCAATATCGTATGTGCCAATGGTGGCAATATATGTATATCAATTAAATATATGATTACTATTTGAAAGCATGTGGCTGAATTCCATGTTTATTTCTCATGAAGGAGTTGTATGCCTTTATTTGCACTCAAAGCTCCATCCTAGGGGAAAATATAGAAAACCAAGGTCTTAGCAGCCTGTTGGGTCTAGCAGGTCACAGAAGTACTTTAACTTGAAACAGAACAATGTCACTGCAAGTATGCCTCTCTTTAGGAAACTTGGGTTGTTGAAGGAGACCATAAAAAGAATGGAGTTTTTGTGAAAAATGTTTAAAAAACAGTGAAATCTCCATTTTAGCTTTAAGCTAAGAAAAGGTGCTTCAGTCCAATCTTCATTAAGGTGTATGGTGAACTGTCTTCAGTGGTTGTTGTGTGTAGCACTTTGCTTTTCCCAGGTTAATGAAATGCCTGACCAATACTTGTTTGAATAATCTCAACAAAGAATGTCGTTCTCTCTTTTAGTTTTTTTTTTTTTTTCCTTTTTTTTCCTTTTTTTTTTTTTTTTAAAGAGGATATTTGATTTGCTCATTTGGTTTTGATGCATCAAATATAATTTATGTACATTTGACAAATTTAAAAAATAAATTTAATTTACCCATGAGGGAAAAATCTACATTCAAAATCTGTGTTTTTTATGTTTCATTTCTTGTTGGAAAAGATCTTCCCAAAATGTCCACAATTCACTGATGAAAAGTGTCTAATTTTGATGTAGTGTTGTCCAAAATGTCTTAACTCTACATTTACAATGGTGCTTATAACTGAAGCTTAATTTTACAGCCTTTCAAATGCAGACTTTGCACTGACAAGTACCTGATGACTTCTTCATAGAGATTTATACTGAAGTACTGTATGTGTAACAGCGGGCTGTAAAATAAAGCATAACGTTGTTCTCTAATTATCCTGCATTTGTGTAATGCATTTTGTGATCATCCAACTTCAAGAACTGCATCTGCTCATACTACAGAAATGTGAAGTTAGTAATCAACCCATCATGGATATCTTTTAAGTAAGAACTGTGCTGTTTTACAGGTATAATGCATGTTAGAGCAAAGGTTTGATTTCAGTGTTATTAATGATTATATGAATTGAAAACAGCCTGAGCTCTAATGTTATTCACCACATAATCAACAGTCTCTGTTCATGCTTCGTAATGTAAAGCCAAGATACTACATCAATTCTGCAACAGTTCTCATCTCTTCAGCCATGTCTATGATATGACTATCAGCAGAAGCTACATCAGGAAACAATCTACACACGGGCGTGACAAACTTTGTCTCTTGCACCGCCACTGCCATTTCTCAGGGAGATCAAAGTGCAGGGCCTGGACATGCTCAAGGGCCTCACTGTGGGATGTATGTATGTTTGTGTTGCTGTTGTTGTGAAGTTGATGATGTCTCAGCCTCTTTCAGCTTCCCTGCTGGGCAGGAGGAAGGATGAAAAAACCAAAGGGGGATGTGCTAAATTAAGATGGACTCCATCCCAGATGCCAACTCGGACTCGAAGTTTGCTCACCATCCAAGAACCCACATGGAGGACTGGTTCAGGTCAGCGCTGCGTTGGAAGCACTAATGTAAACCACTAGAACAGGTGATAAAATGTACCCGGTCACTTCAACACTATATCTGTGAAAACTCACATTATTCTACTGAGGAAAGGCCCTAAAATATTCTTTTGTTTTAAATCACAGTTTGGTCGAAATGCTACTTAGAGGCACAATAGCAATAATTACTCAAAGGAATGCTGCTTTGGAAGATTTATACAACAGGTCCAGCTGCAAGCTAAAAGAACAACTTGATGTAATTCATATTTAGCTCTGCAACACGTTCACCGTCACCTGAGCACTCCTGACAGCAGGAAATAGCACAAATAGCCTGCTGCAACAATCTTCACCCTGCGGGAGCTGCAGCACCTGTGTTTATTTTTGGTCTGGGTGGTGGCGAGATTAACTGAGCATTTTTGGAAGTGATGCCTTCATGGTGAGGTTGCTTCACTTTAAATTTAGCTGGTAATTTAGAGCTACAGTGTGTTTTGAAGCAGCTGAGCATTGGCTAAAGTGGTGACGTAATTCTTTGTGAGTGTCCCTGGATTTTGCCACTAGAGGATGCTCTTTGCTAAAAAATGACAAGCTCAGGAACAGAAGAAAGGGAGAAGAGGGGGAATCATTTAACTCCTGATGGATTTTTGTAAGCAGCTGCTCACAAAAATCCAACATTACACAGTTTTAGTGAACTCCTGGAGCTCTTTCTGTACAATATAAAACAAAAACTTACAATTATAGTGATGTTTAACAGTCTTGAATGGAGTTTAAAAGTCCCAAAAAGAAAGAGCTGAGATTTGCACCCACTTGACTCACGTTTTGTTGTTTCATCAACAGGTCCCATGTTAGAAGTATTGTCATTCAATGTCTAGATTCAGCATTTTAAACCTTTTTTTTTGTTTGTTTGTTTTAACCACTAATTAAATAAACCGAAATTCATATTGATACCTCTTCATGATTTCTAAAATCAAGCAAGACCATAACAAAGTAGACTGATGACTTTTGTATTTGAATTTCTAATTCCTGGGATCTATGCATTGGGGTAGGTGTCAGTCCTGTTTTTTGCAGTTTCTTCTAAAATATTCATAATGGAGGACACATAAATTCAGCAGGATTAGATTTCTTTGTTTAAAAAAAAAATTTGATTCCTCACAAGAACTTTTAATGAAGATCCCCCTACAAAGTGTGTATATTGTATGTGCCATACATCTATTGACCATGACAAGAAAATACATGATGCATTTGCCATTTTCCAGGTGGATATTTTAGAAGAATTATCAGTAACACTGAACAATAACGATGACTTATAAATGGTAAATAGACCATTTATCTTACAATTGTAAATACCTAATCCTTACCCTAACCTTAATTTTACAATAACCATCTGAGTAATCTTTATAGGTGGTTTATAAACCACTTATTAATCATTTACAAAGTGCTACTGACACACATTTTAATCTAGATGTTTTACAACCAATATTTAAACCTTATATTAACCTTTAATAAATAGTCCATTAATAATTAATGAACATTATTAATCATAATTTCATTGCTTGTCAATGGTAAAGTAACTGTTAACTTACGTTAATAAACTATCTATTTACCATTTATAAATTACGGTTATTGTAAAGTATTCTTAAAACTTGACAGTTGTTTTTATTGTGGTTGTTGAAAATGTTTCCCAGAGTACCTCAGAGGAATGTGATTTGTTGGAATAAAAAAGCAGCTTGAAGTTGATTTTTTTTACAGCCTCTTTAATGTATGAGGTCAACTTCCTGAATCTCACTTTCCCCCTTTTTCTAAATCAAGTGTGAGGGAGTGTATATGTGGCCTCTGTGTGTGTGCGTGTGTGTGTGTGTGTGTGTGTGTGTGTGTGTGTGTGTGTGTGTGTGTGTGTGTGTGTGTGAGAGAGAGAGAGAGAGAGAGAGAGAGAGAGAGAGAGAGAGAGAGAGAGAGAGAGAGAGAGAGAGAGAGAGAGGACGGAGGGAGGGAGAGAGAGCTTTTGGAATGCTGTGATGTCATCAGCAGAGTCGCACACAAACACACACACAAACTCACACACACTCACACAAACACACACTTACACGCACACACAAAGCCAAGAAGGACCCACAGGCGCTCTGACTCTCCCAGCTTAGTTAGCATACTCTGCTGTGGAGCGGCTGTCTACATCCCACTGTGAGTACTTCAGCTAATTCTCCTCTCCTGCTTTTGTTTTTTTCTACCACTTTTACTCTGCTTACTTACACCTTTTTTTTCCGAGTGTCTGTCTCTGCACCCTAAAATGTGTTTACACCAATCTGTATTCCAGCAGAGTGATAGTTCTCAGTCTGAGACACGCTTTCCTTCCCTCCAAGAGCTGCTTTTGTTGGTAGCCTTTGTTTAACTCCCCACTGTGATTGGTGGAGTCCATTTCAATCTCCTTGTTATAGAAAACCGGCTCATGCTGTCCTGGTTTATGACCCAAGTGTGTGTTTTTCTGGTACCAGAAATGTTGGAAATGGAGCCGCTATCTCGTGAGAGTTTTCAGGGGGGAGAGAAAGGAACATGGGTTTGGGAAGGGATGTGTGGTGAGGAGGGGGAGGAGGGAAGTGGGCCACTGATGACAGAAACAGCCCCATTCCTTTGGAAATCTCCTCCCATTCTGGGCTGCAGCCTCTCTGTCAGTTTGGAAACAGGGTTTGGGCTCTTCCGTGTTCACAGAGGGAGGGACAAGACAGGCGACTGAAACAGACAGTCCAAAGGAATGAGTAGAGGAAGAAAAGTTTGAATCTGAAGAAGGTGCGATCAGAAAGTATTTGGGACATCCAAACTTTGTGAACAAAAGTAGACTCTTGGGGGCACAAATTTGTTTTTGCAAATGTTTGATTCAAATGTTTTTCTTTTCTTGTAGGTTGTCCCAATGATGACCTCCAAAGACAAAGGAAATTAACATTTCAGCAGGGAGGGAGAACTGTCAGCACAGCACAGACAGGAAACAGGATTTGTGTGTGCGTGCGTGTGAGTGTGTGTGTGTGTGTGTGTGTGTGAGAGAGAGAGAGAGAGAATGAGTGAGTGTGTGTGATTGTACAGTATGTACAAAATTTGTGTTATGAGGAGAAGCATGTGCCTGGATCCCTGAAGAAAAGCATCTGAAAAAGGTAGACAGTGTCATTTCCTGAAAACAAAAGCCGTAAGAAGTTGGTTTTGAACGTCATGCGACTATAAACCATCGCTGACCACTTCAAGAAGCAGCTGGTTGAAGGACAGCGCCTCCCCCCGTCAACTACCTGTCCTACCCGCTAGTCATCATGCTGCAGCAGATTTTGAAGGACATGTACATTGACCCCGATGTTCTGAACGCTCTCAATGAAGACCAAAAGAAGACCCTGTTCCTGAAAATGCGCCAGGAGCAGGTGCGGCGCTGGAAAGAGCGGGAGGAGAAGCTGGAGAATGATGGAGGAGATGCTGAGTGTAAAAGGACAAAGCCAAAAAAAGGTAAACCTCCATCCTTCCACTAACAACTTTGACCCAACTTTGCTAACTTTCCTGCTTCCTGTTGAGCAAGTGCAACAGGCTGCAGCAAGTTTTTCAGACATACTGACCCCGCTCTCATGAACAATCCTTCAGACAGATCAGCCCTCTCAAGGACGAGATTTTGAACCATGCTAGCTGATAAGTTTTCTGGGAATTAGTTGAAAGTGTGAGCTGTAGAAGTGAGTGTGTGCTCTGGTTGTTACAAACTGTCCCTCCAGCTCATTCCCCTTCTGTCATTTGAGCAGCTGTTGGGTTAGACAGGCACTGTGTTTACCTGAAACCCACTTAAAAAGTTTCCTGGAAACTCTGGTCAGCAGACTGCAGCTGCTCTCTATAAATCTGACTGGAATGTTTTAAAATGTGAGATTAGGATGAAAGTGATGGTGACATCCGTGATTTACCGCCAGAGGCCTGTTTGTACTTTAACTTACATAAAGCTCCATTTATATCTTACAACAGAGCGATGACATTGGGGGATGAATGTAAACATCACACTGATGTTAACATTTACACAAGCAAAGAAAAATGTGTTACACTGGAATAAAAGCGTCCAAGTTGAAGAGTTTGAGCAGTTTTACTAGGATGAAAGGGGTCGCACTGTGGATGTAAAGTGTGTGGCAGTGTGTGTTTGTGTTCAGGTTTACATGTATGTAGCTTTTAGGCTCATTTTTGGACCATTTTGTTCCCGCAATCTGAGAGACACAGACAAGTATTAACTGGATCGGAGATGTCACTTGTGTCTTAAACGTTGATGTTTAGGTATCAACATGGAAAGATCTGCCTGACGGAGATTAAGACTGGTGTAAAAATGGTAGCACGGTGGAATAGCATTGGCACAGTGAGAAGTCGGTAAATAAGTTCAAAGGGGAGGATTCCTGTAAAAGAAAACAGTTGTGGTGATCAGTGCACAAAAGAAAACAACCTGAAACTCGGGAGGCTGCATGTCTGCGCTTAAACTGGTTTGACGCGAAATGCAGAATCTTGCCCGTCTGCATTTTCTCTCTGGTGGCAGAAAGTTCAGCTGTGAGAAATGATGGTTTAATGACACTGACATAACAAAGAATTTACAGTATATTTATATCATATGAAAGTAACGCCTATGATGAAGTACGCTACAGAGGCTTAAGGATTTGACAGTTGAGGATAAGAAGCACGTTGGATAAAGCAAATTTATAATCCTAAACAAACAACAACCCCAGGTCTTGAGAAATGAGGTCTACGGGGAAGTGTTAAAAACTGCAGTACCTTGAGTCTCCACTTAAGCTGCCATAACCACCAGAAGCTATATAAACCAGTGAAAAAGAACCATCGTTGCAGCAAAAATAAAGCGCTTAGCATGACAAACAATTCTAGCAAATACATCATACAGGAGGGTGATTTTTTGGCTTTCTTTGTGCCTCACTGGCTTTGAAGAGATTTAGATTAGTTTTGCTTAATTCGAGGCACAACTTACTAAACTGACAAGACTGAAGCTGTAATCAAGAAGACCAATGGCCCACCTTGACCCCACCTCTTTATCTTATGTTTGAGTCAGCACTTCCAACATGGCGAACACCGTCGATCAGCTTCAAAACTCCCCTTCAGAAACCAATGGGTGACACACAGGTCATTATTTTACACGATTAAACTGCAGTACTTTAGTTTAAACTTGAATCAGCATGGAAAATCTGACCATTGTTATGACAGCAGTTATCTTTTTTCTGTTAAATAGATTCTGAGGAAATGTTAGCCACTGGTTCAAAAGTTTTTTTCAGAGTTTATTTGAAGACATTGATTCAAAAATTCAGAGAAAAAAAGGTCATTTAATCGAGGAACATTTGACCCTTTGACTGTCTACACCACTGCTGTCTTCCATCAGCCATTCTAGGCTTACCTTATCATGTTTAACGCCTATGTTGTCATCTGGGGGTCTTTTAGTCTCTGTGATCAGAGCTGCACAGTCTTCTGATTTCTTCTTGGGGTGAATGTTTAAAACTACTCAATTTATGTTATCTCTGAAACTTTTACATTTGCTTTTATATGGAAAAGAAATTAAGTCTGTGCAAAGACAAAATTCAAATATTGGACAATACTGTCACAAAATCAAACCTTAGATAAAGAGTTTATCTAGATGATAAACAAAATCATGTTCCTTGACTTCTTAATGCCAATACCGTTTCAGATGGTTAAAAATAGTTTTAAAAAGTAGGTCGATTTCACCTCGACCATAACCAAATTTCAACATTGAAACACCAGTCAAGTTGATAAACTGCTGAAAGATAATTTCATCAGAGACATCTAAACAGCATCAGCATTTCTGTAAATTGCATGACATGTTAAAAAGTATTGTTAGCTTACATTTATATGAGCTTGCAAGTAGCTGCATGTGATGTTAGCAGCGGTGTGATGATAGCTTATAGGTTTAAAATTTGCCGATTTAACAAATGTTCTTCTAAACTCACAATGTCAAATTTCTTTTCTGCTACTAATGAATCAAGAAGCAGCAAAATAATCAAGATCTGTTTCCTCCACTACATTTACGATGTTTAACACAGTCGCACAGCACCAATAATATTGCTTGAGCAGCCCACCCTCATCTTGATGTCAGAGGAAAATGGCCTCTGCGTGAATATGGTCAATCAAGAGCACAGTGCAGTTGGTGCATCAACTGTGATTGACATTGTAATGTGATCAGTCTTGTCTTGGCTCCTGACAAAGCACTTGCTCTATACACTGAGCTGCAGAGTGTGAGAACAGAGCTCTTTCTATCTCTTAATGACTGATGCAGCTGTCCTAAGGAGGCTGGATGGGGACTGCAGGCTGGGATCACATGGTGGCCACTCTTCCTCACACATGCTCCCAGTCTGTGGTACTGAGGAAATGGTGGATAGCTAGTGTTTCTGTGTAAAAATAGGAAGTGAGTCATGACCCTGATCCTTCCAACAATTAGAAAGGGGTGAAACAGGAAGCGTGCAGGAAATGTATGTGTTCAAAAAGCAAAGCAAGAGTTTGATTTTATCCTGGTGGCCATGTTGGAGAGCGAACAAGCTGAGTTTGTTTCCATGAGTTCAGATGAAAATTCAGCCCGGAGCCATTTTTTGATCATGAGACTCCTGCTGTGGTTAGGCTATGACTGTACACTGGTGTGTTTGTCTGCATGTGTACGTCGTAGGCAGCCTGATGGCATTCATTTAAGGCAAAGGAAAAACTTGACAGCTCATCAGAAAAGTAACTCGCTCTTATTTTCAAGATAAAGTAAACGCTCTCCTTACATTCCCTGCTCGCTCTGACATTGGAAGCTACATTTGAAGGTTTAGTTTTACGTAACACCATGTTTTACAGTAGGACCTTGAACATGAGCCAAAAACCACCTATCCTGTCTTTTAAATGTTCCTACTCTCAGCTGACAGATCCGTCCAACCTGCACCTGACAATGATAATAGGGTTTGTGACTTTCAGTTTGCACTGTACGCTTTGTTTGCCCAGGTATGTTCTGACTGCTTCATTTAGCGTAATCATCCTGGTATGCCTGGCTACAATGCGATCCACAGGGCAAGCTGGCAAAACCAGTTTCACGATGGGAGTATGTGATCCTGTTTTAGACCCAGGCAACCTCTCAACCTCTAAGTCAGCTGGTTTATCTCTATGAAGCCACTTCTTTATGCTCCCAAACATAGTCACATGGCAGCAGTTTGTTGTTAGTAACCAGTCGTACTTGTTTGTAGGTGATGACTAAATGTCCTCACGAAACATATAAAGAAAACAAGAGTGAGGCAATTATTTCTATTTTAGGACATTTGCATTGTGTTGAAAGTATAAAAACAAAGATGTTTTTTATGTGTCGGATGTAGTTCGGATAAGAGATTGAGAACAGTATTTATGAAACAAGGTCAGGGTTTTTCATGTTTATACCATCCACATGAAGCTGCTCTCTCATACTTTGTGGTTAGTTTGGGCTCCTTAGCTGTTACCCCTGCTGTTTATAGAACAAAACTGCAGATCATCAGATACTCTTTTGAGAAGTTGACAGTTTAGTTTATGAAAGTTTTAACAGATTATCTGGGTGATTATCTAAAAAGAAAACAAGATTACATTTTTGGTAACACTTTACTTGACGCCTATCTCTATGACGCATTATAAATATATGTATAATACATTATAATCACGTTATAGCACTGTATAACTATAGTTATAAACAATCATAAATGATCATAATGCTTTATAGCAATAATCACAACACATTATAAAGCATTTTATCATGACTTACAAGGTCAGGTATTATTATGCATAATGCTTATTGTTGTAAAGCCTTTTGATAATTAATGAGTGTTTATAATGATATTTATACAAGTTTATAAGCATATTATAACACAGCATAAATAAATGTTTAATGCATTATCTATGTGGGCATTGTCAGTGAGGTGTTAGCAGTTATAACACATTATAATACCTGATCCTGTAAGTCATGATAAAATGCTTTATAATGTGTTATGATTATTGCTATAAAGAATTATGATCATTTATGAATGTTTATAACTAAAGTTATACAGTGCTATAACATGATTATAACACATTATGCATATATTTATAATGTATTATAGAGATAGACGTCAAGTTAAGTGTTACCAAATTTTCATTGACCCTTAGATCTCATCAGAAACGAAGTCTTTTGGGAGAATGTCTGTTCCTCTACAAATATTACTCGGTTTGCATTAACAACTCGTACATTTTACCGATTAAATGTAGGACATCAGGGCTGTTGAATTCATTTTGCTTGTGTCTGTGTGTGTCTCCTCTAGCCAACAGTAAGAATGTAAGCTGGCTGCCGGGTCGGGACGGAGATGTGGCAGTCATTGTGATCGGGGAGATGGACGAGCTGAGCTCGAAATTCATCAGCTCAGGTTTCGCAGAGAAGAAGACGCCAAATCTCCAGAACAATACAAGGTAATACATTTCTTTAAATCAACACACATCAACAATTGAATAGTACATACCATGAAATGTATGTGTCCTTTTTTTTATAAGTTTGCAATGAGAGCCTTAAACTTGGTCTTCTGCTCTAAACTGAATGCTATTGTGACACTGAAAATAGTGATTATATACTAAGATTTGGTATACTTTGATTTTGTCCTGCAGCTATCAAACTATCTTAAAGGCCAGAAAAACTACAGAACCTGTTAAAACTGAGAGAGAAAACCTTCCTCCTGGAGTCTCACTGAATCTGAAGGTATGCCGCTCTTTGTGAGCACTTTTTAAAGAATTTAACCAGTAGGCCGTAGAGTTCCCAAAACAAGTCCTCTAGAGTCAGGAGCCCTTCTTTACAGCTGAATTTGAACCCTGACTACACCTGTAATACTTCCTACCAGCCTCCTGTCATTTTTGGTTAAAACTGGGATAAGCTTATATGAGTATACACACAGCAGGCAATCTTAATGAAAATATCATCTGAGTCAAGCTGTTGATGTTTGTATCATGTAGCCAGTGTTCTGTCTGGTTTTGTTACTTGGTTGGAAAGTGAGACAGTGCCATGAATACAGAAGAGAGATGATGCGTTTGTGTTATTTGTTATTGCTTGTAGGTCATAAACAGGGTTAAGTGGTACTTAAAGACTAAGAAGAGCATGCGTTGGTACTCTAAAATGAAACTTTCTCTTTAGATTTCAGAGGCACAACAGATAGCAAAGAAGTTATATCCAGTAACGCATTATAACTTGCGGCTACAAACACACGCCAACAAGACAGAAGAGGCTAAATGATCGACATGAGATTTTAAGAAGAGATATAAAACTGAGTTTGCCTGTCTGACTTTCTCACAGTTCCACAGCTGTGGAGCACAAACTGCAAATGCTCAGTCACCTCTTTTGACCAGACGAGATTTAGGAACCACTTGTAGGGTCCTGCAAGAAGACCTCAGTCAGTGGTCAGGCTCAGAGGGAGTTAGCAGCTCACAGATATAGGCCGGCGCCATTTAAGGCCTTAGAAATAAGCAGAGTAAAATCTTACAACCTTTTCCAAGACTCACAGTGAGGACTGGTGTTATACAGACACCTGTATGTGATCAAAGCCTTGTTGCAGAAAAATGAACTTCATTACAATCATTGACGGTGATGCAGCTGTGAATTTACAATCAGACGCTATTGCCAATTGAGATGAAAACAAAAAGGAAGAGAATATAAGATATCAGGTAGATTCAAACATAAAGGAGAGTAAAACTGAAGGAACCGATAAGATGTGATTGTAAAACATTGCACTGTGACAACTGCAGCATCAGTCTGTTGCCTGATCAGTCACCTGAGATGCCCTCATACCTCCTTGAGTGGGCAGGGCTCCTAAAATTCTTTAAAAACAATAAGGAGTGAACATGTGCGAAAACAGCAAGAGAGAATTCAAAGTCTGTCAAGGTTATTGTGTTTTATTGGCTCCATTTTCCTGTTAGTCTCTGTTGAGTTTAATATTGATATCCTAACAGCCTGAACTGACCTGTGTATGTGGATCAATAGAACCTCTGTCTCAGCTTTTGGACTAACTTTTACAAAAGTCCTGCAGCGTCTTTTAGTTTTTTAATCTTTGTATTTCTGTCAAATCACAGCCCAAACCAACACGTCCTCCATGAAGTCACACTGCTATCACTTAATTTTCACCTCTGTTACCTGCAGTGCACTTTTACTAAAACAAGCTCTGCATTTTAACAGTGCATACAAAAAAATCAGTCCTCTCCACCTTAAATGCAGTCCCCTTGATTTGAGCCTCAGTACTGTGTGAAAATCATCCTTCACTGTGGATTATTTACAGAGAAGCTGATATTTTGGGCATGTGTGGTGTTTTTGTGTTTGCTGGTTTTGGATTTTGGGGGGTGCAGGTGGGAGAGAGAGAGAGATCTCCCTTTTTTCATGCTATCTTTAAGAGAGATTTCCTGTGTTGTCATGGCAACGTTGCACTAACTGAACCTGAGTGGGCTGGGCTTGATGGTCTCATCTGGCCTGACCACGATGCTTCCCCGAGCTAAAGTCAAACACTGGGAGGAACAGATTTTCTGTGCAGTTATACATTCATAGTCAGTGTTCATATATGCTTGAAACACTTACAATATGACGTCCTGGTTACTTACTTTAAACTCTGCATTGATTATAAAACTATTAATGCACTAAACTGGCTCACATGGTTGAACAGGATGGGGTGTCGCCTTTGAGTATTCTTAAACACGTCTCTTTTTCTCTCTCAACAGGAGAAATGTGAAGAGGTGAACACTTTACTCCCTCTGGTGGTAAGTTCCTGTAACTGCCCGCTTTAATTGTTAGGCCCTGTAATCCTGGGTTGCATCATTGCTTGTAACACTGGTGTAATGTCTTTGTTAAACCCACAGGTGTCAGTGAGTGAGCATTCATCACCTCCACCAGCAGAAAAGGTAGTTGTGAATCAAACTTATTGTAGATTTTTGTTTACTCAGGCTGTAGTTTTGGCTTTCATTGTGTAGTACTGCTTTCAACAAAAGTCTGCTAAGCAAGAAAGGAGATTTTCTTGCTTTTCTTGCACCAAACAACATCAATCAAAGCCCAAATGTTCCACTCAGGTTTAAAAGTCAGCAGACACAGTCCTCAGTGCTTTTAGATGTGGCTTTGGAGTTCCTACGTGTCGTTTCATGGCTGTCCCTCCCTTAGTGAGTAACAGGAAATAGTGGTTAAGGCCAGCTGTCCCCTCACTCCCAGCCTCTCTGCAGATCATCTTTCCCCCAGCATTCTCCCTCACTCCGGGCTCCCTCCCGTCTGAGCCGCCGCACCCCTCGCAGCTCTCTCCAGGGAACAGCTGAACTCAACCGTCCCCTCCCGCTGGCTCCATCATCGCTCAAGCCTTGAGTTGTCTGGGGAGTATGCTCTCCTCCTTCCTTTCCCTTGTTTACGTGTGCACAAATCTGAGAGTATGTGTGTCTATGTGGTGTGTGTGTAAGGGTGTGTGTGTATGTGTGTGCAGGTGACACACACACACACACACACTCGCACCGCCAGAGCAGCTGAATCGCAGAGGCAAGGCAGAATTTCTGGACTGCCCCAGAACAGATGGTTGATGAACTTGATCAGGGAATTAAAATGCCAGAGATAGAGGATGCGTCAGTCGCAGATGGATGGGATTGTGGGATAGTCTCCTGAGGTTTGGGCGCGTGAGCTCGCCTCTTTTCTCTGTTTTTCACTCCTCTTTACCGCAGAAAGACATGTCTGTCCTTCACTTCTTATATCTATACCAGACTCCTTATATGACAGGCCTCAACATATCTGCGGCCAGCCAAAACCAGTGAACATTCAAACCCTTGGAGGACAAATGTTCAGGTTTTTGGCTTTCTTCTCCTGAGCCTAATACCAAGGCTTTAGTGTCAGTCGATACTGTGTGCCCCCCTGATGATAGTACGATCAGAAAAAAAGGGAAGATGATATTAAGATCCTTTAGTCCCTTATAGGTCCTTACAAGACAAATAAAAATTTAAAGGGTTAAAAAGCTGCAAAGGGGCATTGTATGCTGTAAATAAGTGCTTACTCATAGGTTTATTAACCCTTACAAGATCAGATATGTACTATTTCAGTGTCAATGCCAATACAACACTGATATCTGTGTAAGACGCCAAAAAAGTGGGGGTACAAGTGTCATAAGGTGGTTTTTGAAGGGGTTTCTGTATGAGACCATTGCAATGCCAGAGACTAGTATGATGCTGGTATCAATATATGAGGCTGGTACTCCATTGGTATTGACAGTGAGGGTAGAGTCAGGAGTAAACAGTAAAGAAAACGCTGCCTCAACCTTATCGGCAATTGTTTTTTGGTCCATGAATGTGTTGTCTTGCAGATGGGCTGATCTGTGTCTAGAAATAGGAAGAGGCTGGTTTGGTGGCGCTGCGGATGTAGCAGTGGGTGTTTTAAGTGCTGCTGCAGGTTTTCTCCAGTTGATTTAAAGAGGGAAGGAGTCAGCCTGGGAGACGCGAGAGAGAGGAGAGAGTGAGATTGTTGATTAAGAAGGCGGGAGATCAGGAGGGAAGATTAGCGAGGCAGCCTGATTCCAAGTCACCTTATAATTTTCTCTCTCCGCACATCCTTAAACTCTTAATCAGTGGTCATAGCTTTGTGTGTTTCATTACAACAGCAGTGTAGTCACTGGAGAACCGTAATTTGCTGAATCATTTATCCGGTGATTTAATCAAACATGACAGTAATTCCACTGTATGTGAATTAGCTGTCAACACTCATCGCACTCCTCTGTCCCCTTTTTCTCGTCGCTCTTTCCCTTCAGTCGAAGTCGACCAGTGTGACGGCGGAGAAGTCAGTCCCCCAGCCCACCAGCACCATCTGCTCCAGGCCTCCCATGAGAGCCAGTCCTGTCAATGTGAGACCGGCTTCGGCAAATGCAACACCGGGTTCTGTCAACATAGGGCCCGGCCTCGTAAGTCTGAGGCTGGCTTCTGCTGCAGTGTCACCAGCTCCTTCCTCCAGCAGCACCGCCAAGATCGACTCAAGAGAGACGACGCCTGAGAAAGTTCTCCAGCGTGCACAAGAGCAAAAGAAATCCCAAGAATCACATGCTGCGAAAGGTGGGTGCAAATAGCATCATGTAGAGCGGTGCATGAGGGTTCTGATGTCAAAATGAATTTCAGACTGATGAATATATTAACAGCAATACAGGCAAGTTTCTTCCCCTATTATTATTTTACTTGTTTTGGAAAATTGATGTGATATGTGATTCAATTGAATCTCATAGCCTTAATGTTTATTTTTTTAATAACATTTAAAATCAAGCTAAGTAAGACTGAAAAAAAAAATCAGTTCAGTGACAAAAAAAATGGTCTTTGTGTCTGTACAAAGTTGTTGAATAGTTTTTATGCTAAATATGGTGAAATATTCTTTATTTTTGAAAAATTTAAGAATTGCTATAAATATACAGAGCAACTGATGTGATAGTTTATGTGCACACAGGACTGTAATAGGTCTGATCTTTGTGAGTTTGGCTGAATTTTAAAAGCTGGGCTCAGATGTTTGTTGCAAATTCAGTCCAAATTCCACCAGATTACATGAAAATGCAAAACACCATTGTAGACAATCGGCATTTGTGTCGACCTTAGCAGAACTAGACTGAACCCAGTTCATATGATACAGGTTTTTTGGTGCTGTGGCAGGAAAGAAGGATTAATTTCTCGAAACCATAAGTACCTCAGCCAAATGGTGCCTCAGCCAAGTGGAATCTTTATGGAGTGGCAGAGTAAAAAGGGGCCAGCGTACAGGGGAACAAAGCCGACGTGACTGAAGTTTGTGTCGTGGTGCAACATTACCCTTACACTCCTGCTATATTTGTAGCTTCTCTTTGTAAACCTACGGTTGTCAGTTCATGGTACGCATTGGCTGAGCTGTTTGATCACGTTCGGTTATGATTTATTCTTGAATATGGTCTTAAAGAGCAATTTTACATGATTTTTTAATCTATTTGGGGCTGAGATGAGCACGAGGAAGTGTCCAGATATTCTCTTAAAGTCTTAAAGGTTAAAGTTAATTGTAACACTTACCTTGGTAAAGACCAAGGTAATTTTCTATGGCACACCAGTGAAAAGCAACCCTACATTTGGTAAGATAAGATAAGATGAGATAAGATGAAATAAGAGGAACTTTATTGATCTCCTAAGTGGCACCTCTCAAGCAATTCAGTTTCTGCTGAATTTGTTCTGTACACTCATCATCTCATCACCATGGTACCTGTTGGTGGCAGCAAGTGAACCTTTTGTCCTCAAAGCTGATGTTAGAAGTAGGAAAAATGGGAAAGCGTAAGGATTTAAGTGAGTTTGACAGCAGCCAGATTGTGATGGCTACATGACTGGATCAGAGCATCTCCAAAACTGCAGCTCTTGTGGGGGGTTCCTGGTCTGCAGTGGTCAGTATCTATCAAAAGTGGTCAAAGGAAGGAACAGTAGTGAAGCGGCAGGGTTTATGACTGTGCCAATGCCAGGAATCAGGGTGCCAATGCTGACCCCTGTACGATGGGCACGTGAACATCAGAACGGGACCACAGAGCAATGGAGAAGAAGGCAAGCTGGCAGAGGCAGTGTGACGATGGGAAAGCTAGGGTCCTGCCATCCATGTAGATGATACTTTGACCACCTACCTAAGCGTCATTTCAGACCATGTACACCCTTTAATGGAAACGATATTTCCTGACAGCTGTGGCCTCTTTCATGAGCTTGAGGTGTCAACTTGGCCTTCAAATTCCCCAGATCTCAATTCAATCGAGTATCTGTGGAGACCCCACCTCACAACCTACAAGACTTGAAGGATCTGTTGCCAACATCTAGGTGCCAGATACCACAGCACACCTTCAGAAGTCTGGTAGAGTCCATGCCTTGATGGGTCGGGGGTGTTTTAGCAGCAAAGGGGGACCAACACAACATTAGGCAGGTGGTCTTAACGTTACGCTTGATTGGTGTATTTCAACATTTAACTCACTTAATGAGAATCTTTGTCCTAGAAAATATAAGAAAAGGCTGTTTTTGCAGCTTGTTGTCAGTCACATACACTGACGCATCAGGCATAAAAGAAATCACCAATCTTGTCATTTATGATCATGATGCTGTAATAAGTCACGCAGAGGCATCAGCATTCATTTCATGAACAATAAAAATCTCTTCAGAAGAGCCTTACTTGCAGCATTTTGTCAATAGAAACACATAAAAGTACATATTTGATAATTACAACATTTTAGTGGTGTCGTCTTGCATAAATAAGAAACAAGAAAAGGAGTAGATGACTTTCAATGCTTTAGAGTGAAGTAGGAAACTCGTAACAAAATCACTTCACAAGCTGCACCCTTTTCAAGCAATACAATGAAACTATATTTTCATGTTTTATTCAGCTTTTTACAAAGCAGTAAGATATTACTCTTTCTCTCCGCCTCACTCTAAGAGCTACTTGTGTATCTCTGTCTTTTCAGGCTTTCATTAAGCCTTGACTTACATAATAATGTCACTTATCGCACAGTATGTAGAGTGAATAACTTCAGGTTTGACCCTTGTTTAATTTATCAGAGCAAGTCCTAGACTTTCTGTCTGAACAATGGACCCAATTTCATGAATTGACTGAACACTCATTCACTTCACAGTGACCCAATTATGCAGAAAAAGGGGCCAGTGAAAAGGTGAGGTTAGCACCATCCAGTGGAAAGCAAAGATACTGTAGGAGGAAAAAAGTCCAGTTGGATAGAAAAGCTCCTCTCTATAGGGTCCCTCTGCTGGAAAAAGGTTCATCCTACAGCGCATGTATACTGTAAACACATAGCAACAGTTTGAGGAAGCTGTGCGCGAAACTATTAGACATTAACAAGGAAAACTTTGGTTCAAAGTAAACTTTGGGATTGGAACATTTTGTGGAAACGCTGAAAAGCATCACTCGGTTGAAAAGTCAAAACTTTTGTCTTATTGTGGCTCCCAGGAAATAAAGGAGACAGCGATTTAGAGAGGTTCGCAGGGGTCAATGCCATTCTTAAACCTCTGTAGTGTGAAATAAACGCAGAATTCTATTTATTGCTAGTCGAACAATAACATCCATCATTGAACAAGAAATTTATTGATCTCCAAAGGGAAATTCATTTAGGATAGTTCCTTAAGAAAAACACACTCTTAATATCCCGCAGACAGAGAGTTCCTCAAGGTTGAGTGTCTGGTCTTCTTTTTCCTGCATGTTTTTCTAGCACGTCTTAAAGAAAGCTGAATGAGAGTGAAAAATCAATCCTCAAAACTATTTCTATTTTTCTGTCTTCTTTTTAAGTGGTTCTTTCGGAGAGTTCCTGGCTGTTTGTTGTAGATTTTTTTAGGCCTAGGAAGTCACTCCAAAAGCCAGACACAGGAAATCTGTAAGTCTGTAACAATATCATCAAGCTGAAATACCCTTGAAGTATTTCTTAAATCATTCTCGAATTAGACAAGACTGAACAAGAAATATCATAATCAAAGTATGTTTGCAGTTGCATAAATTTTTGGCAGCATAGGACGTGTTTTTGCGTGTATTTTTGTATCTATATAAGTAGCTTCATATGACATTGGTTGACAATGCCATGGCAGCACATCTGACAAATGCAGGGAGAAGGAAACAAAAGGAAGAGGAACAGCTGTTTGGGTGGGAGTTGAGGTGGGCTGAACATGGTTTTGAATAAGTGTGCCTTGACTCTGAACAAAAATACTGACAGAATATGTGTCCTCCACAATGGCAGGAAGCTCGTTCCTCTGGGAGGAGGAGGACAGCTATAGGATGAGGCTCCAGCCTCAGCTGTTTTCTTTTGAATGTTGGAAATGACGAGGATGTCTGCATCCTGAAAGCACAAACTATGGCCCACACAAGATATGTAGAAGGAGAGCTTCATAATTTGCTTTGGTGACATTTAAGTGTGTTTACAAGTGCTCAGTGGAGCTGGACTTGGCTTGTTCTGGACTCCAGGGCAACAGACCTGTGAATTTAAAAAGTTGAATAAGAAATTAGATACCATGGCACAGCTTAAACATATCTGATATTTTTTTGTTCAACTCCAGATGATAATAAATGAAAAAATATTAAGTTTCAGAGGTAGTTGTCAAATATCAGGAGAACAATGAGGGATATTTTTGCATGGTGCAGGAGAGCTCAGGATTTAAAGGTGCTGTGAGGAGTTTTCAAGCATTCATTTATGCTGGTGAACATTTGGACCAAAGTTTCCAGGATTGTTCTTCCTTGGAGTACCATCACCTGCAGTTGCGAGATGTAACATGCCACAGCAAATGCACACATTAGGAGTTTTTTAGACATCTGTATAGAGGCTGAAATTCACAAGTATGCCTTTTTATGATATCTAAAAGCAAACGCGACCATCAGAAACATAAACAATAAATTTTGTATCATAATCTTTACTGCTTGAATCCGGTGTGAGGGGGTAGGTGTCAGCCTGGATAAGAAATGACAACATCTAAAATATTCACAATTAAACATAAGTTAGACTGTCTAAAGTCAGCAGGATAAGTACTTTTTGTACACTGTTCAGGCATTTGGCGGACGAGACAAACAAAGACTGTTGATATGTTGATATGAACTGAAAGTTCATCTCATCTGGTGTTGGAGTCACAAGCTAAAATCAGATCAGAATAACTCCTGCTCCTGCATTTTTAACTACCCTTGGACATTGTTTCATAGCACTTTTGTAGATTTTATAAAATACTTCCAAATCTGTTTTTTTTTTTTCTAGTCTCTGTCTCCTACAGTCTCTTTTCATTCAATGTTCAATCAATTTGTTGAAACTAACACCCACTACTTTCTTTTTTTTATAACTGTAATGATAAAAGTAAAAGTCACTTCAATTCACAACTTGAGGCTTTGTTTAAGTGAGATGTCATCTGCATAAAAAGAACGTGTAAAGATGTTTTTGTTTCTATTTAAAGAAACGTTGCAGAGAAACAGAGTATGAGTGAGTGTAGACCGAACCCTGGAGCTGCAGAAATATGTGTTGTGTTGCATGTGTGCTGTATCACATGATTTAAGCACATGTGAGCGTGAAAGTGTATCAATCTCCAGCAGCTGGCGGTGTGTGTCTGTGTGTTTTCGTGTTTATAAATCCTTCCCTTTCTGTCGGGCGGCCGGTCGGCTTTTCCTCTCCTCTCTCTTCACCTTCAGAGGGAAGGACACACATTCCTGCACTGCTTCCCGACTCTAGCCCTGGGCGACGCTCAGCCAGAGCTGATAAGTGACAGGGGCCCCAGCCCCCACATGGGAGGGGCCCCTCCCCACGCCAACACACACACACACACACACCAACTCCTCTCCCTGCCCTTCAGACCACAGACACGCTGCTTGGGAATTCTGCCCTCTGCCCCACTTCTGCCCCCCTCACCCTCCACCCCTCCGCTCTTTCTGCGCCAGAGACGTGGAGGTCTTTAAAGAGATAGATTGGTCTTTAATTTTTGTGCTAGCCTGGTCAGTGACAAGGCTTCCCGCCCCTTCCTCTTTGTCCTCCCTGTAGATTTTACGAGCTGGCCTGAGATGTGAGGAGTGGCGCACGAAAGCTCGAATGGAAGATTAATCAATCTTGACGAGTGATTTAATAGCGGGATTCTCTTTTATTTTAATAGGTGTTTTTGCAGATAGTTTTTTAAAGGCTGTTTTTGCGGCTGGAGCTGAGACTGCTGAGGAGAGTTTCAGGCAGAAAGGCGTGGGGTCTGAACATTTTTGTTGGGTGTGTGTAGACAGGTTGGTCAGGTTACCTGTGGGAGGGTATTAAGCTCAAAGAAATACTCTCCTATGATATGTGAATGTAATATACATGTTTTATTTCTACCCATAAGTCAGTATTTATAAAACCTGTTCCCCTTCCCCAGCTCGCTATCTCTGTGTCTCTCTATTAAGTATTCTGCTCAGACCTGCACCGAGCCTCTGAGCTCAAAAAACTCTCTGACCATGAGTGTGTATGTGCCTGTGTTTGTGTGTGTGTATGTGTGTGTATGTGCTCGGTGCGTGCCTGAATGTGTGTCAGCCTCAATTGCTGGAGCCTATCCAAGGTTTCCGTGGTGACCACACAACACAACGAGACAATCAGAGGCAAGCCCACGCAGCGCGGCGAGAGGACATTAACACAGGAACCGCGGGTCAGGGGGCAGAGGAAGGCAGGGCAAGACAGGGGGAGAGGAGGAGATGAAGAGGAGGGCGGAGGGAGGTGTTAGAGCCACAGGGAGAGGGGAGTGAGGAGAGAAAGAAGAGTAAACAACAATAAACAATAACACAACCTTAAAGGCTACTTTAGGTCTCTCCTTTTCATGGCTGCAAGACATCAAGAGACTTTAAAGGTTCCCCAGCCCCAGGAGTGCCTGTGCAGTTTTGGCTGCACCCCACCTCTCTGTGTGTCTGATTGTGAGTGTGTGTGTTCGGTGTGAGGCAGAGATGAGTGCATGCGTGACTGAATCCATGAGCAGGAGGGCTGTGCAAAGGTGCATGTCTGCGTTTGTGTTCATGTGCGAGCATGCACGCACCTGAATGTAACATGAGAACACGTATGTGTGTGTGTGTGTGTGTGTGTGTGTGTGTGTGTCCTTTGGAAATTCAACTGCTAGAAACTGTGTGTACACTTGTGCGTGTTTGGGTTTTAGTTTGCATGTGTGTATGTGTGTGTATGTGTGTGTGCCTCTGTGTTAGCCTGTGCGCGTCCGCAGACGTGCACGCGGGCGCTCTCACATATCTCTGTCCCCCGGGGATGACGCTAAAAATATGTGGCTCCTCAAGCCTTCTGGTGTCTGAGCAGCGTCTGTCTGCTCTCCATTGCCGTCCCTGTGGCCCTCCCTCCCTCCCCTCCATTACTCCTGTTCCCTCCATTCCTCCCTCAATTACACCCTCTTCCAAACACAGTACCTCTGCAAGCACACACACACACACACACACACACGCACACACAGAGCGACTACACCCAGCTGTGTCCCTACTTCACTTCCACTGAGGATGACCTCTGCTCAAGCAGAGAGGGGATAAAGGGAGGCCAGTGAAAAGGAGGGAAAAACTGTAGAAATGAGTGAAGGGAAGTGTGGACGGAGTTTTTGAAGGAGAGAAAAAATCGAGCAAACTGTTAGCTGGATTTCTTCTTTTATATCAAGAGCATACATGTGTTGAAAGTTTATAACGATCAAGGATTTGTCAATATATCAGTTCACAATGTTTTTCACCTGGATGCTTCTAACGCTGTTCTGCTTCCTTAAAGAGTTTCTCTTACTGCTTACTGCAACCAGACACTGACCACTACTGTTCAATATAAATAATAAAAGGTCCCAGTGAGAGTGGAATAGCCTTTAGAACATTTCAATAATTCTCAATAAAATGAGATTATTTAACAAAATGCAAATAAACTTGAGTTATGCTTTAAAATCCCTAGAGTTAAAGAGTTTATTTAAAGATCCTAACACAGTGTAAGTCTCGGTGTAGCGCAATAGAGAGTGAGGAAATAAACCAAAATAACAACAAAGCTAGAAATAAAGTTTAACGTTAAGAAAAATCAATATTCTTTATTCTGGATGGTTTATTATTTACAGCTGTTAGCATTAATGGGATTCAGGTCTGAAAATCAACATCTTTGAGTAATTTTTGTCATGTGCTTTTTTGTCCCTTCTGGTGCACTGTAGTTAAGCAGCTGCAAGTTCTTCCTGCTTCTTAAAGCTGCCATGATGAAAATAATGACGCGCTGCTTTTGAATGTTGAATCACACCTTAAGAAACTCTGATTAGACTCAGTTGACCACTCTCAAGTGTTGTGCATTTTATGTCAAACAGTCCTTTTAGTTCAAGTTACTGACTATGAGCTAAGTATGCTTTTGCAGCTAATAAGACATATGCTATGCTAGCTGTAGTCAAGTCACAGAAGTTATTTAGGCTTCTATAGAAATATAGAAGTTAAAGATGGCAGCCCGTGTCTATGTATTTTTATATTTAGGTGATTTAGCAATAATTCAAACATACTTGTGATTATCATATTCTGTTTTTATTGATTCTGTTCTGGTGAATGTTATCTAATGAATATCTAATGAATGTCTATCTGTCTTCTTTTTGGGTTGTTTACAGAGATCAGTTTAGCAGAGGCACTTCGACGAGCCGGTCCAGGGGGCACTATATCGGCAGCCAACACCCTAAGCCGTGCACGGCACGGCCGGGTGGCTCAGCTGATGAAAACCTTCAGCGCTGAGGGCGCCACACCCACCTCACAGACCGTCCCCCGCGGCATCAAGCCTCCTCTTCCCACCAAGCCTAGCCACCTGCGTATAACCACCACGCCCACAGTCAGGTAATCTTCGCACTGATGCACAGACGCCCACTCAGCTTCATCCCTAAATGCAGCCATACTGGATTCTCCGGGGGCATCGAACATGGAGCTTCTGCAGAGTGGGCTGATGGGGTTGAGAGCTCCAAGGAGGCTCTCAGTTCACAATGTAACTATCACTTCCAAAGCACAGAAATGGAGATGCTTGAATGTAAGATCCTTTTGTTTGTTTGTTTGTTTGTTTTTGGATGCTGCAGTCCTGTCAACACGATTTGTGGGGAAGTTTAAATCTATTATATAAGCAGGGTTATCGATGTCTATCACATGTATTCGCTTTTTTGACGCTTTCCACTTTGTTAAACATGTGGAAAAATACATTGTTATGTACAGTTTTCAGTCCAATTATAAACCCTGCACACACAATATTGGTTCCTTACCAAAATCATTATTTTTATCACCGGTTTTTGAGGCTCAGTATTTGAGGTTCAGGACAAAAGAATGGCCATGGGACGGCCTAACAGGGCGAACGAAGGCTCAGTAGGGTGCTCCTTCATGTTGCCTTCTCCTCCCTGGGACCTGTGCGGGGTTGTTTATTCGACTCGAAGCAGTGTATGTCTCCCTGTGCCACCTGGCAGGAGCCTCTCTGCGACCTGTCGTGGACCAATGACAGTGCCAAATGCCTCATCTGTCTCTCCCTGCGGATCAAGTTAGACAGTGGCTGCCAAACAATCCAGCTTCTCTATTTTTATTGAGAGCTCTACAAGTGATGTGTGGTTGTATTTCATGGTATGTTGTTTTTTTTTACACTCTTTATAGGGAGGAGAACGTTTTATAATGGGATATTTAATGTTGCTACAATGCTCACCTGTACATTTTTAATCATTTAAGTCTGGCTTGTATGGTGCAATCAAAGAAACAATAAAAATATGTAACTTTTACATCTTCTATCTGTGAATTCTTCATTTTTAATGTAACCTCCCTTTCTCATAAACATATCATTGTGAACCTTGTTGCTTTAAAACTCAACCATTTTCTAGACATGCTCCCAAGTATTTTCTTTTTTTGCTTTGATCAAACTGTCATGCTTTTTCCAGCACACACATAAAGTTGAAAACTTTTATTAGCAGTCGCAGAACAGAGTCATTTAGTGTAGCTTGGAGTTGGTTCACTGAGAATATGCAGTTTGTCATTTTTAAATGTCCAGCCTCAGCAAATGGTCCTGCCTGCCTCACAGAGGCCAGTGTAAAATCTAAATTTCAGCAGTGCTTCACATCATCATCCACCCCCACGCTTGTTATAACCGTGCTCCGACATTTCCTGCTTAATTTCCAGCGATGCTTGCCAAGCTTGCAAATGAAACTGAAATGTTTGCCGATGCTAAAAGTGAGAGGCATATTCTCACATTTGGATCTGTGATTTCCATTGCAGATTGTGGTTACCTCGGCTAATGTTTGGCAGCTGCCGGATCTGTTTTTTTTTTTTAAATCTCCAAGGTAACAAAACTCCTCAGCTCCGTGAATCAAAGCAACACTCACAAAAATGTTTAAGTTAACGCCGGACACAGCAATATGATCGAAAGTGACAAAGAAACTTTTATAAAGAAAACCTTTCATTGTTGTTGAAGCTGTTGTCGTACCTCCACCATAGGCTCCTTTCACTCATGCACTCTCTGTCCCTTCAATTTTGCTCAGCTACTTATTTACACACCTCTCAAAAAATAATGTTTTCCCTATCAAACGCCAGAGGTGAGAAGGAGCTACAGATGAGTCACAGAAGAGATGACAAATCATCATCGGAGAAGCTACAGTTTAATGCTCGTGACTAAGGACCTGGCTTGGGTGCTGAAGTACAATCACTGACACAGGCCTGAAGACACACTTGCAAAATCCATCTGAGCAACAGTAATCGTAACAGTCGTCTTTAGTAATGTCTGTAAAAATACACATTAACACAAAAACAAAGACCTAATACAAAAAATGTGAGGTGTTTCAGTAAAGACAACAAACCACCACCAAGACTTTCACTTCAACGAGGAACCACATGGTCCAGTCAGAAGTTCCAACTTTCTACAACCAAACTTCAGTCCCTGGAAAAGTATGCCAAAAGCTTTGTTGATAGAGCTGAAAGGCCTCTCCAAAGGCCAAGAGATAAGGCTTTGGCTGCAGAGCATGCACTGCAAATAATGCACTGCTGTCCAAATACACATTCACATGCTTTATCAGTGTGGAGCCACAGACAGGTACACACCAGGACAGCTACTACAACCGCATGTAAACACTGTGCTTTGGCAAACAGTCCATAGGGAAACATATGTGGTGTTTAAGATCCAAGATACCTTAAGCTACCACTCCTACAGACTTAAGGCAAAACATCATCATGAAACATTTATGTTTCACAAACACACACACACAAACTGCTCACAGTTTAGGTGCTTGTGCAACATGCTGCAAAATGCTGAAGCACGCAACTGTGCGACGCCGCCTCTGTCTCCCAATGAGCCCGACAATGGCTGTGGCTGTTCTCTGATGCGCAGAGACATCGTCGAGCAGTTTCCAGGAGATATCTGTGGCCAGTCCCCTTGGTATGCCCCCCCCCGCCCCCCAACACACACACACACACACACACACACACACACACACACACACATTCACACACACACTTCTCCTCTTCATCCTCGGAGCCTGGCCACTGCTGTCGTCAGGGCCCTCCGACGGGAGATAAAAAAGAGGCTGTTGTTGTCTCCTTGCAGGAGAGATGGACGCCTGTTTCTCTCTCTCTCTCTCTCTCTCCCCCTTTCCTTCAGCAGGCTTACTTTTCACACCCACAGAAGGGGAAGTAAAGGGGGGAGAGAGAAAGAATGGGGAAAAAAACAGGAGTGTGGAGGGAACAGAGCTCCACAGCATGCTGTGGCGTTCCACCACACCACCAATAACACCCCTCCTCCTCCTCCTCTTCTTCTTCTTCCTCCACCACCAGCACCCCCAGTAGAGGGAGAGAAAAAGAGAGAGAGAGAGAGAGAAAGAGAGGAGAGAAGCGAGAGAGAGAGAGGGGGGCCTGGGCCATGTGATACGGAGAGCATGCGGGCACAGCTTCACCCCCAGGCAGAATGAACGGGGGCCTGCTGTGTCTCTCCTGCATGATTAATCTGGCTGAGGGGCAGGAGGACTGCCACAGCCCTGCCTGCATTAACTCCCTACTCTCCAGGTCTGCGGGAACACACACACACACACACACACACACACACACACACACACACACACACACACACACACACACACACACACACACAGTCAGTAGTAGAATAGTATAGCCATGGACAAACACAGGTCCATATACACAGTGGTTGCAGACAACTGGACTTGAATGGACTGCATATAGAAATGTTATTTGGTATTTGGCTCTTGGTATTTTTAAAAGGAAATTAAAGACCTGTCTTTTTAAAATGGCTTTTATTTTGAAGGAATGTCATAACCTGAGTCAGAGATTTTATCATTTCCTTTCCTCTTGTTGGCTTTTTACTTTTGTGTGTATTCGGCGGAATATCATTTTATTGTTTTTATTTTCATTTTTCTCATCTTGCAAACTGCTTTCAGTTGTTATTATTTTCCATCTTTTTTCCTAGTGTGGAGAATTTGTGGCTATATCTTTATGTAAAAGGGACTTCAAAATAAAATCAAGTTGAAGTGGGTTCTACTCGTATAAGTTTCTGTCTGGGTTCACTTCTACTGTAGTCCTTTGCTGCGCTCTGACACATTACTAATCCATCTGTAAAGAGCACCGTGATGTGAGGCCGCTCAATAGCACTGGTTTCTCGGTAGTTCTGGTTTCTGTGACTCATCCTCTCATGTGACCTCTTGTCTCCCAGGCAACATTGTGGATGTTTGCCGGTGCCGGTCTCGTCTTTTTGTGTAATTCATACAAGGCAGATGGTCCAGCGAATGTGATTTATTCTCAAAAAAAATTCTCTCAAAAAACAGGAAGAGTGTTTGGCATGTGATGGTCAAATTTTCAAAGCAGCGTGACAGCTTGTGAGGATGCACAGCAGGGCCTGTCATATTGTCTCACAGTGTAACAATCAACTAATGTAGACTTGATTCAAGGGAAATAATGTGTAGTCTCTCTCTCTAACATTGATTTCTTACACAGTCTGTCCTGTGGTGTTTGAACCTCCAGAAAGCAGGAAGTGTTGTTTCGAGCAGGAGTGGAGCCCCAGCATCAGGAGGCAGGCAGAGGGTTAACATCCTGCAGTCCGCTCCACATTAACTGGAAAGGAATGAAGTGTCAAGCATGTTTTCACCACAACGAGGCGGTCAAAAAAAAAAAAAAAAAACCCTACCTCCTCCTCTTCCTCCCACCAACGAGTCACCCCTCAAACCCTTCTCTCCCCCACATCACCCACTCCTCGCCTCCCACTCCCAACAACCTCCCACAGCCATGACCAAATTATTTTCCAGCCCTCCCGAGATTTGCCGCGCCAGACAAAAATCTGCAGCGCCGTCCTGATTCGGTGCACAAGCACACTCAGACTCCCTCTGTCGCCACTAAGAAATTAGGTCTTCTTTTTACACACTTGGCCTGTTTGGATGGCTCTTTGTGCGTTAAAAGGACAAATGCTTCGCCACCAGCTAGAAAAGTTGCCTTTCTCTGTGTTTACCAACTTAATTTTGGCGGTGACTTGTCAGTGGCTTGATGGGTATATCTAAACAGGTGTGATATGAGTGCAGGTGTTTTAAGGGCATTAAATAAGAGATCAACAAGAGGAAGGAGGAAGAACAGGACAGAAGAAAAGGATGGACACTCACTGATTGAGAGAAGACGTGAAAAGGGGGGGGGGGGGGCAAAATGAGCGAAAGGAGAGACAGAGCAGTGAGAGAGAGAAAGAAGTGAGGGAGTGAGAGAGAAAATAAGCCCCACCAGTGAGCAGGCCACACAGCCCTGCCAAACTGCTTGAAAAAAAGCCCCCTCTGTTTTATTTATAGTGCGCTGTATCCATGGCAACCGGAGAGGTCAGGCAAGCTGGGCCTGCGCTTCACCCCGCTCTGGGGATTAGGATTTCACAGAGGTTCTCAGATGTGAGGAAGGTGGGCTAAAGCGAGCTCGCTGCTCTCGCCAACGCAGTCCGCCTGCCTCTTGGTGAAATCTGGGCCCGTCGAGGGAGGAGAGAGAGGGAGCAGCTGAGAGTCATGGGAATTCTGTGGGAACGCCGGTCTGTGGCGATGGAGCGGAGAGGAAGGGGACCAGAGCAGAGAGAAACACACACCCATGTTAGCAGCTGTGCGCAGAAGCTGGTTCATTAGCAGCCCTCTGTCATCAGAGCTCATTCTTTCTTTTTTGGTACTTTTATTTTGAAAGGTCTTAAAAGTTCATGCTAGGTCAGAGGAAACTTTAATTCCGACAATACACATGACCTGTTACATATATTTAAGTAAAGTTTCTATTTGTGTACTCTACAAATACATAACCGAATAAAACTTTCAAAAAAGTATTTATCACTTACGTTCATGCAAAAATGTAAAAGAATTTGGACCTTTGCTGAAATTATATTCTTTGCCTTGTTCCCACTCATATTACACTTTGCCAAGCAGTTTCTAATAAATGAGCCTAATTACCCCGCCTCATCCCTTCTTTAAAATTTTGTGGGTTTTTTTTTTTTTTTTTTTATCCCAAGAACGAATAACTCTTTCCAAAACAGCCAAGCCAGCTGGAATGAAGATTCAGGATGAGAGAAGCAGAGAAAGAGAGAGAGGTAGAGAGAGGTAAAGTGAAAGCGGGAGAGTTGGAGAAGAGATGAGGCAAAGAGCTGATTGCCCTCCAGGAAATGCACGGTGTGACTACAGCAGAGACCTCCAGATTCCTCCTGGGGCAGAGGACGTGCGTTGCTAGGAGATGGTTGTTGGGCTGGTGTTGCCATGCGTGGATGCTATTGCCTGCTGTGCTCCGATGTG